CCACCTTATTCTTCATTCCCATAATTTAGAGTTTACCGAAATCTTAGTCTTCTTTTTCGAAGTACTCAGTTTCAGATTCGGATTCGAATTCAGATGATCAGGCTGGAAGTCTCTTGTGGCCTGTGTTAATCCTTGCAAAATATATCTCTGCAGAGATCTTACTTCTCTTTGAAAGCGTTCACCGATGGAGCTGATACTACTGTTGCAGGTAAGGGGTTCCAGTCGTTGATCACTGTGTGAGAGAGTCTAAATTCTGCACGTATTTTAATCGTCCTCGGTTTGAGCACTTTCTTTTGTGGTAACTCCGTAAATGTATCCTGGCAGGGGAGAAAAGTTTGGAAAAGTCGGTTCCTAAACCACTCCTAAGTATGCGGTATGCTAAAATTAAGTGGCCTCCCTTCCTTCGGTATGATAACGGGAAGAGATTTAAATGCTCCACCCTCTTATCATAAGGAAAATGTGAGATAGCACTGACTATTTTCGTTCCTACTCTTTGTACCTTTTCCAGGATATGTGCCTCCATTTTGAAGCACAGACTTGCCGCTTGTATGCAGTATCCTAGATGAGGCCTGACATATGTGGCGTGGAGTATTTGGAACATGCCCTCGTCTAATTGTTTGTAAGATCTTCGAAGTGCCCATAGCATTCCAAAAGCCCTAGCTGCGGCTGCATCATTGCTGACAATGATTCCTCGGTCCTTCTGTTCATTAACATCAGGTAGTTCTGTGTCCCCTAGGGAGTATAACGTGTAAGACTTCCGACCTAAGTGCATTACCGCGCTTTTCGAAGAATTCATTTCCATACGCCACAGGTTCGACCACTCATATAATTGCAGGCTGTGGACGGCCGTGTATCATTTCATCTTCTGATGGATTTTAGCGTTATTGTTGTAAAATACGTCTAGGTTTTCTCATTTTTCGTTGTTATACACAGTTTTTTACATATATTCCTGCTAAAGATTGATGAAATGCGGAGTATTTAGCAGAAATAGGCAATGCTGTTGTCCTTTTCCGGCCGTGGCTTACAGGCAGTTTGCAGTTTGTTGAAAAAACGTACTTTTCCGTTCAGAATATGTCGAATTACTTGAAGACACATGTTATAACCACCATTTCGTGAATTTTTTGCATTTTAATGGATTACACATGGACATGATGAGGTGGGATAGCTCGTTTTGGTAATTATTTCATTTACTTTGTTGTGTACTTTTCCTAATGCTGACAAGGCTCCTCCACATGTATTTCTTTAAGGAAAAATCTGCAGAAATACCTAGAAATTATATGCGCATAATATTTCCTTATTTTATGACATAAACTTGACGTTTGCAGGCAGATGCAATATCGATTTTGTATTATTGAAAAATGTTTACTGACGTAATTATATACAATTGAACTAATTATTTCGTCATTTCAACCATATTTCATGGTTAATTATTGTGTTTACACTGATAACAATGTCTACATGTGTATAATTCTTATGTTCTTTTTCAGGTAATATTTACTTTCGGGAATCTCATGGATTTGGGTGATAAAGGAAAAGATACCTGCACTGTTGTCGATTTTGTATTACATGTTAATTCATTAATAAATGTATTCCTTGTTATGCGTTTGTTTATTCTACTTGATAAGACCGAATATTAGCCCTTGCGTAATTTGTGAGGCATAGAGTATGTGAGGCTATCTTTGAAATACTAAGTAGGAGCAGATATTCGGAGAAGCCTATTGGTAGAACATTATGTTGTAATCAAATGAAGTAAATATGTCTAAATCGTAGAGGAGGTATTGCGATTATAAAGCGTTTCGAGTTATCTATCGTCTTAGCAGAACACATATACTGATTCGCGATTCATAGTCACAAAGTGAGAGTAAATCTACCTGAGATAGTTTGCTTGTGATTTCTGCATGCCGCAGTGCACCATAAGGAGAGACTATACGTATGCTGTTAGATGTATGACTTAGTGCAACTACGGCCATCGTAATAATTAAAAACAGAATGCCTAGGGTTCTCAGCCAAAGGACACGATACGTTGCTATCTGCTCATATAATCACGTAAACAAAAGTTTTCAAGACACCGCATTTACTCCTAACAGTTTACCCTCAACTTCTAACTTAGCACGTGCTACTTATGCTACTGGAACACAATCGCATTACAACAGAAGGAAGACAGATTCATTGAAAAATTGTTTATAAAACAAAAATCAGATTTCAAATGTACAGATAATTCAGATGAGTAGACCTCTGTTACCGTCAGTAAGTTCCATCTGCGTACACGGTACATATATGTTTTTCCATAAGTCTGAAAAGGTTTAAGAAAAGCATAATTAACTTGGGTATTACATGTATGATCTGAATAAAAAAATTTTCCTGACAAGCATTTACAAGTAATCACTTTACAAACAATATATATATATATATAAGTAGCCCAATAGTTTTCACTAAACTTAAGGGACTTCGCAACTTATCGTTTGTCGATATCTAGTAGGTCCTTCGAAGCATCATGAAATGATAAAATTATTTAACGAAAAGTTATGCAGTAGTTTCCAAAGCTTGTACAAATATTTTAGCAGAAATGACAACAACTTTATGACAAATAATAGGTCTTGACAGCAATAATAATAACATTCATGTTCATAGTGACTATAAAAACAATAAAAGGTATTATTATCGCAACGAATTCATCATTAACTTAGATAGACAACTAACAATAATACAATCATATCAAATAAATGTATCACTTAATCTTAAGAAGCATGTGTTTACTTGCTTTCACTGTATTCTCTCAATGCTAATGTGGAACTAGCTTATTCCAACTGAATTTAAGATTAATTCTGAAAGTGAATGGAGATCCAGTTTATGTCAAATAAAAACATGTAGCTTACATGCGTTACACTGCTTACTGAGATATCTGGTACCTGCTTTCCGATCTTCGTGACAAGAACACAGTTCAACTAGGTTTACCTACATATACAAAAGTATACGTATATCCTGCATCAACAATGCCGTTTTTATCATGATTAGCCAGACCACTGTGTATATTATACTTATTTAAGGATCTCTGAAAATAATGGTCAAGCGATAATTGAAGTTGCGTGAAGTTATTACCTCTTCAGGACATTGTTTGCATTCTTGACACACATGAGAAGTCCTTAGATCGTAATATGGCATGAATTCGTTGAATTCAGCAAATAAATCCACTGCTGTATCATTTCTTTCCTGAGCTGTAGTAATTTGTGTTGTCAGTTATCTCTCCAATTTGATAAAACGCTCACGGAAATTCAGGAATTAACCAAGCAGCAAAGTGATGTTTGAAATTACCTCAACTCGAACGAAAACTGGCCAATCACAAGCGCGCAAATCGCTTCTCTATCTCATACGCGGTCACTCAAAATTACGGCCCTCTACAGGCTGCCCTCAACTAATCTATCTAGATCAGTTTGTAGGGCCGACCTATCCTCGCTATTGTTTACAGTTTTCCATATCTTAATGTCGTCTGCAAATAATAACGAAGATGAAGTAAGAATCCCCGGTAGTTCATTAACGTATAATAGGAATAGCAAGTGGCCTAATACAGTTCCCTAAGGCACTCCACTGGATACTGCTTTCCACCCTGATAGTACATCGTTAACTCTAACCTTCTGCCTTCTATCCATTGAATAATCCCTAAACCACTCACCGAAACCTTTAAGTTCACTAAGGAGATCTAGGTGGGATACTGTAAATGTCCAGGTCGTAGTACACTGGGCCTCACGCTGTCCTTGGAAGACTTTCAGGAATTATGCGTAATAACCGACGCAAAAAGCCCGAACGCAAATTGGTGACTCAAGAACCGTTCATTCTTGCACCAATACAGAGCCAACCATTAGGTTTTTGTACACAAAGTCTAAGAATAAATGTTATAACAATAGATCACGATAATACCTCTGATAGTTTTCTGTCTTCCACCGAACAGCGAACGATGAGACGATGACTGCTGGATTGATGACTCCTGCGAGAAGTATTGGGTTGGTTTTGAGCACACCACCATGTGTTTATTGCTCGGTCTTCAGCTACATTCTGACTTACTTTGGCGATTGCCTTCCTTCGATGAATAAATTGCACGTCCAACGGAAGTTTTTATCTGTGGCCTATATACAGTCTTCGCTGGCCATGCGTAGGTTTGTGTGGCAGGATCGTTATGGTCGGAGTCCATGCTGTTCCACCACCAGCAAGCTATGTGTTTCAACGTAAGCTAATAGCTGTTCCCTTATAATAGTCTCCAATACCTTCGCTATAATGCATGTCACACTTTGGCTGTTCCCCTCTTTTAAGATAGGGCTTATAATGGCATCTTTACAGTCTTTGGATAGCTAAGCCTGGGTGAGAGACATTTGGAAAATCTCCGTGAGGGGAATATATATTATATCCGCCAAGGACATTAACAGTTTATGGTGAAGTCCATTAGGCCCAGGTGATTTACCTGGTTTCAGTTTAGACAGTAGTTTGAGGGCCTTCGTGTGCTCTCCCACAATTGAGGGCATCTGAGTGGCGATGGCAGTGTCCTCGCCGTATCCCTGGGTGATACTATCAGACGAGAAGAAGCCACAGAAGTATTCAGAGAGGTTTTCAGCCTTTCCTTCATCTGACTCAGCCGCATCTCCACTAATGCTTATGAGCGATGGTATACATTTATTCAGCTCAGCTAGTAATGCACAAGTAGAGTGAGAGCTGATCATTAAGGGATATGAATCATTTGAGAATGCACTAGAATCACACAGAGATTCAGTCTTTCTCGAAACTTGAGTAGTTGTTGATGTTTATCCACTTTCCTAGATTTCAGAGGATTAACCGATTTATCTCGCCTAATTTTTGCGGTTTTTCAATGACAGAAAGAGAGCTTCAAGAGTTCCACAGGCATTTATGTGCTCTTTACTAATATAGTGGCTATTGAACAGTGGAATTTGGTGTACATTGCTTTTTGCTAGCAATACGTTTTGTACACTTTCAAGTGCCACGTTACATACACAATGTCATATGGTTATTCCAGTCTGCTTCCTAAAAGAGAGATTAATGCTGATATTTTTGCCAACGATAACAAGAAATGGAATGGCAATTTAACAAGGATTGCTATATGGGATACAGGTGTTGATCCCACTGCAGCTGGTCTTCAAGTTAGTAGTATTTATCTCTATACGAGTATTATGTAGCAATCCTTCTTGGTTGAATTCTGAAGTGATTCAGAAACGATACCTTTTTGTATCGTGACTCAACGATGAAATGCTAGTCTTCTGTTTTTCAGCATCCCTAAAAATATTTATTTATTTATTCAAGCCATGTGTACACATATGGCTTTAATGAATAAATAAATGTCATTATTTCTGCATTGAGTGCTAAATTTCAACACTTCATTGAATTTTTATACAGTTTCCGACTATATACACACACTTAAAACTACTTTCATTGTGTATTATCTCACTTAATATCCTTGACTGTCTTACGTAAGCCCTGCACAACTGTATAATTTTCATGTGGTGAAACTGGATAAACCCGTGTCTAATAGGGACGTAAAGACGCACTGTTTCAATCCGATTCAGAAATTACCTGTTTACAATTTTAAATCATTGTTTATAAAATGAAAAGTTTATACTATTACTATAAGTCTGTCAAGTAAGCTCTGTAAGGAGAATTCTGTAAAGCGAATAAACAATAAAATTTAATGGGGAGACCTTACATTCAGATGTTTGGGAATTACATGTATAAAAGTCATTTTGCAACAGCCACACAGCAGACACAATTGCTGGCAGGGAACTGTGGTGACATGCAGGAAATATAACTAACTTACAGTTCGTAGGCTCATGCAATCAAAGTACCAAAATGTTAACAGTACAAAAAGTAACATTTTTGGGATTATACCCGATTTTTCTAAGTTTGGTACTTGTTGATTACTAATTGAGAAGTGAAATCGATTAAGTATTATTTCTGAATGGAGTATAATTGAATTCCAATGATGTTGACCGCGTGGTTATTAATGAATTGTGTAAATGCATTGGTCCAATCGTAATACATCCCAAATTATATTAGATCTAGACTATGTCCCATCCAGTATTTAACAGTACGCTTCTTAGATCACTGCCTAACTTTATGACCTATTGATAACCGTTCGTAGAACCATATATTTCAGAAAAGCCACTTGCGTCTTTTATTGAATGCGAAAATTAACCACCTGTCCAACCTCCAACTTTTTGTATCAGTTATTTGCATTGTTTACATCTAGTTTCTATGATATAGTTTGTATCACTTGACCTTTTGTTCAATTCTCACTCACTTCCAAAAGTCTAATATTTGTAATCATTGTATTTTGGTGCTCAGATTACACCGGATGGAAAACCAAAAATTGTGGATATGATTGATGCATCAGGTTCTGGAGATGTGAAAATGAAGTGTAAACGACATGTAGATCAGGTGAATCGTACTATCGAAACTCTAACAGGACGCAAAGTAGAGGTATGTTCTCAATCATTATTCTCTTCCATTGACTTCTATGCAATGTCTATGGACTGTTCATTGCCTCAACCAATGGAATTCCAACTACTCAACAGTTTCAACCTTCTTTCCACCTGCTAAAATTAATTCAGTTAGGCATTTTGTTTCTTTGATAAGCGTAATTGTAGTACATGGGACAAATTGTATGCTGTATCGGCCTGTTTGTGTTTCTGAAATTAGTCACGCAAATGGCTAACTTTTTGGTATAGTTTGCCCTAACTTGGTGACTTGGAAGAATATTACACTTATGGCCACATGAGAACTATACTATCACTACTGGTCTGTTCTCTAGATTACAGATATGTTCTTTGATCTCAGACAACGGCGATACAATTATCGATGCTTATTGATAATCTGTGTGAGATTCTTCTCCGACTCCAGAAAATTCTCTTGGCTCATACATACAAACAGACGACTCCCAGTAGAGAGAGATAATACAGAAAAGCTATCTGAACTATCTATTATATATGAAGTAATTATAATTAACTCCAATGTTACTAACAACACACACATTTAAGTGAAAATCTGCTCCTGACAAATGAGTTAAAATTAAATTAGCCGTAAACTAGTCTTTCTAACCATATTATTATTTTTTTACATGTATTAGATATTTGTTTACAGTTCTCTTTGTATTCTAGATACCAAACCACTGGAATCCACCTGATGGTATAATAAGAATTGGAGTAAAATTAGCATCAGAATTGTTTCCCAAACTTTTAATGCAAAGATTACGCAATGAAAATCGTGATAACTTTTGGCGACCAAGTATTAAACGTTTAGCAGCTAATTTAGCTTGTGATTTAACTGAAGCTGAAGAGTATTTAAGCGATATAACACAAAATATTAATCGTATTTCAATCTCAAGCTCAGATAAAGGTGAATACTCTTCTTTTTTTCACTAATATTCACTTTTTCATTCCTTCAGTTCTGAGTGAAACATAGGGCATAAAGCTTCACACTTTCAGTAACATTGATTTTTTTCCATTTTTTACGAGATGGTTTTATCATCCTCGTGTCTAACTTTTCCGGGCTTAAGGCAGGCTACTACTATAAGTGGCGAGGTTTCGCAGTGCACCGGCCTGAAATCACACCTGGACTATATGTGTGACTGAGGAATACCCTACCATTGGAATATCTATGCTAATATAATTAATCTCGGAATGTTGATTTGCAGGGATCTGAAGAGCTCCAGACAAGGTCGAGACCTTTTTTCAGCACCCCCCTTGGTTTTCAAGGATTTTCCGGCTGAAATCAGTTCATGATCAATCTTGATAGTTATTTTTACCTAAAATTTTGGGAGTTGTTTTTTGTGAAGTTGCATCAGCAAGTGCCAATAGGTTGATCGCTAACAAAATCTCAACATGGATAGAGAAGGCTCGTTTGTCATTTGCAATCTTACACCATCGGTGGCTTAGTAGACGTGACATCTGGCTGTCGACCTAAGGGCGTGTGTAGAGTGCTGAGCAGTTCACTTCGTCCTCCTCCTTTATGGCTGTGAGTGAGACATGGTCATTGAAAGCGGAAGACATGAAAAAGCCTGGTTAACCTTCTCTGATCATAGGTGTCTGCGATCTATCTCCTGTGTTAAGTGGTATAATAAGGTGAGGAATATTGAAGTTAAGCATCGGTCGAGTGCTAGGTTGGAAGAAGAAATCAATCGACGACGAGGTTGTGAAGTTACACTGATTGAAATGTTTAGGCCATGTGTCACGTGTGCCAGGCGATCGCCTTCCTCAACAACGGGTGATGTTAGGTGACATAGGATCGATCAGGGTGAAAAAGAGCTAGTAGTGGTCAAATCGAAACATGGCTTCACCACTCAATATAATCCATAAGTTAGTTTAGGGCAGCCATTTAGAAAGGCGTAGACTCCTGGCTGGTTGGGGTCCTCGAGATCCTAAGAACCAATGAGACAGTCGGCAATATGTTCAAAGTCGTTCCCATTGGCTGGCGCAGATGCATTCAGTCTTTATGATTTATAATATCCAATAAAATTCTATTGTTTTTCTTCCATATTACTGTTATTTTCGCCTGATATTTCTGTTTATTATCTCTCTGTCGATCTCTCGTTACTCTCTTCTCTTGTTTTGTGTGCTACATGGAGAGAGTGTGGCAAATCAAACTGCTGCATATTTATGCAAAGTTCTGTGTTGAAAGCAGTCAGTCAATTAATAGGATTTTATAACCCAAAGTAATCTCACACATTGAATGGTGGTTATTTCAGGGGAATTTATAGAACACTGTTATGATCTTTCTTGCTGATTTAATTTTAATCGATTATTGGGATGTGAAAATTTACCAAACTAAATGATACGACTGCTAAATACAATTTATGCGATTCTGTGCATAATATCTACAATGAGTTTATTTACACACATCAACCGGACACTTGTATAATTATTACCGATGAAATGATTTTTTTGATAAACTTTTGAAGTATGCCTTGTCAATAACAGTGATAAGAACTTTATCAAATAGGATTCTTTATCGATTTCATTTACGGAAAAGTATGTATTGGTGAATGTAAACACATGTGATGTGTCATCATTATATGTAGTTATTTATTTGTCTTAAATTCTATATCATACACTGTACGGATCATCATTGAACAAAGCTTGGAATGGCAGTCACCTCTCCACCTCAACTTCATCGACTTTGAAAAGGCCTTCGACAGCGTCGACCGAGAAGTCATTTGGCAACTACTTCGCTACTACGGGGTGCCATCGACAATTATACATCTCATCTAACAGTTATACGACAATGCTGCATGCCAAGTAATCCACAACAGGAAACTTACGGAAGCCTTCGAAGTGAGGACGGGAGTGAGGCAAGGCTGTCTACTATCGCCAATGATCTTCTTGATTGCAGTAGATTGGATAATGCGGCGGGCAATGAGGAAATAGGCGTAAAATGGATTCACACATAAAACTTGGAGGATCTGGACTTCACCGATGATATATGTCTGATTTCTCACAAACCGGAAGATATGCAAGTCACAAGCAACAAGTTCACAGAAGAAGCATCAAAGATAGGACTCCAGGTGAACATACAGAAAACAGAGTTGATGAAGATTCCTGGCCAACATCAACAGCAACAACAACAGACAGCAATCAGCATAAATGGGAGGAACCTGAAAGAAACAATCTCCTTTACCTTCCTACCTACCTACCTACCTGAGAAGCATCGTTTCAACTACAGGCGGAACTGACGAGGATATCAAAGCCAGAATCGGAAAACCACGAAAAGCTTTCACTACTCTTAAGTTTGTGTGGAGGTCAACAGCACTCAGAATCAAAAATAACATCCGGATTTTCAACTCCAATGTGAAGTCAGTGCTACTCACTATACGGATCAGAGACTTGGCGCGTCATAAAGACCATCTCAAACAAACTTCGGATCTTCATTAACAGCTGTCTTCGCTCAATATTCACGGTCAGATGGCCAGGAAAGATCAGAAATAGGGATCTCTGGCGATGAGCGAACCAACCAGGAACCGATTGTGCAGCGAATATGCAGGAAGAAATGGAGATGGATTGGCTGGCCATACGCTGAGGAAACCACCAAGCGACATCACTAGACAAGCCATTGCTCGAGTGGAACCCGAAAGGGAAGCGGCGATTTGGTCCTCCAAGGGTGACTGGGAGGAGGTCACGTGAAAAGGAGATGAAAGAATGTGGGCAGACTTTGAGCGGGGTGAAAAAGTTAGCAGAAAACCGAAGGCAATGGAGACGCGTGGCTGAAGCCCTATGTTCCTCTAGGAATTAAGGGATATAATAATATACATGGTTGTAATGAGACTATATATCACTTTTCGCAGTGATCATAACTGAAAGTTTTTGTGATAATAATTGGAGTGAAAAATGAACTCATAATCCATCTGGTGTGTTAATCCTGAAGTTTTGCGAATATCATTCGTACCTTGGTACAAGACCAGGACTTGGTCACTGTGTGGTAGCTTATAATTCCATTTTAGAATAACCTTATGTAATAAAAATACACACAATGATAAAGTATTATTTACTGATGACAACGTTTTAGACATAATTTATTGCTACTCATAATCATATCAAGGTGAATCAAATGAACTGTAGTCAAGATTTGACAGAATAGTTCTATAATATTTGGGCGCCGAGTGAGAAGTAGACATTTGTAAAAAATCATTATATTTGTAAAATCTCAGCGATATTGATATGAGTAATTCCAACGTTTCCTCCGTTCGGCAATCTGGTCCGAACTTCTTCTTTTTACATATCAAGGTGTCCTCATATAAATTTTAGATTGTATTTATATAATTCTTTCATTTTGTATCTTTAGATTTTATGAATAGTATTGCTTTCTATATCTCTGGTATTATCGGCATAGCATCATCACTTCTGTTAAATGTGTTAGGCGTAGATTCGATGAACGATAGTGTACAAGGTTGCCTTGTGTAACGCGAAGGTCCTTGATCTGAACTTCAGTGGTTGCGCACTGATAATGAGTCACAAAAGAGAGCGAAACAGATGTCCAGTACTCCCTGGTTTTCAATAGTTCCCTAACTGACATCAATATGTGAAAGAAAGATTCACTGATCAACCTCTACCTCACCTAACTGTATTACTTTTTAGAACCTCAATCAATTGTGTGATTGTGTGTCAGTGCATGCTTTGTCACTGCTAATTGTATGTTTAAGTTATGGATACACTAAGACACTATAGGGTGGGGTAGGGGCGACGAGAGGGAGTTACAAATCTAAAAAGTAATGTAGGTAGATGGAGGAAGGGAGATAGATCATTGAATCTTTGTTCATCGAATGTATACCTAACACATCCAATAGGAATGACGCTATGCTGATGGTACCAGAGATGTGGAAAACAATACTGCTAATATTATAAGCAGCACTAAATTATGCTCGTAACATCGTCATCAGTAAATAATACACTTTAACTGGGTGCATTTTTATCAAATAAAATTATCCTACGATGGAAACGTCTGTGACATGTTTTGTTGCAAAGATAACAAAGTTGTTCAAAACTGTTATACGGTTTTAGTGGATCATCTCGCGACTTCTGAAAACAATAGAAGCATTCACCGCTATTCAAAATAAATTTTGTCTTTTTTGGAATTATGAATAAGATAAATTTTACACTTATAATATACTACAGTCGAACAGGTTTCGTTGCTATGCATTCATGTCATTTATGTTTGACATTGTTTTACACTCGTGGGTAACCAGTAACTGTCGAAGTAATTTTGAATACCGTGATAAAAGTCATTCTTTACAATTCCATGTATGTAGTATCCTTTGGTTGCGCATAAAGGCTCCTGCACAATAGATCAGTAGTCATAGGTGTCGCATGAAAAAAACACCGATGTTTCTCTAAGTGTTGATAGGCATTGAAGTAGGTTTTCAACTGGTGTTCGAATATTTACTAAGTTTGTAAACTAATAAACCTTGTTTCATCGAAAGACTTTATTATTCGCCTCACATTCAACTTTCCCTCTTTACTGGGCTTCCACATACCAGCCAAGCGAGGTATAGGAGTGCATCGACCAGGAATCGAACCCCTGACCGCATGTTTGGTTGGCCAGTGTTCTACTACTGAACCAGGAACGCACCAATAGACTTCATGAGTAATTATTATTATCATTCCCTTGGTTTCCAAGTAGAGCATAGAGACTCACCAGCATATCCCCAGTTCATCGTGTTATTTGCAGTTTCTTTTAACTGACTTAACTATAGCTCATCAGCTTTCATTTCATCCACATCAACCTTGGTCTGTCTGTCTGTCTGTTTTCGACATAGAACTTTGCACAAATGTGTGGCAGTTCAAGTTGCCACACTCCATGTAGCACACAAACAAAGAGAAGAAAGTACAAGAAGAGCATAATAGAGACATAACAATAAGCAGAGGTGTGAGACAAAGGAATAGTAATAACGGAGAACAAAACAGTTTCATTGGAAATCAAAGTCACAAGGAGTGGATGCATCTGCGCTAGCCATTAAGGACGATTTTGAGCCATGTCACCAATTGTTTCCAACCATTGGTTTTTGCCGTCCCGAGGACCCCAACCACGAAGTCTTCATCTTCCTACGTGCCTTAGACTAGCTGTTGTAGATTTCATTGACTGGTGCCATGTTTTGGTTTGACCTCCGCTAGCTTTTTTCCAGCCTACCCTATATCCGCTAACATTGTTCGTCGAGGAAGGCGATGACTAGGCATACGTAACACATGTCCTAACCATCTCAGCTCACCTTATTATACCACTTCACACGGGAGATAGAACGCAGGCACCTATGATCAAAGACAGCTAGTCTTTTCATGTCTTCCACTCTCAGTGGCCAGGTCTCAAAGCTAGTCATAAAGGAGGACGGAGCGGACTGATGAGCAGCGCACCCGCCCTTTGGTTGATAGTCGAATATCTTGTCTACGCCAGAGACGGCGTAAACTGGCAAATGCGAAACGAGCCCCTGTATTCGTGCTGAGATTTCGTCAGAGATCAACCCGTTGGCACTAGCTGATGGTACTTCCCAAATAAGAGAAGCGGACAACGTGCTCTACCACTTCACTTCCTATTTCTAATCTAAGAGTCGGTGTAGTCCAGTCCTGTAACATCATCTTGCATTTGGCTGGAGCGAATTGCATGTCAAACATTCGTAAATTGCAGCTCAAGGTGTTTAAAAGACTGCATTTTGTCAGCGTCCTCGCCTAGAAGGACTATGTCGTCTGCATATTCTAAGTCAACGAGGTTATTCCCTGGTAGGAAGTCAATCCCTGAGTCGCTGAAGTGAGTTAGGGTTAAGTCCATTAACACATCTATGATGAAGTTGAATAGAAAAGGGGATAATGGGCATCCTTGTTGCACACTTCTAGTTGTCACCACTTCAGATGACAACTCGCCGTAAGCCCTCACTTGGCTGTATGAGAACGAGTAGAGTGCCTTAATCAGTGCAATGTGTTTTCTCGGGATTCCTTTTACAGACAAGCATCGTCAGAGAACCTCCCGGTCGACAGAATCGAATGCCGTCTTTAGGTCAACAAATATGATGACTATTGGACGCCGGTAGGAATGCCTATGTTCTAGAATGTGTTGGAGGGTGAAGATATGATCTATACACCCTCTTCCTGGTCTAAAGCCTGCCTGGCTCTCTCGTATTTGTGCCTCCCGAGCACCACTCAGTCTACGCATGATTATTGAGCCTAAGACTTTGGATACTATATTAGTCAAGCTAATCCCTCTGTGATTATCACAGGAAGACTTGTCTCCCTTCTTGTATATGGGGATAATCAGTGACTTACACCAACCCGATGGGACTTCCTCTGATTCCCAGACGCTGCCTAGACAGTAAACTGTCTCCACCGTACTTAAATACCTCTGGAGTCATTCCATCAGGTCCCGTTGCTTTGTTAGGGATGGAGGACCTGTGTCTATATCCCAATCAGGGAGGTGTTGGATGTTCGACAGGTTGAGCGTGGCTGTGGGCCAATTAAACTGCTCCTCATAGTGCTCTTTCCAGCGTTCCAGTCGTCTATCCTGAGAGCTAATTATAGTGCCACTTTTCTCCGAGATTGTTTCACTTATGACTTGCCTTTTCCCACCCGTTTCCCTGATGAGTCTAAAGAGTTGCCTAGTGTTGCCTATCATCAACCTTGGACCAACGTCGAAGTCGTTGTTTTCAATTCGACTTATACTCAATCGCCTTCCTCGATCGGGGTATTTCTCGATTGGTTCTTCAGCGTGTATCCTAGGCATTTGTCTCTATTTCCTTCTTCGTATTTATTAGTCGATATATTCGTTAAATATTTAAGTTTATGAGAAAAAAGTTTTCTTAACAAAATCTCTTTTTTTTCCTCATCACTTTAGATAGTCCTAGAAAATTTGTTGAAAATGATTCAAGCAAAACTCTACATGATGATATTTTGTGCACTGATCAAAAGACAGATCCGATTTCGTGTCAGATGAATTCTAATTTTAGCAGTCATCAAGTGAAACGGGAAAAACGGGAACAGTTTGGTTTAACGCCTACAGCTGCAAAGGTAGAGAAGTAATTATTTGTTATATGATAGTAATAGCAATAATAATTTGCTTTATTCCAAAACACTACTTATGTGATACAGTGTGGAATTGCCAGCATTTATTACAATATTACCGCATCTAATCTACTCGACAACTCGTAGCCAGGATTGATAATATCAGCTCTTTGGTCATTGCAGTGACAGCGAAGTCATAATGTACAAAACCTGTAAACTGATGATGATGATGATGGTGATAATAATAATAACAATGTTAATAGCTAAAATTATGAGATAAATGAAATAGTATCACCATAAATCACAAATAGGAGAGAATAAAAGCGTCAATTACTTTTTCATGACGGTGGCCATGGAAATCGGAAACCGCTAAGGGGTGTGTAACAACTCACCTACCGAATCAACCAGCCCAGAAAATGGATGGCGCTCGAGCGTTTGACCTATACCGTACCGTTGCTGCAAGCTGGGCGTAAGCAGTGTGAGGGCAAGGTGACTTGGTCCAGGCACGGAGTGGCGGCGACGAGTAGGAGGGTCGCTGTGGTTAGCGGGAAGCCTAGGCGTAAGCATAGGGGGAGTAGCCACAGGCGCAGATCTCGGTGGTAGTAGCAAATATTCAAGTGAGAACCTTGAAGGCCGAAGTGGAGAAGGGTTCCATGGGAACAGCAGTTGGCCATAAATGTCACGCTGAACACTATCTTTATCATGTGGAGCGCAGGCTCAGGAAGTTACCCTGAGTTCTGCTAGGAAACCATGACCAGCTGGATTCAAAAGGAAAATAGTTGCTCGCCTAAGACCTATATATATCAGGAATTGTCAGAAGCTGGAATTCATGGTGAACACATTGCAAAACCTGACTGATAGAATTGAGTCTGCACCAAAGAAAGTACCAGACACATCACCCTAGTTACTAGTGTCCAATCAAACTACCCACTACAGTCCTACAGGAGGTCAATCGCGAGCCTGAATAGCTCATTGGTAACGTCTCTGACTGCAGTACTCACTAGATGACGCGGCTTCGAATCTCAGAAGGGACATGAGTTCCTTCAAGCTAGTTGCAGATACGCGTGCCTTGCTGACTGGTGAGTGCCAACTAGCACGAAACCTAGGTCAGGTGAGGCTTCCTGCCGCTGATTGCCTCCAACCATCTAATACCAACAGCTTACAGCGCACCGTTATGGCGAGCCACCCAATGGCATGGTGGTGGCCACATTGCCAACTTGACGGATAGAATTCAGTCTGGACCGAAGATAAGACTAGACACATTACACTAATTACTGACTAGTGTTCAATCAAAAATTTCCAATGTTGTTTCATTAGAATCGTAAATTTTAGATAACAAATTTCGTTAATCGGTGAGAAACCAAAATATAATAATAATAGTAAAACACAGCTTTATTCCAAACAGTATTTGTGGTGCAGGTATGGAATTTTCAGCGTGCATTACAATATATTTCAACTAATTATCTCATAAATTTTATAAGATTTTAAAATCAAAAAGCAGCACCCCCAAAAGAACGATAAATAAAAAAAATAAAAAGGACAGCGTTGCGTTTACATTTTAAACAGTGCACCACAGGATATGAAATATAAAATTAGTGTGTAAGAGAAGATGAGAACAACAGTGTAATAGTAACGAGGAAAGGAAAACAAAAACGAATGGGAATATTTGTTAGAGTGCCTCAGTAAGTTGATCGTGTCATACCTAACGGATTTCTCGTCGCATAACAGCTGTGCCAGATATGGTATTGTGGAGTTTTTGTATTTGGTAGTCCTAGCATATAGCCTCCTCCTATAGCTGCTTCTAGTTCTACCAGATGAAATGCAAGGAGACAGCTGCGTATAGAAAGGATGCTCGGGGTTTGACAATATTGTATTCGCTAGTTTCTTACGTGACATAATATGTCTATCCATAATAGTGTTAACCAGTTGGTTTAACGATATCCCACTTGCCCTACTAACGGCGTTTAGTGCCCTTCTCAGCAAAGCAAAGTCCTTCTTAAGTAGTCCAGGAAAGATTAATGGGGAGCAATAAAGGGGGATGGGTAGACTACAAGAATTGACAAACTGAGAAAGCAAAGACTGCTTTATACCAGACTGCCTAACCTAACATAGAACTTTAAGCAAAACATCTTTCTAGTAACCAGCAAGATGTGAGAGGACCAGGAAAGATCGGTGGAAAAAAAGCAAGTTGAGTGACGTAGTCTAATTGATAGAGTTGAGTAGAGCTCAACTGAAATTAAAATTCAATGAAAGTCAAGTTAATAGCAGTCATAAGAAGGGGTGAAGATTTAATAATGTGTGGGGAAAAGAAAATATTCTACAATTAAGAAACAAACAAGCAAGAAAAAGACGGAACAAGAATTACATATTTGGTGTTAAGATATTGGTATTTGCGATGACAATGAAGTCGAAAATGTACAAAATGTTGATAGTCAAAATTATGAGATAAATGAAATAGTGTCATCATAAATTACAAATAGAAGAAGATCAAAGTGCCATTTATGTTGTTGATAACATAGCCAATAATAAGTTTCAGGCTTAACACTATCTCTGTTACACAGAATGCAAGCGGGCCAAATAAGGTATCGTTGAAATTGTGTACTTGGTTATCCGAAGATGTAATCATTTCTAGCAACTTCTAGTCCTACCTGATGATGAGATGCATCAAGCGGAGAGTTGTGCATAAAGAGGGTGTTGAGAGGCAGACAATATGGATTCAGCCTATGTCTATCTATGAGTTCAGATGTCTGTAGACTATAAGTGTAGTGAGCTGAATAAGCGGCACACCACTTGTTCTACTGATAACCTTTGATACTCCAAAGCCTCAGGATGGTCGGGGGTGGGTGTCTTGCGCTGCGGGTTGGCCACCCCTCCGTACACCTCTTGAAATGCTCCCATATGACCGGGCGTCTTACATAGCCTCTCCTGAGGAAGTCCTACTCACTGCCTTCACGTGGCGGAGGTGTTTCTCACCAAAGTGAGAGGGCGAAAGCGGATGCCCGGCGCTCTCCACCGGGTTGACTGTCCATTGGATGACGGTCTAGGGGAGATGGCTAAACCCTGATTCCAAACCTCCAACGACTGGCGTATGAAGCTCACTGGAGCTCACCGGCAGACGTATGGACAAAGGGCTTGTTGGATGTCCTGGATGTCTGGCCCATTCAAAAGGCGTATGAACCGAACTCCGGTCACCGGCTGCCAATGGATAGTGGACTCCTTACTCCACTCCTACTGCCTTGTAGGTCACACTTGGCTGTGTAAAGGCTAGAGCTGCACTCTCAAACAAAAGGCCGAGCGATGCTGGGGACATCACTCGTACCAAATTCCCATGAAACTTCATGAACTCTCTTACAAATTGCCGCGCCTGGGCAGCGATGATTCGAGACGTTCATGAAGCCGGCTCATCCTCCCGTAGGAGATAGCCGAAGTAAAGTAATTTTCAATATTATCCAAGAAAGACTAAGGAAGAACAGTACTGGTTTTGTAGAGATTTTGTTTGATTGATTAGAAGATTTCATCATGAGGTGACATGAGTTAGAGAACCATTGGAATACTAGCATGGAGTACTGGATAGTTGTTTCATGCTAGCTTGGAACTCCTTAGCAATACGCACCCACCGCCAGAGTTCGAACCCAAGATCTTCTGGTTACAAGGCTAGCGAGCTCGTAGACCATTAAGCCACTGGGACCGATCCAACGGCTAACGCACGAATTCTAACTTCTGCCAATTCATGAAATAACCTGACCACTTCGCAATGTCTTCTTTGATGATTAACTGTCCTCACACCCGACCTGTCACAGCTTCCCACTAGAACCCGAGGTAACTGCTTACCTGAATAGGGCCAGTCGCTAGTGAGCATCAGATCGACTTTCAAGTATTGGTTTTATAGGGATTTTTTTGTTTAATTGGTTGGAGGATTCCATCATCAGCTGACATTAGTTAGAGAGCCATTAGAAAATCGGCTGATGAGTCCCCAAATAGGACGAAACAGCAGTCCAGTACTCCCTGTAGTTTTCTCAATGCTTCTCTAACTGATGTCGGCTGATGATGAAACATTTTTTTTGACACAAATAAAATGTTGTGCGAAATCTTAATTTCCTTTTTTTTCTCTTTTGTATCCATGTGCGCACGTGTGTGTGTGTGTGCGTGTTTATTTTCTTTCCACTAAAATATAAAAAAAACCACGCGCGAAAAACAGGCTCAATTGAAAGCAGCTGCTCGAAGTTTGGAGGATAGTTTATCGCTTCTAGATCAACGTTATTCACCTATGGAGATTTTATATGATTGTTTTGTATTTCATAATGGAAGTGAATGGGTGTAAGTGAAACTACTGTTAATTACCATTATTATTATTATTACTGTTAAATCACATGTGATGATTTTTCTGTCATTCCTGGCGTCTCGAATGCAGCATAAGAAGCTTTATGTCTTGAAATATCAGTATCGAGCTTATTACCTGCTAGACGAGGTTTAGCAATGCGTCAACTGGGTATCAAATCCGGACCTACCTCGTGGCCGGTGAACATTTCATCGCCGAACCACCAACCCATACTATCCTGGTAATTTGATACTGATGTGATCATTATGTGAGTTGGTTTGCAGAGATTTAATTGATTATGATCAGTTGGAAAACCAGCATGGAGTACTGGACAGATGTTTCGTCAGCCTAGTTTGGGACTCCTCAGTAGCACGCGCCCACCGGGCTTTGAACCCAGGACCTTCTGGTAACAAAAGTATGCTCGTAGACCATTCAGTTACTGGAACCCAGCCCAGTGGTGCATGAATCTCAACTTCTGCCAGTTTCCTTCTTTTCCTGGTCTACTATCAGCTAGTAAACATGGCAAGGTTTCGGAGGCCGAGAATCGAAGTCGAACCTACAGCGTGTGGCTAGTGAGTATTCTACCGGTAAACCACCAGTGCACGATGAGATTCATTGCTGGAGATGATTTAAAGTATTATCTAAATATAAATCATAAAATCTTTCTGCCATCTTCAAAATTACCAGCGACTTATTCCAGTTGATATTTAGTTTAGCAGTTGAAAAGGAGCTGTGCAACTGAGTAATTTATAGCCTGTTGGCTTCATATAACTTCACTTGCAACCCAGTGGATTCTGGGTTTGAAGTATGCTCGGCATAATTCATTCAGCCTATATAACTGGTTGTATTGTCTGTCATCGAAGCATCCACACAAGGTGCCGATATATCGACAGAAGCCAAGCACTTTGGTCCGATCAATCAACAGGAAAGTCCAAATTGAATTAAACAATAGCTAACACTTATTGCACAAGAGCTGGCTGTTGTGGTCCATTTGGTCTATTGGGTAACACTTTGGTGTCTGAAACTATGGGAACTGGGTTCGATCTCCAGTGGGAACACCATCACTCACTGGGGGATGCAGGCACATCCAGATGATGAGTCCCGAATAGGACGAAGTGCGCATCCTGGATTTCACTGCTAGTCACCAAATCACTTCAAGGAGACAAAAGGTTTGCTTAATAAGAGTCAGGGAAGTTTATATGTACAGAATAGAAAGTCATACCTAGAAGGTGCAACGTAACATAGTATTTATGAATTTATGGATTCCACAGCAGGATAGGGTAGCAGTAGTGGCTGGCTGAACCTGTTTCTTTTGCACTCAGAGATCTGGTTGTTTTAAGAGAATTGCAACAGCCTCTGCTGTTTTGTGCATTTGGTACCTAGAAGCTTTTGACTACTTATTTGGTACCGGAGAGATTATAGAAAAAGGTTACTTAATTCTAGCCTGTTTGGACCCACCAGACAGTCTAATATTGAACTGTAGGTTTTAACTACACCTTTGCTTGGCCACACCGGTAGGCAGGAGAGCACGAAAAAAGAAGGTTCTAGTGCAACTAACGGCCAATATAACTGGCTCCAGAGAAGTAGTCGAATTGAAAGATACGAGAAGAGATGGTTAACCTAAGTGCTAACTAAATCTTCCAACTGAGGAATTACAGCTGATTGTGTGGAAGATATGAGCTGCGGCTTACCGGTATTAAGCGTACTTTGAATCGATTTTTTTTAACTGGAGGTTTGCTTTTATTTAACCATATTCTTGTAGAGTATTCTCCTTTTCAACTTTCGTATTACTTTTAACCAGCAGCGTGAACTTGAAGTGAACAGACTGTCTAATTACATCATTTTCTAGTAGTTATGGTTATATGGCATTTTTTCTGGTATGGACCTTGACTGTAGCACGCTGTTAGGTAAGACAGGTTAGTCAGTGAATAAGGTCGTGAATCCCTGTAGTTCGAGGTGGTAGTTCTGATTTGTGGTGCATGCTGCATTATAGTCTTTCAAACAAAGTAATCTTAACTGAAGTGGGATTAGCTTAATGAAAATGGTTGGGAATATTTAAAGCTATCTGACCGTAAGTCTAAGTTATCTGCAGATACATAGTTTACCTTCTTGTAGTCTCGAATTATTAAGCTTCCGATAATTGGAGACTCTTGATGAAATGGCTCAGAAATGCTGACTATTTGTCATTTACGAACTCCTTCATTGAGTTATTGCGTCTCTACTCAAATTCATGCTTGTCCACTTTAACATTTGGATAGAGAAGTTAAACTTTAAGCACCATTAACTAACAATCAGCAAATGATCTTGGATGCACCAATCAATGGAGAAGGCTATTTTTATGTATAAAATACGTATGGAAATGATGTATAGAAAAAGCATGAAAATGTTACACAGAATACCTTCCTCTAATATATGACAAAAATGACTCCCAGTTTTCCATACGTCTATCAGTTGAGGAGTTGAACCACACTCTGTACATTTATTTATCTAAATGTATTTAAATAACATCCTTTTGAGATCTTTTAATGGCTCTAGTCCTGTTCTTCAGTCTTCTCCGAAATCCTCCGATAGAATTAATGTGAGTTCTTGTAAGAGGATCCACAAAATCACTAGTATGGTTTACTTTACGGTGAATATATATTTCAGGGACGACAATGAGTTATATCCCTTCCATTCATCTTTTTTGTATTATAGATCCTCGTTCCACCGATCTAGTGATATACTTTCTGTCTGATATATTTTTTTACGAATCGTACAATCCAGTTACCCAAACGTTATTCGGTTTTTCACGACCACAGCTGTACTTCCTTTTTATGAGAACTTTTTCATCTGTATGCACAATAACACCTCTTCCCAATAAAATAGTCGCTCTCTTCATCTTCGAAGATGCAACATTGCTACAGTGCTGATACCACTGAACGGCTGAAATGAGACTATTCTCTGTTCCAGCAGCTGTAGTTCTCACAGAGTATTTTATGTAATAATAATTATTATTCCCTTGAGTTCTGAGTAAAATATAGGGCTTCAACAACACATCTCCACTTTGTCCTATCTTCTGACGTCCTCTTCAACTGGGTCTAAGATTGCCCACAATCTCCCACCTCCTTTACATCGCACGACCTTTCCCATGTTACCCTCGCACCTACGACCTATTCGTCGTTTTCCATTGGGATTCCACTCTAGGGCCTGATGCGCAATGTGATTCAACGGTCTCCTCAATGTTTACCCGATCCACCTCCATTTTCTCCTACCTATTTGTTGAGCTGACTGACTGGCTGACTGGTTTCACCAAAGTAGAACTTTGCACCGATGTGCAGTAGTTCGAGTCGTCATACTTCACTCAGCACCGAAAGACAGTAAAGAAAGTAAAAAGAAATGCAAAACAGAGACAGTAAACAGAGATAGGAGGCAAAAAGAATAGTAACATTGAAGAACAGTAGAGTCTTTTTGGATAAGTCACAAGAAGTGGATGCATTTGAGCCAGCTGTTGAAAACGATTTTAAGCCGTATCACTAATTGTCTCCCGTCTTCATTGGTTTTTACTATCCTGAGGACCCCAACCAGGAAGGCTTGCTTAAACTCACTGTTATGGATTTCATTGACTGATGAAGCCATGTTTTAGTTTGACCACCACTAACTACCTCTTTTCCAACCTGATCGATCTTATGTCAACTAACATTACCCATTGTCGAGGAAGGCGACAGTTAGTCATGCGTAACACATGGTCTAACCATCTCAATCGGTATAACTTTATAACCTCGTTGACTAATTCCTCACCCTCTTACCCAACACTCGACCGATGCCTAACTTCAATATTGCTCACCTTATTACACCACTTAACACGGAAGATGGAACATAAACATCTATGATCAAAGAAAGCCAGCCAGGCTTTTCATGTCTTCCACTTTCAATGACCATGTCTCACTCACAGCCATAAAGGAGGAGGACGGAGCGGACTATTGGGCGATCGGCTCTTGGTTGGTTTGTTCCCAGGCAGAGTTTCTTGTCGTTGATTCTTTCTGGCCATTCGATCTTTAGTATGCAGTCATCGAAGACAAATATACAAGATCTGGGTTAGTGACAAGTGGAATCTAGCAAAAATGTCTCTACGAGTTCGTATAATCATCAGCTTACCTTCCTTCGTCTCAAATAAACTTCACAATAGTGAACATATCCATCAACCGATCTACTGAAGCTTTGGATACTCACATAATTCTTCTACAGGAACAAATTCTTTCCTTTCCTTTCCAATCTATCCCATATCTAAGCAATACTGGAAAACGTGGCCTTCGTCGTTAAATTTCAGACCTAACTCCGTTAGAGTAGATATTATTTCACTTGAATCAAGCAGAACGAAAGCTTAAGCTCGCATGGAGAAAATTATTGCTGTCCATTCATGGTCATTGGTGCGGTGGTCGTACTTCGTCGATAGTTACTAATGCCTAAAGTTTAACTTGACCTATTTGATATAAGTGTAAAACTTCGGCACTGTGATAGAGCATAACTCCGTTATGGATAAGATTTTATTTTGATAAATCACACAGTTCATGAATAATTCCCATTTGAACATTAGTAGACAGAAGACAAGTAGTTCAGCGAAGAGTCTCTTTTCGGCGAATTCATTTTCATAGCTGTACAATCGCAAATATATATGGTTATTTTGTGTGTGTGTGTGTGTATACATTAAATTTGTCAAACGAAAATACAATTAGTAAGTTCAGATGAATTGGATGTTGATAAGAGGATAGCAACAAAAGTGATGAGTTGTCAAAAACGATTGTTAAAGAGGAGTAAGTTCAGGTGAATTGGATGTTCATATAAGAGGATAGTAACAAAAGTGATAAGTTGTCATAAATGATTGTTAAATAAGAGTTACGTAATGGCATGAATAGTTTGATGTATGAGTTGTGCTCAAAGGGTGTACATGGAAACAAAATAATATACAGAATTACACAAGGGTTTTAAGATAGAAAAATAAGCATACAAACAGAAGTAAGGTCAAATCAAACAAACAAACAAAAGTTAGGTCAAATCAAAGGAGTAGTTACCATGCGAGTAGAAGTGGTTGGATAATTTTCTTTTGTAAGCATAGTTCTGGTTCCTCCGACTGGATGGCTAGGGCTTCTGCGATGCAAAGAAGACGGAATCGTACTGTCTTTGGAAGGTTGTTCTTCACTTTGTAGATTACTTTGAAGGAGGCGTTCGTTGAGATGGAATGACCAGTATTGACGAGATGTTCGATTATTGCACTCCTTATATGGCCATTATTTCCTTTCTGTAGCCACGCTGGATAGTGTTCTTTTACCCTTTTAGACAGGATGCGCGTTGAACGACCGATGTACCTGGCTCCACACAGTGCTGTACACTAATATTTACTGATGACCACGTTTCAAGCAAAAATTATTGCTCATAATCATATCAAGGCGCTACTCACACAACACTTTCCCTTCATTTATATACATGTGTGGAATTGATTAGATATTGGAATAAAATTCAATATGAGATAGTGTACATTCAGAAATAATAATACAAGTGTTATTGACCAATTACAATTAGGTGTAGACTCGATGAACAAGGATTCCGTAATCAACCTCTCCACCTACCTAGATTACTTTTTAGAATTTTAACCCTATCCCACCCTATTGTGTGGTTGTTTGTTAATGCGTGAAGTGCGATTGCTGAGCTTTTTTCTAAATTACTTATCTTTTCAGGGTCAACCATCCTTCCTTAGCTAAATTCTTATGTTCTGATAATCTGACTACCCCTAACCTACTAGTTTAACTTATGTAGTTGACCTAACTCACAGTCGTTGCAAGGTATTTTGTAAATTATATTATTTTGTCTAATTAGATCTACCCGCAGGGGCCTTTAACCTACAGAACTTGTCCCTGAGTGAGTTTGTAGATTTGAATGCCATTCTAATTCCTGCTTTATTAAGACTCCTAAGTATGGTCTCAGGTGCTCCGTCCTTACATGGTATAACAATGAATGACTTATATTCTCTCTTATTTATGTTATCATTACTAGCTTCACAATTATTTTTATTTTGTTTTTGGCCTTTACTGATCTTCCTAATGAATTTTATAGGATAGATAGTTATTTAACACCAACGCCTCTTCTTCTATCTGTTTCATTTCATCATTTAGGTCTTTTTTGTGCTACTTAGTGCTATGGCTCGGTTTGTTAGACACTTAACTAAGCCTACCTATACAGAGAATCGATGAGATGAATTAAAGTCGAATTATCTCTTAGAATGTGTTGAATTTTTATAAACACTAGTGTGTATTTTGCCTTCTTCTATTCGTCTTATTTTACAACATAACATAGCTAATTCTCGTTGTTCATTTTTTGATTAAAATGTGCATTTTATTCCCTTTACTTGTAGGTTTATTTGTGTCAAGAAGCTAGAGATCTGTTCTGTTTCTAACACTGTGACTGAAAGTGTCATCCACATATCTCCACCATATTTTTCGAGTAGGATTAAATGTATTAATAATACTATTTTCCCAGCTGTCCATAAATATGTCTGCTACGATAGGGGATATTGGTAATCCATCTCATTGCTACACCTTCTGTTTGTCTATATATTTTACCTTGGAATTTAAAGATAATAGATATAAGGCATAACAGAATCCCTAAAATAATTTCTTCAGTGGGCAGCAATAGTTTAACTCATTTGACTTTTATTCTCCTCTGTTTTAAAAAGAAATGTAAATCTGTCTGACATTCGTTTCCCAATATTGAATGCAAATTTTTATTGTTCTTGAATTGTCTGTCCTCTTTGTTTCCCTTTTCAGTGCTTGTGTAGACACTAGTCCTTATAATCCTGGTAAAAAATTATCTGATCTACCATTGTTACGCGATTATACAGTGAATCATGAATATGCATCATTCGGTGAACAAAGTAAGTTCATTATATTCAATTTGTTTATCTCCTAACCACCGCCTTCACCTCCGCCACCATTGACAACAAGCACCAATCACCATCAACACAGGAAAAAATTGAACGAAATCTATGGCAGTGGGGGACAGATGATGACGTTAAAGCCATCCTGGTTTAGAAAAGCCAGACAGACACTTATTGATCTAAAATCAATGTGGAAATCTATTACCCTCAGCACACATATGGGACAAGATCTAGATTTTCAAATACTTGACACACGAGTTATCAAAAGCATTTACAACAGGCTTCTTCAAACTTTCTCTGACTGTATGACTGAAGATCAGATAGTCAGCCAGGAAGGATAAGCAATAAGAAACTGTGGCAGGTGAAAAAAAATCATCCAAAAAATATGTCAAAGGAAGTCGAAATAAATCAGACACACGCCACTGAAGAGACTGTTGAGTGTGACAACACACACACACACACCACAAATCTGAATGGGGAAGTGACGAGTTGGACAAGGATTCGAGGATGACATAAAGAAGATCATGTGCTGGGGAGGTGAGAGCTTATGAAGAATCGTGAAGCCAGCTAAAGACGACATTAGAAAACAGGATGATTTAGAAATGTCCTGTTAAAGTCCTATGTTACACTCGGAACCTAATGAAATAATAATAATTTGTTTACTTCAGCGTTTAACTTCTGTTTATTATGTAGCGGGTTTGAACTACAGTGTACCATCTGGTAAGATGGTGTGGTGAGAGATGGCTGCTAGCCAAATTGGTAGACAGTAATTGCACTACTGATTCTTCATCCTAAGTGGGAGGCTCACGTCGAAGTAGATTCGTCAATTTCACCGCCAACACTAAAGGGTCTCCATCAGGTCCCAGCTTCGTTGAATAGAACTGCTGCATTGCTAGCTGTCTGTCTGTTGCGCTGTCGAACTCCGACACCAATCGTTCAACCAATATCTTCCAAGACGGTGTGCCATCTGACCTGTCTACGCTGTCATATGCCGCCTTCGCTTGGTCTGTCAACAGCGTCCCCAGGACAACCGCCTTCGCCGCCTGCTCCTTGACACCTGCCAACTCAGCAACGCCCTCGAAGTCAGGTAATAAGCTCCGTGTGTCTCCTTCTTTAGACGCAGTTAGCCATGGGATCTTCATTTTTTGGAGCCAGCGACACCAATTGTAACGACAGAAGGCAAGAGTCAGGCAACAGATGGTTTATTAAGGAAATCAACATATATTTATAGATTTTCATGTACATATCATAGATTATTGTTAGCAGAAAAACACAGTCTTCTGATTGGTTGTTTATCACAGAAAGTTAACCTTGTATCTCTTTGTGGCTGTTTCTTGAATGTCAGATCATCTATATGTTAACTGTATCCGCCTACTCAGTCTGCTGTCAGTCTTTGTTCTTGTTTTCACATGACTAGTATTAGCGGCATAAACATTGACGTAAATTACTGTCTACCAATTTGGCTTGCAGCCATCTTTCACCACAATGGTTCTAAGAACCTAGTTCTATGTTATCTGATTACATACTTGAATAAAAATGGAGTGGCTGGTACTCAAAATACCTCTTCTCTTTTGTGTCCAGTCAGCAATGATCCAGATATCTATTTTTTATGAAGGCTAGTTGTAACAACAGAAGACAAGGGCCAGGCAACAGATCGTTTTATTATGAAAATCAACACGTATTTATATAAATTTCACATATATTATTATAGCTTATGCAAGTAGACAAGCGCGGTCTTCTGATTGGTTGTTTATCAGAAGTTAAGCAGACAAACGCAGGCTTCTTATTGATTGTTTCGGGATTCCTCGAAAAGTAGAGTTCTCTATCTGCGAATCATATTTTGCCACGTTAACTCTGCTGTGATTGGTTGTTGAATCAGCCTTGCTCATATTTTCTCACGGCCTGCTCTCACCACATAGTCATAGAACTTGGCTGTTCAAACCACGATAAGTGTGTGGCGGCTTTTCATATCTTCCACTTTCAGTGACTATATATCATAACCACAGAGGAGAACTGAGCGAACTGCTGCGTAGTACTTGCGTCCTTTTCGATAAAATAAGCGGATATCATATCTACGTAAAAGATATCATACATTGGAAAATGGCACACAAGCCTTTTCTATTCGTGATCAGATTTTGTCGGCAATCAGTGCATATTAGGGCATAATACAACTTCTCACAGAAATGAAGCAGTCAGCACGCCCTACTACTTCATTCTCTATCTTTAAACTAGGAGTTGATGTAGTCCAGTTCAATGGCATCGTCCTACATTTGACAGGAGAGAATCGCATTCTAAACATTTGAAGAGTTCTACTCAAGCTATTTGAAAGGCCCACTAAATGAAGTGAAACTATCATAGCCAAAATCAAGGTCTGCAAAAATTTGACCTTGAAGATCCAGCCAGATTAAGAGAACGCTATAAAATAGGTCATTCCAAATCAAATCCTGCCTGTATCTGTAGATTTGATGAGGGTAGTTGCATTATTCCGCTAGTCCCCTAAGTACTTTATTCTAGAAATCTACTCTGTCAGATAGATTTAGTGTTTTTAGGGTTAAGAGTAGGATTGGAGTTGCGGTGTCAAGAATACCAGTAGATCTGAAAGTACCATAATCTATAGTCATCTGGATAGATACGTCTGACGCACATGCTCTGGGATTTCTCTGTGGATTATCCTTGGAGTAACTGGAAGACATTCTTACAATAATTACTCATTGTAATGTTGTTTAACACATTTTTCTAAGGTTAATTGAGGTTTTTGTGCATCTAAATTCTGATTAGTTGTTCAAGGTCAAAGTAACTTTGTCTGTGATAGTTTCACTTCGCTGCTCACTATCATGCAGAAACACATTCTTTCATGTGCTTTTGGAAGTGTGAAGTGGTATAATAAGGTGAGCAATATTGAGGTTAGGCCATCGGTCGAGTACTAGGTAACGAGGGGAAATCAATCGATGAGGCTGTGAAATTACATCGACTGAGATGGTTAGGACATGTGTTGCGTATCCCTAGTCATCACCTTCCTCAACAAGGGGTAATGTTAGCTGACATATGGTCAGTTTGGAAAAGATCTAGTGGCGACCAAACCAAAACATGGCACCAGTCTATGAAATCCACAAGTGTTAGTTTAAGTCACACAGGGAGGTGTAGACTTCTTGTTTGGGGTGTTCGGGACGGTAAAACCAGTGGTTAGAAACAACTGGTAATATGGCTCAAAATCGTTCTCAAAGGCTGGTGCAGATGCATCCACTCCTTGTGACTTATAATTTCCAATGAAACTATATTGTTCTTCGTTATTGCTGTTCCTTTGTCTCACACCTCTGTTTACTGTCTGTATTATGCATTTCTTGTACTTTCTTCTCTTGTTGTGTGCTACATGGTGTGGCGACTTGAACTGTCCCACAGACAGACAGACATTCTTTCATATTTTCCCCATATATTATAACTGCTGTTTCAAAAGAACATTTAAAAAATCTTTTTCTCTCCTATTTTATCCATAAATGCCTTACAGCACAACTCTACTATACAGTGAAAATCTTTGACAATGGAAAACTATTACAAATTGTCACAAATAACAGTAGTCATGGTACTCATGTTGCTGCAATAGCCTCAGCTTATTTTCCCGCCTGTTCATCAAAGCATCCATCTAAGCATTCTCCTAGAAAACAGCCTACTGATGTTTTCGCCTCAGCCAATAAGACCATCACGGATGCGGCTAAGTCGATTTCGCATTTTTGTGATCGTAATGGTGTTGCCCAGGTGCACAGATTGTAAGCATTAAAATTTCCGATGGTCGATTAGGTCCAATGGAAACAGGCATCAGTTTACTACGTGCTGTAAGTTATACATGTGTGTTGATTGTGTGTTTTTTTTAAAATAATTTATTTTTGTTTTTACTAAAGCTAATAGTGTATTTCACTTGTGAGACATCATTTTAGAGGAAGAAAGAGAATGACTGTCTGTAAAAGCAGAAAGAGATGGAGATGGATTAGACATGCCTCTGACGAGACCTATTGAGTGACATCGCACACCAGACTGGCTCTCGAGTGGAATCTGAATAGGGAACGATGTGTTGTGCAGTGTTCCGAGTATAATATGGAAGAGATCGTGTGAGGAGGAGGGGGAGGGGGAGGAGGAGATGAGAGCTGCTTATAAGTAATCGAGGAGTCAGCTGCAAAAGATCGTAGAGAAATGGAGATATGCTGTTGAAGTCATATGTTCCATTAGGACTCCTTGCACTACTATCATGAAGACTGATTGACTGGTTTCAACTTAGGACTTTGCGCAGATGTGCAGCAGTTCGAGTTGCCACATTCTATGTAGGACACAGAGGTGGACAAAAGAGAAAAATAAACAGAAATTGGAAGTAACGATAATAACGAGGAATGCGAATGCGAATGTACAATAACATGGCAAAGTAAGAGGCTTCAGTGGATATTGCAGATCACAGAGAGTGAATGTGCATCTACTCCATCATTGACAACAGTTTTGAACCATTCCACCAATTGTCTCCAACCATTAGTTCTAAGCATCTTGAGGACCCTTACCAGGCAGTCTACATCTCCCTACTTGGTTGGCTCAAAGCATTCGTTAAAGTTTTTATGAACTGATTCAAAGTTTTGGTTTGACCACTACTAATTCCTTTTACCAACCTTATCCTATATCAACTGACATTACCCGTCGAGAAAAGAGGTGGCTAGGCATACGTAACACATTTCCTAACCATTTCAGTCAATGTAACTTAACAACCTCGTCGATTGATTCCCCCTCCTTACATCTAGCAGTCGAAAACTAACGTCGATGTTACTCACCCTATCGTACCACCTAATAATACGGAAGATAGAACAGTTAGATTTTACAGCCACTGGAACCCGGCCCAATGGCCCATAAATTCCAACTTCTGCCAATCTACCAATATATATAGCGCAACTGTCAACTAGTGTCATAAGAGAGTAATTATCCTCTCCCTTAACTTGTTGAACCCCACTGGTTAGGACTTCTCACTAGAACCCCAGGTAACTTCCTGCATGGAACCAGTCGCTAGTGAGCCTCAGATTAGCTATCGAGAGTAGGTTTTGTAGGGATATTATTGGTTACAGGACTGATCACAACTTGACATCAGTTCAGTACTCCCAGGTTTTCCAGTGGTTCTCTAACTGATGTCAACTGGTGATCCACCATGTAGCCGATCAAATCCTACAAAAGCAATACGTGATAATAAATAAGTGCTAATTAATGCAAAAGAAATTCTGATTGGTTGTTCAAGGCTGTTTATACACTTTTTGCAGTCTCACAGTTATTCATCAACAATTACTTTATTTTACCTCCATATATTCAATATTTATTCAACATTTAAAATAAAAGGAATGTTGTTAAAGGTATTGCAAGCAGAGCAAGAAATATATGTACGGATCACCTCTTACAAAAGGAATTTAAATATATTCACGATTCCTTGACGGAGATCGGCTATCCGAGTAGTTTCATTAAAAAACATATGAAAACATCAGGGAGAAAACCTGAGACTACGACTGCATGTAAAAATCCTCTATTTATTAAGCTACAATTTAATGGTGACTTGTCTAGTGAGACTTTGTTCCAGAGACTATGCAGGAGTATACGGAGAACGTTTTACGCAGCATACCTATGTTTGTCATTCTCTAGCCGACGAATGATTGGGACGCAAACGAAGGATAAGCTTGATAGTTTTGCCACAACTATGTGCATTTATCAATTCAACTGCACCTACGGTGACAGTTATGTTGGTCGCACCACTAGACAGCTTAGTCAACGTGTTAGTGAACATCTCTGATCGTGGTTTGGCAAAGGACAGACGAAGGCAATCCGTAGCTCAATTTTGTCACATTTTCTTGGTAGTCGTCATGTCGTAGAGGAAACGAGAGCTTTCAAAGTAATTCATCGTATCCCACCTAATCTTTTCAGCAGACTTCGTATTCGTCTACTGCACACACACACAGCTGAGGCGATAGGCATTTGAACTAATAAACCTAAACTATGCATTCAAAAGAAGTTCGTACAGCCATTATCCCTTCGTTGCTGGCCTATTAAGACATAACCAATTAATGACTTCTACACCACCGCTTGTTTATATTTTCTACCCCTATCTGATCATCCCTAAATCTTATCTTCATTAAAAGCGTGTCTCATTTACTTCCCTTACAATCAGTCTAGCATTACGTAATCGGTACATTTGTTTTTACTAGCCTTTAGTGACTACTTCCACCTGAACAACTGTTTGTTTAATCATACTGTTTTTCATTATTCGTGTTATCACAGATTGCCTGACTTTTTCATCCTTATTATTGATAAGATCATTCTTATTATTATGATTATTATTATCATCACTACTATTATAACTAATTGCAGAATTTATATTCACCATCTATTATCCTATAGACAAAACACCATGATCGGTTTATATTTGAATTTTATTCGTAAAATTATGTATATATTAGAGTTAAGCCTAATGAGATCTAATTGAAAACAACAATATTGTTCGCTTAAATGTGTCGTTCTAAATTTTACTATGGGAATATTTAATATATTCAATATTTTATTATTACTATTTTGTTTAGATTAGATGGACAATTGAATTACAATGTGATATTGTTAATTATAGTTTTGGGGAACAAGTGATTTGGCCAAATGTTGGGTTAGTTTAACTTATCTATCTATTACAGTAGAGTTTTGCATTTTTATTGAATTAATTTGAAAAAGACTCGAGGATACTTTAGTATTCTCTTAGGAATTTTAATGATTACCGAGTTATATCAAGAACGAACATAAGTTAGAGACGCAATGAAAACAGGGGATACTGGGCAACTGTTTTGTCGTATGATCTTACAAAGGGTTGAGCCTTGGTACCTGACGTTACAAGGCAAGCCCGTTGACCATCCAACCACTGGGGCGGTGGCGTCCACTAGCCCATGTATTCTAACTTTTGCCAATTCTCCGATATATAGCTCTACCACCAACCTGTATCATCGGCGAGTATTATTTAGTTAGGCGATGTACGGTTCACTAGTGACTCATTACAGGTTGAAGTTATCTGGATTATTCTAGTAAGAAGTTGTTATCAACGGGGTCTGCCAAGTCGGATGTAAGAACAAATATTTGCTAATGACACTGTCTGGCGATGGCGTTATATACCGCAACCTGGCAGGAGTTGGAGTTGATGGGCCCTTGAATTTCGTCATTCGCCTAGTGACCGGAAGTTTCTCGTTTAAACTCTTCACGAGGTCATTGGCGTGTGTACTATTGAAGAGTCTGAAACTAGCAAGAAACAGCTGGTCCAGTTCCCTTTGGTTTCCTATGGTTCTCTGACTTATATCACTTTGTGATGTAGCTTGAAATATTGTATACAAGAAGAAGAATAGTAGCATGGAAAAAGCGTGAAGGCTTAATGGATCGGGAGATTACAAGTTTGGATGCAGCTGCATCATTGAGATAGATTTTCTACCATATCCTAGCCATCTCAGTCAATGTAGCTTCACAAATTTATGGATTGAATTTTTTCTCCATACCTGATACTTTATGCATAACGTCATCAATATTTACTCACCAGATTATACTAAGTAACACAGGAGATAGGACCTATGCATCTGTTATCAATGACGGTTAGTCTTTTCATAACTTCCACTTTCAATCTTTCGCAGTCCTTTGGTCGATAGCTGGCTATCACGTCTACTCCAGAGATGATGTAAATTGACTCGCGATACAAGAACCGCTATGATTTCATCAGCAACCACAGTGCATTACAGTCGATACAACTTCCCGTGTGAATGAAGCGGCGGTGAATACTCTCTACTCTTTCACTGTCTATCTTTAAGCAAGGAGTCAACGGTGTAGTCCAGTCTAGTCCATCAGTATCATTCTGCATTTTGACAGGGGCGCAAACATCGATATCCTGTTGTGATGAGTTATTAGATAACCCTACACACACACATTTTACCGCTAATCAGTATCAAATAAATGACAACTGTTCAGACTAGAGAATTTGTGTAGATTTTGGATTAATTTCAATTTTTGGGCTTTCGTCACAAGCCAGTATCAGTTACAGAGAGATTAGCAATGATCTATCTACCTGACGTTGGTTCGTGACGAAAGCCTAACAATCGGAATGGCATATGTGTTATGTCTGACTCTGAAGTATCTTGTGAATAGCTATACATCATTCGAGCTGGTCATTTTTCCGTAAAGGTACACAGTGGAACATTCAGATTTTAAATATCCTTCCAGTTTTGTAGTGTTTATGATAAACAGAACGAAAAGTATGGCCTAAACTCCTTCTTCACCTATCAGTCAACAGAATGAATGTATATGTGATAAACTGAAGAAAGTTACATAATTGTGGTAGACAGAGCATTCATGAATAATCCCTATCTAAACATTTAGGAAAAGAACAAAACACATAGTTCAGTGAAGAGAGGCTCTTTTCCGCGAATCGGTTTTCCTCTTTAGCTGTACGATAGCATTTATATACAATCTACTCTTTCATGAGAGAGGATAGTAACAGAATTGAGCAGTTATCACAAACAAAATTTTTCAAGAATCAGTTTGTAGAGATTCTATTTATTTCAGGTTAGACCACGGATTGATATCAGGTAGAAAACTATTGAAAACACATCGGGGAGTACTGGACGGCCAGTTGTTTCTTCCTAGTTTGGGACTCCATCTTCAGTACGCACCTACCACCAAAGTTCGAACCCAGGACTGTCCGGTTACAAGTCAAGCTGGCTCGTATACCATTCACCCAGCCACTGGGACCCGATTCAGTGGCCAGTGCATGAATTCTAACTTCTACCAATTCGTGATTTAGTGCGACCCCAACCATTGTCGTCTGTGGGACATCCATACTCACACGTGACATCTGGATGAACCTCACTGGTCACCTCACTTCTCACTAAAGCTGACTCCAGGAAACTCCGTCTTGTAGTGAGTCACTTACTAGCGAGCATCAGATTAATTTTCTATAGTTTAGTTTTTAAGAGTTAGTTATGTTTTTACGAGTTGATCACGGATTGATATCAGTTAGAGAACTATTTTAGCGCGGCCACCAACCACGAATTGGTAGAAGTTAGAATTCATGAGCCATTGAATCGGGTCCCAGTGGAGGAATGGTATACGAGCTTGACTTGTAACCGGAAAGTCCTGGGTTCGAACCTTGGCCGTGGGTGCGTACTGCTGATGATTCCCAAACGACTGTCTAGTACTCCCTGACTTTTAATGGTTCTCTAACTGATATTCATCCGTTGTCTAACCTGAAACAAACATAGTTGTTAATATTAGTCAATGCAACAAGAGGAGTTGAATAAGTGTATTAAAGTTACGTAATCTGGTGGACGGATGCACGTAGAAAAGAAGGCGAATATGGAATTATGTAAGAGTTCAAAAGAAACACAAAAGTTATAAGGAGTTAGAAAAACAAACAAGCAAAAATCAAGACGGTAGAAACTAACAAGCTTGTTACCATGATAATAAAAGTGGTTGAATATTTTTGTTTTGTATGCATAGCTCCGATCGGTTTCTCTAACTGAATGGCTAAAGCTTCAACAATGCTCAGAGGAGACGAAAGCGTGTTATCGCTCGCAGTTTGTTCTTCACTTTGTAGACTACTTTGAAGGAGGTGTTTGTTGAGATGGAATGGCCAGTGTTGACAAGATATTCGATTATCGCACTCCTTATAGGAGCCACTACTGCCTTTCTGAAACCGTGAGGGGGATGTTGTTGTTGAACACTTTTAGACAGGACACACGTCGAACGACCAATTTACCTGGCTGCACAGAAACAGGTGAACTGATATATGCACATAGAAGTGGTTAGATGCGAGATGTTGTCCTTAAGGCTTCTGTAGATCAATGGACGACTAGAGCTCACTACTTCTGGCGTTGCTGCGATGAATGTTGTTCTTAAACATACTGAAATTTTTCCCTTAAGTATAACACAGGCTAAGTAAAGTGGAGTAGAGTAGACAGAGTTCTGACAATATTTAATAATTAATAAAATTTCATTTAGTGCTGAAGATGGTAGTTTTATTGATTTTCTATCTTGAGATAGGCTCATACACATATTGTTACAGTTTTCCAAACAATCACTATTGACCTAAATTACTTAGTTGTAGAGTCCCATCACTTTAGTATCAAGGGATTCCCCAGTATTTGAGGAAATATCTGTTGTAGACACAAGTGTGGTGGAAGTTACGGACAGTTTAGCCTGAATTCTTGCAGTGGGAGTTATAATTTTAAAACTATCAAATAATTTGTTTATTAGGTACTTAAAGCAGATTTTGAGCCCATGGCCTATACCAGTTCACTTTATTATTATTATTATTACTATATCCTTTAGTTCCTAGAGGAACATAGGGCTTCAGCTGCGCACCTCCATTGCCTTCTGTTTTCTGCCAACTTTTTCACCCCGCTCAAGTCTGCCCATATGCTTTCATCTCCTCCTCACATGACTTCCTCCAAGTCACCCTTGCACTGACGACCAACTCGCCGCTTCCCATTTTGTCGGGTTCCACTACGTGGACACAATAATGATTCAAAGCTTCAGCTAAGACAGATAAGGCGGTAGACTTTATTTTCTTGTTACTTTCTTCTCAGTAGTTGTAACTTGTTGTAACATACTTCCTAATCTACTTTTCTTTAAAAAAAACCACACAAAAACAAACAACAGACGGATTTCAAAATACTTGAACAGAATGATCCATAAACACGGTATTATTATGGTGGCAAGCGGTGGGAATAATGGGCCAAGTCTAGGTACACTCAGTTGTCCAGGTGGTACAGTTCAAGGTGTAATAGGTGAGTTGGTGACATAATTATTTCTTACTCAAAGATTATTATGTATATATAGTCTTTGGTAATCTTTTTGACTTATCTTCTACAATTGTCGGTTAGGTTATAGGATACTTTAGGCGCTGAGAACTAGGAACACGCTGGTTACATGAAAGTGGGTTACACAGGATACCTTTCTGTGAGGTATGAGAAAAAAGTCACCTCCCAGTTTTCAACTGGCGTGTCAATAGGAAAATTAAATCACATTCTATACATGAATTCATGTGGCAGGGCGTCCTTTTGAGTTTGATTGACGGTACAAATCCTATTCCTCAGTCTTCCGCAAAATCCTTTGGTAGAATTGGTGTGGATACCTGTGGCGGGATCCGCAAAGTCGTTGGAATGGCTAACCCTGTGGGGGAATATAACCAGGAATGATGATGAAATATACCCTCGCCATTCGCCTCTGTACATTATAGATCCATATCTTTCGAGTGTAGTAATAATGGGTTCTAGAGTAGCAAGCAGACTTCCCCTGTCTGATATTCTTTCCATGAATGCTTTGCGTAAGTTGGTATCGTTTAATTTAAGGAACCAATCATTTTTGGCTTTCTTGCGACCTAAGTTTCTTATTAATAATGGTCCCTTGGGTTTCGAGTGGAACGTAAGGGCTTTAACAGAACATCTCCACTTTGTACTATTATCTGCGGTCCTCTTCAGTTAGTCCTACGACTACCCATAAGCTTTCTTCTCCTCCTTACACGATCTCCTCCATGTTACCCTTGGAGCTCAGCCCAACTCGTCGTTTCTCATTTGGTTTCCACTTGAACGATGGCCTGGTTCGCGATGTCATTCGATGGTCTCCACAGAGTGTTTGATCTATCTTCATTTTATTAGGAATATTTGTTGAGGAATAGGTTCTTGGTTGGTTGGTTCGTTCCCATAGTTTCGTGTTGCTAAGGCAGCTATAACTGTTAGGAACGCCTTTTGTGACGTGACGAGTTTCTCACCCATATACAGGCACTAATTGATTTTGTTGTTGATGCTGGTTGAGTGTAAAAGATTTCCAGAGTAATTTCAGAGTGGTGAAGGCTTTGACTTCTTCATCCGTGCTGTCCGTCTGTAGTTCAAACGATGCTTCTTAGACAAGTGAAGGAAGTGACCTGTTTCTAATTTCTCCCGTTGATAGAGATTAGTTATTGTTGTTGTTTGGTTATTTTCGTTGTCTCCGTCTTCTGTTCGTTTGCTTGAAGTTCTATATTTGCTGCTTCTTCAGCCAATCTGCTGGTTTTCGCCTGTTATTCTTCGGGTTTATGTGATATCAGTCATAAGTCATCTACGGAGTCCAGATCTTCTGGAGTCTTCTTATCGGTGTTCCAGCATATTCCTGTCCTCTCACTCTTGACGCACAATCTTCCACATAATCCAGACCATCACAATTGGAAATATCATTGTGGGTGATAGATAGTAGGCAGCCTTGTTTTACCATTGCATTCACTTCGAACACCGCACTGAGTTTTCCGTTGTGGATCACCTGACAAGTGGTACTGAATGAGGTCGATAAAGATTTAGGGCACTGCATAGTGTTGGAGTTGTTTCCAAATTATTCCTCAACCTTGGCTGTATTATCTTTTCCTCAGCACTGTTTCATCTGTATGAATGACAATATCTCCCTATCAAGAATTTACTTTTTCCATCTTCTAGAACACAATATCTCCACAGTGCTGATACCATTGAATGGTTGAAACGAGACTGTTTTCAGTATCAGTAGATGTAGCTTTATTACCCTGTAATAGTAAATATATGCAATCTGAGTTAATGATAGTTGCGATCTCGCAAAAAACGTTCCTACGAAGTAATGTCGTCAACAGCTTACTATCTCTAACTACTAGCCTTGCCTCCAGCGACGAAAAGCATGTCAATTGACAGCTCTGCTGAAGTTTCCTGTCCTCATAATACCTCCACAGGGGACAATATATTATGCTTGCATTCACTCTCACATCCAAACAATAAGAAAACACGTACCCACTGGAGTTCGAACCCAGGATCTTCGGGTTACTAGTCTAACGAGCTCGTAGACCAATAAGCCACTGGGACCCAATTCAATGGCCAGCCCATGAATTCTAACTTCTTCGCATTCACAACATAGCGCGACCACCTCGCGCAATGTCTTCTTTGATGAGTAACTGTCTTCACCTTCGACCTGCTGTATCCTACTGGTTAGGGCTTCCCACTTGAACCCCAGGTTAACTGCCTGATTAGAGCCAGCCGCTAGTGAGCATCAGATTAATTTTCAAGTGTTATATTTTGTAGGGTTTTAGTTTGATTGGTTGGAGGATTTTATCATCGGCTGACGTCAGTTGGAGAACCACTGGAAAACCCGGGAGTACTGGACAGCTATTTCGTCCTAATTTGGGACTCTTCATGAGTTAACAGAAGTTAGAATTCACGAGGCATTGGGTCGGGTCCCAGTAGCTTAATGGCCTACGAGCTCGTTAGCCTTGTAACCAGACGTTCCTTGGTTCGGACCCTGTTGGTGGTTGCGTACTGATGAAGAGTCCCCAACTAGGACGAAACAGCTCTCCAGTACCGCATGATTTTGTTCCACTTATATGCTAATTTTTGAATACAAAGCTGCGACTAATAAATATTTCTAAGAGGGAAAGGAAGGGAGAGAAATGTAAGCCTAGGATTTTCAAAACCTTTTATTTTTCGCTTATTACAAACAACATTTTTTTCTCTCTCGAATATTTCCTGTTCCCCACGATGTTCAGGTGTTGCTCCATTGGTATTTCCTGATATGATGCGTAATTTATACAGTCAACCGGATGATCCATTCGCACTACAATATCAATCCACTTGTGAAGATTCTTCTTCTTACAATGATTCGTTACAAGCAACTTGTCAACAGGATGAAATGAATACAGTTTCTCAAAATTCACAAACTGCTCAACCAACTGCTTATAATTGGGGTAGTCGTGGTCCAGCATTTGATGGAGCTTTGGGATTGTGTGTTGCTGCTCCAGGCGGTGCTAACACCTCTATTGCTAGTTGGCAGTTAAAACCATGCGGTCTGTTAAGTGGAAGTTCAATGAGTGCACCAATGGTCACTGGTGGGATAAGTAAGTGACTCTTTAATTGAATTTTCGATTTTCCCGTCGATTGAAGGACCGAATTGCTCGGTCTCAGGTTGACGTGTCGGCTTCTTCTGCAGATGCTTCGACGATGTTTGGGCATTTAATTAGAATTTAATTTGTGCATGGTGACTAGCAGTGGAATACAGGATGCGCATTTCGTCCCATTTGGGACTCGGCTGAATGTACCTGCATTTCCCAGTGAGTGATGATGTACATACAAATGACGAGTCCAAAATAGGACGAAATGCGCATCCTGGATTCCACTGCTAGTCACCATCCACAAAGTCACTCTTGTTTTAGAAAAAACAAATCGCGGATGATTTAGCCTTCATAGACAAAGACGTTGATAAAATGGGAGTCTTCTTCTGAACATTTTGATTGTTTAGCATGTGATTCGTTCCGGTCAAACGTAAGGCCATGCTGCTGGACTTTACTGGACTGCATCGACTCCTAGCCTAAAGATAGAGAGTGAAGTGGTAGAGCGTATTGACCACTTCTTCACTTAGCTGGGAAGCTGCATCAACCTTAATGGACTGATCACTGCTGAAAAATGGTCACTCAGCGTGGATACGAAAGACTCGTGTGGCATTTACCAAGGTACATCATCTCTGGCGTAGAAGTGACATCTGGCTATCCACAGAAAAGGACGTGTGTACTGCCCAGTATTTCGCTCTGTCCTCCTTTATGGCTGTGAGACCTAGTCATTGAAAGTATAAGACATGAAAAGACTGGATGTATTTGATCGTATGTGTCGCTGTTCTATTGCATATGTTAGGTTGTATAATATGTGCTGAGTAATATGAAGATTAGGTTTCGAATCTTGAGTAAGAAGGAAAAAATCAGCCGATAAGGTTAGGAAGCTACATTTTTTGAGATGGCTTTGGGTATGTGTTACGCATGCTTAACTGTCGCTTTCCTCAATGGGAAATGTTAGCCGACATAGAATCGACCAAGTTGAAAAAAGAGTTAATGGTGGTCAGATCGAAATATGGCTTCATCAGTCAGTGAAATAAATCCACAACAGTTAGTTTAAGTCAGCCATCCACGTAGGGAGGTGTAAACTGCTTGGCTGGTTGTGGTCCTCGGGATGGTAAAAAAACAGCGGTGATATGGTTCAAAATCGTTCTCAATGGCTGACGCAGATGCATTTACTTTTTTGGTTCATCGTATCTAATTAAATTCTATTATTTTTCCATATTAGTATTCTCGTTGCCTCATATCTCCGTTTATTATCCCTCTTTCGGATCTCCCTTTACTCTCTTCTCTTGTTTTGTATGTTAAATGGAGGGAGTGTGGCTACTCGAACTATTGCACAACTGTGCAAAGTTCTATGTTTAAGCGAGTCAATCAATCAGTCAGTCAATTTGATTGGTATATCTATCATTAAACTTCATTTTAATTTTCTATTTATATAGGTCTTCTCCTGTCTGGCTTACGTCATCGTATAAGTGTATCGATGATGGTTTATTGAAAATCCCGCCAACTCTAATTTATTTAAGCCTAATAAATACATCTAAATCAATTGAACATTTATCCTATCTAGATCAAGGTTATGGTTTAATGCAGGTGGATAAAGCTTTTCAATACTTGGATCATATATTAAACACATTATATGAAGGTAATACAAGTAATATGTTGGAAAATAAAATTGATATTGCTTATGGCGGTAGTGTTGTCACCGTCAGTGATAACAGGAATGTTGATGACAATATTAAGGAGAAAAGGTAAGCGGGAACTGGATTGCTTTCCTGCACTTCTCTGTACTAAATGTTATTCCATTTTTTTAAAGTGGTATTTAAAACAACACATGTGCAGGCGAACAATATTTCAATTAGATCTCATCAGGATTATCTTTAATACACCTATGTAACCTTACAAATAATATCACTAAATATAAACCAATCACCTGGGAATTTGTCTGTAGGATGATAAGATTGTGCATATAAATCGTGCCACTAATCATAATAATAATAATAGTAATAATAATAATAGTGTAACGACAGAAGTCAAGGGTCAGGGAACACATCGTGTATACATTTTTATGTATATTATTATTCGTTATTATTAGCAGAGAAGCAAAGTCTTCTGATTGGTTGTTTTCTTGCTGAAGGTTATTATGTCATCTATTTGTGACCGTTTCTTAGACAGTCCGTTGATATATCTGCTAATCTTATCCGCCCACGCTAAGTGTGCTGTGATTGGTTGTTAAGTTTCTCAAGGTTAAGCTTTGTTATTGTTTTTTTCTCATGACCAAGACTTAGGACATAAACATTGACGTAAATTGGCGTCTACCAATTTTGTCTAGCAGACAGCTCTCACCCCAATAGTATTGATAATTATAACAGTAGTGATGATTCTACCATATAATAAGGATGAGAAATTAAGGCGATCTCTGATAACACGAATAACGAAAAACAGCATGATCAGACAAACAAATATTTAGGTAGACGTAGTAGTTGATAAAGGCTAAGAAAAACAAATGAATCGATTAAGTAACTCCAGATTGTAGGGAAAGTAAATACACTGTTATTATAAGGATGTGATAAAACTACGGGATGATAAGTAAAGGGTAGTGTCGCCATCATCAGTAAGTTAAGTCTTAATTGACCAATGGAGGGATAATGGCTGTATGAACTTCTTTTGAATGCATAGTTTAGACTTTATAGCTCGAATCCCGACCGATAGCTGCTACCTTGTCGTGGTGATCGGGCTTGCACATCGCGATGACCCAACAAACTGAACTTGCTGGAACCAATGTTCCTGCAGGTCCTACCATGCCAAGAAGGTTGTTAGGGTAGCGATTAGACTAAAATTAGTTACCGGCATTGTGTAAGAATCTTCCTTACACTATGCTGGAGGTCTGAGGGCGAAGTCGTACTGTCGTACTGTAACAACAGTGAGGTGTTTCTCTCAGATGACCAGCATGCCAGCTATCCTGTCTCTCCACTCTGGAGCGAGAGGGTTAGAAAAGGTCGACCCCAAAAATTGTACATCTTGACTTACCCTATGGTGGTCCGTAACCGGCTGTAAGTTTACTAATACGGAACCAATCCCAGAAACCAGTTCATACAGGCCGTGTGTGACCGGCCTGGCTCAAGCAGTTATCCCCTGGGCTCTGCGGTCACGCAATACTAACCCTATTTCTGTTTCAGGTACCCGAAGAGTCAACCAGCTTCCACGGTGTGTGGGCAGCCGGGAGGAACAACCACCCACACACTTCCAAAAGCACTTCCTTATAGTTCGAATACCTATTGCCTCAGCTGTACGTAGTAGACGAATTCGGTGGGATGCAATGAATCACCTTCAATGCTTTCGCTTTCTCCACCACATAACCACTATCAACTAAATGCAATATGAAAAAATGTAGCTACGAATTGTTCAGTATTACATTGGCTAAGCTACCTAGTAGTACGCCCGACATAAGTGTGACCGCAGTTGCAGTTGAATTGATAAGTACACATAGGTGTGGTAAAAATATCTAGCTTATCCTTCCTTTGAGTCCTTATCATTTGTCCGATAGCGATTGACAAACATAAGTTTGCTGCGTAAAAAGCTCTCTATTTTCGCCAGTCACACCAGTCCTTAAAAGCTTGTGACTTGAAAGAAAGTAAAGCTGAGCAAATCAGGAAATATGATGTTATGATGGAAATGGCACTTTTAAGTTCATCTGCCATCTATCCTGTGCCTCGGTAGTACAGTGGTTAGGACTCTCGCCGACCATGCACATAGTTCGAGGTTCTATTCCCTGCCGACGCACACCTGATATCTATGGTCGGCTTGCAAAATTTGGGCTACCGATATCCATGCTGAAATTTTCATACTTGTACCAAAAATATAGTGTGGAATCAAGCTGTAATCAAAAATAAAAAATAAATAAAATAAATATTGTGTAAAGGTTGCAGCTGTCAGTTTTAACTGTCTTGTTGAGTCTAGTCAATTGAACTATTTTGATGTAAATAACACAGGATAGCGGCTAATAACCTTATAAATTATATATATATATTTTAATCTGAATATTAGATAGTTGGAGGCAATCGGCCCCAGGAAGCCTTGGATCTAGGTTTCGTGCTAGTTCGCACTCAACAGTCAGCAAGGCGTATCTGCAACCATCTTGAAGGAACTCATGTCTCTTCTGAGAATAAAACCAGTGTCACCCAGTGAGTGCTGCAGTCAGAGACGTTACCAATGAGCTGTTCGGGCTTTCGATTGACCTCCTGTAGGACTGTAGTGGGTATTTCGATTGGACACTAGTAACTAGTGTGACGCGTCTAGTCCTTTCTTTGGTGCAGGCTGAATTCTCTCAGTCAGGTTTTGCATTATGGTCCACATTGAGGGTAACGTCTCTGACTGCAGCACTCACTGGGTGACGTGGTTTCGAATCTCAGAAGGGATATGAGTTCCTTCAGGGTAGTTGCAGATACGCCTTGCTGTTGAATGCCAACTAGCACGAAACCTAGGTCAGGTGAAGCTTCCGGTGGCCGATTGCCTCCAACCGTCTAATATAATCAAATCAGTGTGCACCGTGATGGCGAGCTACCTAGAATGGTGGCCACATTGCGAAACCTGACTGATAGAATTCAGTCTGCACCAAAGAAAGGACTAGATACATCACACTAGTTACTAGTGTCCAATCAAAATAATCTGAATATTATTCAACCTTTTTCCCCTTCAGCTGAATCCTACTTCACGTAGCTTTTTACATTGATGTAAACTGTTTGATGCCATGCGTGAAACACCCTGCAGTCATCTCAAATGATAAATAGTCATAACGTTTATTCGATGGTATATCTACCTTATCTATGGCATTATGGTTAACCTTTTGGCTTTTGATGTAACTCTCATAGATGTGTTACATGGACATAGAGACGGCAGGAGTGATGAAGATACCTAACCCAAGACAACGACAACAACGACACCTCTTTCATTGCTTCTTGGTAGCATTGTTTCAAATAGAGACGGCGCTACAGATAAAGATATCAAAGCCAGTCGTAATTAGAAAAGCAAGAAAAATGTTCATCAGTGTGCAAAATCCACAGCAATCGTCAGGATAAAGAGAATAAGATCAAGTCAGTAGTTCTCTATTCTTCAGAGACTTGGCACACCCACGTCGTGAGAAGTATTTTCAACAGGCTACTAGAAAATTTCATCAAAAGTCAGACAAAAAAGGATAAGAACCAAGCAGCTCTGACACTGAATCAACTAAGAACTTATCACTCAACAAATATTCAGAGGAAAGTATAGATGGATTGGACAATTGAGTGATGTTACCTGTCAGGCTATCGGGTGGAATCCGAATTGGGAAGCGACGAGTGGGGTTTGGGTCTGAGTGTGACGTGAAGGACTGTCGTTTAAGCAGGCAGAAAGGAATTGTGGAACCTGCTGAAAAAGACTTCAGAGGACAGGATAAAATGGAACTCCACTGAAAAAGCCATATGTGTTCCAGTTGTATCCCAAGGGAATAATAACACGTATTTGTGCTGTTGAAGAAAATATATTTATTTATTATTTCTTTGTGTCCCGGCTTGTGCAGAAGGCTTCAACAAAACATCTCTACTTCGTCCTATTCTCTGCAGTCTTCTTCAACTGGCCCGACGATCGCCCATAATCTCTCATCTCTTCCTGACACGATTTCCTCTACGTGATCCTCGGTCCTACGCTTCACTCGTCGCTTCCCTTTTGGGTTCCATTCGAGTGGTTTGGCCTGGTACGCGATGTTGGTTTGACAGTCTCCTCAGTGGGGCGTGTCCGTATACCATTCAGCCATTTGGCGCGACCCCAACCAGTGTCGTCTTTGGGATATCCATCCCCACACGTGACATCTGGATGGACCTCACTGGTCATGACTTCTCACTAAAGCTGACTCCAGGAAACTCCATCTTTTTTTTTATCTTTTTTTTATTTTTTTTTTTGATTTACAGCTTGATTCCACACTGTATTTTTGGTACAAGTATGGAATTTTCAGCATGGATATCGGTGGCCCAAATTTTGCAGGCCAACCATAGATATCAGGTGTGCGCCGGCGTGGGCTCGAACCCCGGACCATGTGCATGGTCGGCGAGAGTCCTAACCACTGTGCCACCGGCGCACAAGTAGCGAGTCACTCACTAGCGAGCATCAGATCAATTTTCTGTAGTTTGGTTTGTGAAAGTTAGTTATGTTTTTTTTATGAATTTGCGAGCTTGCCTTGTAACCGAAAGGACCTGGGTTAGAACCTTGGCGGTGAGTGCGTACTGCGGATGATTCCCAAACTAGGATGAAACAGCTGTCCTGTACTCTCTGGCTGGTTTTTAATGGTTCTTTAACTGATATCGATCCGTGACCAACTCGTAAAAACATAAGTGCGTCGGTGGCACAGTGGTTAGGACTTTCGCCGACCATGCACATGGTCCGGGGTTCGATCCACTGTCGACGCACACCTGATATCTATGGTCGGCCTGCGAAATTTGGGCTACCGATATCCATACTGAAAATTCCATACTTGTACCGAAAATACAGTGTGGAATCAAGCTGTAAATCAAAAAAAATAACTATTTTTTTTTTTTATTTTTGATTTACAGCTTGATTCCACACTGTATTTTCGGTACAAGTATGGAATTTTCAGTATGGATATCGGTAGCCCAAATTTCGCAGGCCGACCATAGATATCAGATGTGCGTCGGTGCGGGCTCGAACCCCGGACCATGTGCATGGTCGGCGAGAGTCCTAACCACTGTGCCACCGACGAAACTAACCCTTACAAACCAAATTATAGAAAAATAAAGCTTACTTCAGTTTTATGTATTCGTAAAAATAATAACACCATTCATTGCTTTCGTATTTTTTTCTTTTTGAAATTTTAGTTCAACCTGTCAATTGCTAAGTATACCAGATCCGTGTATAACACATGGTTGGCATATAAGAATAACTGTTTCTGGACCTGGTTGTTCACCAAACAGCCGTGGTATTTGGTTAAGACGTGGTTGGTTATTAAGTCCAAGAACATTTAATAACATAGCATCATCATCATCATCATCATCATCATCATCATCAAAATTGCCTTTATTACGTTTCACATTACACATGAACATTGAATTCGATGAGGTAAGTGAAGCAGAATTTCAATTAACCTACTGGCTCACAGTTGAAAACTATGAAGTCGCGGGGATAATCTGCCCTTACTATTGTTTTATGCATGTTACCTGATCAACACTTTTTGATATTACTCTCTTTCTGATCTGAGTTTGTTCTATGAAACCTGATCACTTGAGGATTGCCGTTGTTGTTTGCTTTGATTTCAGTTAGTGGTATAATATGGTGAGTAATATTCAGGTCAGGCGTAGAGTGTTAAATGAGAAGGGCAAGTTGGTGGATAAGGTTGTGAAGCTACATCGATTCAGATGTCTGGGATGCGTGTCACTTATGCCTCAGCCACCACCTTCCTTAATGAGAATGTTAACTGATATAATATCAGGTTGGTAAAGTGTTACAGGTGGTCAGACAAAAACCTTGCATCGGTCCATGAATTCTTTGACAGCTGATTTAAGTCAGTCACATGGGGAGATGTAGACTGTCTGGTTAATAATAATAATAATCATAATAATAGTTTGCTTTATTCCAAAACAGTACTTGTGATACAGAATGAAATTCTCAGCATTTTACTACAGTATTGGATCCAGTTAGTACATTAACAATAAATAAAGTTCTACATAGATTAAGGGTAATCTCAGTTAGTTTTGGCAACAGCATATTGGCATGTCGGCAGCTAAGCCAAAATTGAACAGAGTGTTTGAAGGTGTTAGAAAAGTAGATGCTAGCATATTTACTGACGTAAGCGGTAACAAAATGTGGAGATATACAGAGTGCGAGAGAACGAAGAAGAATGTTTTAAATAGAGTTTGTAAGGAAGAGAGGAACAAAGCAGCACATAACAGAAAAAAGAGAGAATAGGAAAAGAAAGAAAGAAAAATGTTGTACCTATAAATGATATGCGTTGGAAAGACGAGATCCAGTTTTTTTACTGACTATTTAATAAGTTATAAGTATTACGCGTAATGCTTTCTTTATCGCACAGAACACGAGCTAAGTAGCTAGAGTATGGTTGAGTTTTTGTACTTGCTAGTGCGAGCATATAGTTTTCTATATAGGCTTCTGGCTTTGCCTAATGAGATACAAGGGGAGAGTTGTGAATGAAGAGGTTGGTATGAGTTAGATAAAATGGATTTAGCCCATTTTTCACATGAGTCCATGTGCCTGTCGACCAGAATATTAACGAGCTGGTTAAGTGGCGCGTAGTTTACCCTGCTGACAACCTTTAACACCCTACGTAATAAGATATAGTTCTTCTTCAATAGCCCTGGAAAAACTAAGGTGGAACAATAGAGAATAACAGACGGGATCCAAGAGTTAACGGGTCGTAGGAGTAAGGGTTGGGTTATTCCAGAATGCCTTAACCTTTTGATGTAGAAGGTAATACGGAATATTTTCTTAGAAATCATCAAGATATGAGACGACCAGGAGAGATCAGAAGATAGAATGACGCCAAGATATTTAATTTCCGACTTGGTCTCTATTTCAGTGCCATCTATGTTGCACACCTCGTGAGTGCTAACCAGTTTGTTTAGGTCAGATTTATGCCTAAAGGTGAAATAGACTGTTTGGCATTTGCACGGGTTTAAGGTTAAACCCTTTTCCTTGGACCACTGGCTGATTTCTGATAAAAAGCCATTTAGTTTGGAGCAGTGACTTTGACATTTGAAAGGCACAGATACAGTTAGGTCGTCAGCATATTTAACAAAATTAATGTCATTTTAAGATGGTAAGGCATGTAAAAAGAAAGAAAAGAGTAGTGGTGAGAGTACAGCACCTCGTCGGGTTGCTAAGATCTAGTTGGTGGAGAGAGCATTGATGATATGGCTCAGAGTCGTTGTCAATGGCACATAGGCATTCATTTTTTGGGATTTCTCTTATGCATTAAAGCCTCATGTTTTCCTATGTTGCTGTTCTTTCTCCGTCACATTTGTGCTTATTGTAGTGCAAGAACCAACAAGCTGACTGAAGAGGCAGACAGCGAAGCCAGGACTCCATGTGAACATAGAGAAAACGGAGGTGATGAAGATAACCACACAGTGACAGCAGCAGCAACAACAACAACACCAGCACCAATCACCATCAACGAGAGAGGTTTAACAGAGGTTACCTCCTTCAATTATCTGGCTAGGAAGCATCGTTTCAACTACAGGCGGACAGGGCGGATGAAGATGGCAAAGCTAGTCAGAATCGGAAAGGCAAAATACGCATCCATCAACCTGAAACCAGTTTGGAAATCTTCTACACTCAGCATACGGAACAAGATTCACATTTTCAACATCCATGTCAAGTCGATCAGTGCTTCTATACGCGTAAGAAACTTGTACTGCATGTAACGAAAAGGATTTCCAACAGCCTGTTGCAGACTTTCATCAACATCTGCTTTCGTTGGCTCCATACTGAAGATGAAATGGCCAACCAACTGGCTAGAACGAATTAGCAACTAGAAATTCTGGTTGGGAACAAACCAATCGAGAGCCGATCGCTTAACGAATATTTAGGATAAAAGTGGAGATGGATGGATCGGACATACATTGAGGAGACTGTGGAGTGACATCGTGCGCCAGGCTATCGCTCGAGTGAAATCCAACCAGAAGCAATCAGTGGGTATATGCATGGTGGCATGGAGAAGATCGCGCGCGCGCGCGAGAGAGAGATGAGATATTATAGTCAATCTTGGCCCCACTCAGCTGAAGAGGACAGCAGAAAATAGAATAAAGTTGAGATGTGTTTTTGAAGCCCTATTTTCCACTCGGAACCTAAGGGAATAATAATAGTAATATATAATAATAACAGTTCTTTTGAGCCATTTCTCTACATCTGTCTGTGTACCATATGAAAGGGGTATAACGTGAAATGCTGCAGCACTTCTGTACAAAGTTGTACATTGAAAGTCAGTTAGTCATTGACTCTCCACTGAATAAATATTGACTTCTGGTCAATTTCATAACCGTAAATTCAGTCATGGGAATTTTTACTCCACATCACTTTTTATACTACTGTCTCTTCAATATTTAAATCACATGATCTGTCTGTTTTCAAAAGAAATAATTCATTTTGTTAGGTAATTAAAAGAAAAATCTTTTTGGAAAGGAAAGCAACAGACTGATTGAATAAGTGATTAGCCAGTTGAGGGGATAATCAATCATATTTGTCGCATTCGTTAAGTGTTATGCGAGATTCACATGAAAGCTTAAAATGTGTGTGTGTGTAGAGAGAGAGAGAGAGAGCAAACCATTCGAAAGCTGACTGTTCTCATATATTTCAAATTCTTAGGGGAAAAAAAAATAATCAACCCGTTTCTCGGTTCATCGGTATTTCCTTGATACACTAAGGTAATTCATGTCGACAACTTTTGAAACCAAAGGCTTACTGAACAAGTAATACCTGACCTGTCAGACATACAAATTCAGAACCTAATAAAACACATACCATGTCCAGATATGTGAAGTTTTAAGGCATATACGTGACTACTCAGGCACGTAACTAGGCTAGAATATCGAGTACGCTTGGTTTTCAACTCCTAACAGGCTATGTATGGTAGATGGTATAAAGCTACCAGTCAGTCATGTCGATTGAGTAATCGTTGTAATTCTCCTACCTGGGATCGTAATCTCCAATCAGAGCCCTCATAGGCGGAATAAACGTGAAATGCTCTTATATGGCCATGTGTGGTGATAACCTCAGGCGAATGAGTCCTATTCACACTAGTTGTTACTCGCAAAGCTGAAGTAACGAATGTTAACATTCGGTGGTTACGACAGGACATTCTGGTCAACCTAGAGGAGCTGGGTGAAAATCCTTATTCCAAACCTACTTGTGTCCATGGGCCCCAGAATTAGAAAGGATCAAATAGCGTATTAAAAGTGGTTTTGGTTACCGGAATCCATGGTAAAGTAGCTCCTGACATACTGCTCCACTGCCTTGTGGATGAAATTTCAAGACAAAGACTCAGAGTTGTCCCCTTAAGACAACCAGCTACCTACTACCTGCTTCAGTCTGCGTGTCCGGGCATTATCCCAGCCTTCATGCATCTCTTGGTGCCTAATCAGAACTCTGAGGAATTTATTTTACAGTTAGTCAGCAAGGCGCAAGAGACATTAAATAGTTCGGGGTAGATGAGATGAGACAATTGTCTATCGGTCACTGGAGATTTATACGAATACTGTTTTTTTTTGTAAGCGTAGTTATGTCTGTCGCCCAAGGGTTACTATCAAAAATGAATATTGTAATGAGTCTCCAGGTGTTTCTTTAGTGTTTCTGTAGTAATTCTCTTAATTAGTAAAACCTCTGAGTGAATAGCTCAGTGATAACGTCTTTGATTGCAGCACTGTATAATGCGAATTCGAACCCCTTCCCCTTCCCTAGCATCAGTTCCTTCAAGGTCGCAGCGATACACCTTACGAACGAGTGCTGAATAAGCACGAAACCTAGATTACCGGCTTCTTGCCAACTGCCCCTTTCCAATTGAAACAAACTGCAATTTAGTAGTGACGTAGTAGTAGTAGTAGTTGGAATCTGCTTAAGTCGGAGAGCAAACAATTTATCCAAGATGATGTATACCTATTATCATCGATAATACTCGTAATTCTGGTGGACTGGATCATGCGTCAAACTGTAGGTGGCAAGAAGATAGAAATACTCTATACCGATAAGAAGACTTTAGAAGTTCTGGTTTTCGTGGATGATTTTTGTGTAATGTCTAACAAACTCGAAGACTTACAGGCGAAAACCAACAAACTGGCAGCGAAGACTGGTCTCCAGGTGAATATAGAGAAGACAGAGGTGATAAAGATAACCACGCACTGACGACGACAACAACAACAATCAGCACCATTCACTGTCAACGGGAAAAAACTTGAAAGAGGTTAGTTACTTCCATCATTTATCCGGCTAGGAGGCATTGTTTCGGCCACAGGGGGAATGGATAAAGATGTTAAAGACAGGGTCCGAAAGGCGAGATACACCTTCGTCAATCTGAAATCGGTTTGGAAATCTTCTTCACTAAGTGTAAATGACGAGATTTGGATCTTTAACACCAATTTTAAGTCAGTTCTTCTAAATGGGTGAGAAACTTGGCGGCGTCATCGAAATTATTCCTAGTGGGCTACTGCAGACTTTTATCAACAGCTGACTTCTCTCTGTTTTGAAGATGAAGTGGCTTGCCACAAAGATTTAGCAACAAGAAAAGCTGGATATGAACCAAACAAGAACCTATTTAGGACAAAATGGAGATGGTTGGGGTGAACACTGAGGAGACCGTTGAATGACATCATGCGCCGGGAATAACTTAGAGTGGAACCTGAATGGGAAATGATGAGTGGAGCATGACTCTGAGGTTTACATGGTGGGGATGAGAGATAATGGGCAATTCGTAGCTCCAGCCAGATGAAGAGGACAGCAGAAAACAGAACAAAGTGGAGGTGTATTGTTGATGGCCTATGCTTCACTTGGATCGCAAGGGATTAATAATGATAATAATGAATGAACATCTAAATCATGTTTTCCATTTACTCTTCGTGCCTTATATATAAATTCAAATAGGTAAGCATCATAAATGCTGTTTAAAATCTTCGTTAATGTATCTCATCTCTCTGGACTAAGCTGTCCGGAGGTCTAGTCGGAAGTTGTTAGCACTTGGAATCGACTAGATTGTTAGGTATAAGAACAAATACTCGTCGATAACATTAGTTAGCGGTGGAGTGGCGCTACAAATCGCGTATTGACAGAAGTTATAATTCACGGGCTCGTCTGGTAGTAACCTGGAGGTCCTGGGATCGATCTCTGGCAGCGGAGTCATGGGTGCACACTGTGGAACAGTCCCCAAAACCAGGACGAAACAGCTTTGTCCAGTACACTGTCTGCTGTTTTTCTCAATGGTTCTCTAACTCATATCACGCTGACTTCATCTGAATTGAAAAAAGCAGTCAAATCCTTCAATAAATTAATACTTGAATATCTTTCTGTGCTTATCCACGTATTAATTCCATTTGTTTGCATGTTCTTTATCTCAAATTTTGTCGTTATTGTTATTATTTTTCTCTCTCAGTATGTTCCATTGAGTGTTCGACGGAGTACTGAATTCCACTTAACTACTGAATTAATCTCGGAATTGAAAGGATTAACCAATTCTAATGGTTGGTTACAAATAGCATCAATTATTACTGTGACAAGCATATCAAGAGATATCAATTGTGTTATTGATCCAGTTCGATTCTCAAAACTCTTAATGAATAGTAATAGTACTGGATCAAAAGATGAAACTCACTCTGATATAGATCATTTACTACTACACAACATGATGACTGCAGTGCCGGCGAATTCATCTGATGAAAATCTACCAACCAATCAGAGATCAATGAAGGCAAAAGGAAATCAAACTGAAGAATCACAATCACAACCATCTATGTCATTTCTGCAACAAAGTCAATATCGTCAAAGTCAGCTGTCTGGTTTCTCTTGGCCATCGAATTTACCCACTGCAGTGAATTGCTCTGTGAATAATATCCCAGTGAAATCACAGAAACCTTATGTTATGCTGATTGGTTTTAAAGCTACTGATCGTCCTGAAATGGGTATTTTAGCCAGTCTACCAATTATTGTACAGATTCCGCATAGGTAACAGATCCATTATGTTTGTTTAATCACTATTATTGTTTATTCATGCGTTCCCGAGTGGGAACATAACGCTTCGTCTTCACATCTCTACTGTGTAGTCAGTTCTTTCCCATCAACTGACTCTCCAACTGACTCCATGACTGCGGACAAGCTTTTATATCCGACTCGGATGATGGGGGGGGGAGTTGGCTGGTGTATGAGGCCGCTTAAGGGTTTCCTTAGCGTATGTTCAATCAACCTCAACTCAACAGGTTGTTTGTTGATTGATTGATTGATTCTCTGTCAGAGTTCCTCATTATTCCATAATTTTCAATCTACCCACTAAGGATGGCGAAATTCCACCTAATTTTATTTGGAATTCAAGTTATTCTGATCACAAATGTGTGATCTCCTTTATCAATAATAAGGATGAAAAAGTGAGGCAATCTGTGATAACACGAATAATGAAAAAAACAGCATGGTTAGACAAACAAGTGTTCTGGTGGAAGTAGTCGATAAAGGCTAGTAAAAACAAATGTACCGATTGAGTAATGCTAGACTGATTGTAAGGGAAGGAAATGAAACATGTTTTCAATGAAGATGTGATAATACGATTAAGGGATGATAAGAAGGGGGTAGAAAATATAAACAAGGGGTGGTGTAGAAGTCATTAGTTGGTTATGTCTTAATAGGCCAAGGGAGGGATAATGGCTATACGAACTTCTTTTCAATGAACAGTTTAGACTTAATAGTTCGAATGCCTATCGTCTCAGCTGTGTGTGTAGTAGACGAATACGTAGTCTATTGGAACGATCCGGTGGGATACGATGAATTACTTTGAAAGCCTTTGTCTGTCCTTTGCCAAATCACGATCGGAGGTGATCACTAACACGCTGGTTGGCTAAGCTGTCTAGTAGTAAGCCCAACATAACTGTCACCGCAGGTGCAGTTGAATTGATAAATGCACATAGTTGTGGCAAAACTATCAAGCTTATCCTTCGTTTGCGTCCCAATCATTCGTTGGCTAGAGAGTGACAAACATAGGTATGCTGCGTAAAACGTTCTCGTATACCCTGGATAGTCTCTGGAACAAAGTCTCACTTGATAAGTCACCATTAAATTGTAACTTAATAAATAGAGGATTTTTACGTGCAGTCATATGTTTTTTAATGAAACTACTCGGATAGCCGATCTCCGTCAAGGAATCGTGAATATATTTAAATTCCTTTTGTAAGAGGTCATCCGCACATATCTTTCTTGCTCTGCTCGGAAGACATTTAACAACATTTCTTTTATATTTAATGGGCACGTTACCAAGGAAGTGTGTGTGTACTGCTCTGTGAATGTGCTTTTTCTATACACGCTTCTCCCAAGTGACCCATCTTCTCACCTACTTAGTTTATTCTGCTGTTCCTCCTCTTCTCAAGTAAAGGTAAGCGAATGGTGGATGTTGTTGAATTTAAGTGAAAATTCGTCTATGTTAACATTCCCACCAGCAGCACACGTGTGTTTGTTATTCTCCAGCCAACGAATGATTGGGACGCAAACGAAGGATAAGCTTGATAGTTTTGCCACAACTATGTGCATTTATCAATTCAACTGCACCTGCGGTGACAGTTATGTTGGGCTTACTACTAGACAGCTTAGCCAACCAGCGTGTTAGTGATCACCTCCGATCGTGATTTGGCAAAGGACAGACAAAGGCTTTCAAAGTAATTCATCGTATCCCACCGGATCGTTCCAATAGACTACGTATTCGTCTACTGCACACACACAGCTGAGACGATAGGCATTCGAACTATTAAGTCTAAACTGTTCATTGAAAAGAAGTTCGTATAGCCATTATCCCTCCCTTGGCCTATTAAGACATAACCAACTAATGACTTCTACACCACCCCTTGTTTATATTTTCTACCCCCTTCTTATCATCCCTTAATCGTATTATCACATCTTCATTGAAAACATGTTTCATTTCCTTCCCTTACAATCAGTCTAGCATTACTCAATCGGTACATTTGTTTTTACTAGCCTTTATCGACTACTTCCACCTGAATACTTGTTTGTAGAATCTGCTTTATACCATAAATGGCAGTTAAGAAAGCAAGTGTATTTGTAGAAAACTATATACTATTGCTTGACTGACTTGACTAGTTGCATGCGACACTCATATCAACTAGTGGTGCCTTCTAACCATATCGGGGTCATCTAAGTACTGGATGGCCGTTTTGCTCGTTTCGGGATGTTTGATATAAGTGGGGCATACAACCACTACTCATCTCAATGAATCAGTAGTATGTAGTTTAGAGCAGATTTGCCTACTTTCTTGATTACTGTTTGTGTGTTATCAAGCAGATCACATATATTGTTGAATTCTACCACTCGAACTGTGTAAATTGCCAGTTGATCACCAGTTCGATCAATTAGCTAGCTAGAGATCGGGTGTAGTTTGTTTACTGATTCGACCATCTCTCTGAGCTGAGAGTCACGCCGTCCGTTTACATAGAGATGGGGAGAGCTCGTAGATCATTCAGCCACTGGAACCCAATCCAAATGGCTGATAAATTCCAACTTCTAACTAATGTGTCCGGCGACTAACTGTCCTCTTACCCGACTTGGTAGATTCTGCCGAATGAAAAGGATCGACTAGGCTCTTCTTGTAACCTAGGTGGGTGCTCACTTCTGAAGAGCTCCAGACCAGGATGAAACAGCTTCCCTGTACTCCTTAGCTTTGCTGATTGTTTTTTAGTTTGCCTTTCAACTACTTATTTCACATCTCACTGCATTGCCTATCTGTTATGTACTGCTGCTGAGTGAGTTATTAGAGTCGTTTTCCCCGTCGCCAATTATGTTATGTACCCGTCGAGTAGTTAATAGTCCTGACGCGGGAAGAGGGAAATCAGAAGACCACAAGGTTTACGATGATACTTGTATTTTCCAGACAAGGAAAATAAATGTCACACAAGAGTATGAGTGAAAAGGTACGAAATGTACGAAAAAGTATGTGTGTGAACAAGAATATATAAAAGTGTACAAGCAAGAGTATATATGAAAATGGCTAATACATATGAACCAATAAGATAACGTCTTACCATGATCGGTTGTAATGTCATGTGATATAAGGTCATATATTGTTTATTTAGTTAGTAGACAGACAAAAGCATATAGTCAGTTATAATGGAATATCGATCCATATACACATAGCAAAATATAACAGACTGTCCAAAACAAAACACACATCATGTGGATACATATCACATCTTCTCGTGTATTTGTCTGATTGACTTGTCTCTCTTCTCCTCACCTCACCTCTTCTTTTCTTTTCTTATCCTTATTTCACATTTAGGTTGAATAGATATTGTGATACTATGGATCAACCGCATTTCTTATTTTCAGATAAATTTGATGCTAAAAATAAAGTTAGACGATGGTTTGTTGAAGTACCGTATGGAGCAACAGCTGGAAGTAAGTTGTGGTTTGTCCCTCTGTCTCTCTCTCTCTCTCTGTGTCTCTTTAAGAGGAAATAGAAGTAAAGAGAAAACGATAGCTGATTCTTTTAACTTTCCAAATTTCTCATATTGATCCTTTGGTAATTTTATTTCTCTATGTCCCCCAGTGGAACACATTAGGCTTCACGCTAGCTAGCTTTGAAGTATCAGTCGCAGTAGTGTGTTTTACGGGCTCAGCTCGCTAGCCTAGCCTTACGCTTAACCTCCTCCCTTCTCGGGCCTTACCATCCTGGCTAGACTGGGCTGGGGATCGAATCTCGGACCACTTCCTTGTTAGTTGGCCAGTGTCCTACCACTGGACAACAGACGCACATCTTTTGGTAAAGTGTGGCTGGTTATATATTTTACTTCCGGTTGTCTCTGCTTTCATCTGTTTAGCTTTCGATCATGTTATAGAAGTGACATTTGTCGAGCTGAAACACGGTCGGTTAGGTTGAGAAAAAATTAGTTCAGTTTTCGAAATCTAGACTAACTAATTCTTATGAACTAAAACACAGATTAGATAATTTAAAATTAGATAATGAAGAAAAAATGGTTAGTTTTGACATTGTCAGTTTATATACACGTATACCAATAAATATGGTTATAGAGGCAGTCAGAAACGAAGTTTTTCCCCATGACGTTTATTATATTGCTATTCCGTCTTCGTATTTCTTGAGTTTTCCTTGGTAATTATTGGACGTCATCCAGCTAAATATGAATTTTACACTCGAATATATGTTCAACAGGTGACATTTCGTTGACAGTTGGTGTATTCAGCGTCGATCGATAATCCTAACCTATTATTAATCCTTAGAGCTCTAAGTAGAATGTAGGACTTCAGAAGCAGCATGTCTTCTGAAGTCTTTCCAAACTGGCTCCATGATCTCCCATAAACTTTTATTTCTTCCATCGTACAATCTTTTCTATGCATTCTTTGGAGTTCCCACTCCTCATTTCCCATTCGGGACCTATTCTAGGGCTTAGCTGTAATGTGATGTGACTCATCAATCTTTTTAGCGTACATCTAATCCGTTTCTATTTTCTAATGTTTATTTCTTGTGTAATAGGTTCCTGGCCGCTGTACTCCTTGCCGGAGTTCCGTGTTGCTCATTCTTCCAAGCCACTCAGTCAGTCATCTGATATTCAGTATCGATTCGGTAAAGACACCTGTTGATAAAAGTTTGAAGCCGCCTATTTGAGATCCCCTTAATGACATGCCAGGTCTGTAAACAATATAGAAGAGTTGACTGATTCCATATTTTCTTTCGAAAATCTGAATCTTGTTCTTCACGCTTAGTACAGTAGATTTCCAGAGTAATTTCAGAATAATGAAGGTGTGTCTTACATTTCCGATCATGAACCTCGCCTAGTTCACTAGCTGGTGTAATGAAGCAGGTGATCTATAAGGCAAGGTTAAGTAGGTGTATGGGACTAACGAACCTACCCAAGAAAAATCAACTCATCAATCGTTACAGTTTTCTAGTTTCTCGCTCAGTTCTTTTGTTTTCTTGTCAAGTTAGTTGAATAATCCCCGTCTTTTCTTTTTGTCTTTCATTTCACTTTAAAAGAAAATCCCCTGTGAAATTGGTGTTTTTTTTGAACAAAAGAATTGAGAATTAATTTCCAGACTCAGCGTCAACTTTCTTTTATTTGTTTTTGTTTTGTATACTCGATTTGAACATATAAAAGTTCCATTAAAAAAAAATGATACCCATCAACTCGATGATATATATATTCTAAAGAAATATATAGAGACGAAACCAATGCTTCTTCAGACAAGGGAAAAGGATTATCAGACGTCAGTCAAATCAATGGAATCTCTAATTCTTTCTTCCTCATTTTGAATAATTTTCATGGAAGGGAAATAAATTATCAGCAAGAGATTTTTTGCGGTAGTTGGCAGTGGGACTCAGAATTGGTATTTTGAATTTTGATTATTCGGACTCTTAGGACGAAATGACTATCTTTATTAACCTTGAACTTACGATTAATGCATTATTATATTATTATTGTTCCCTTAGGTTCCTAGTGGAACATAGGGCTTCAACTGCACGTCTCCATTTGCCACTTCTGTCTTCCTTCTGTTGTACTTTTCACCTGCATCCATCCATGTCAGTCCATACTATTTCAACTCCTCTTCACACGATCTCCTCCATGTCACCCTTGTGCGTCCCACTCGCCGTTTCCCTTTCGGGCTCCACTCGAGTGATGACCTGACGCGCGATGTCACCCAGCAGCCTCCTCAGCGAGTGTCCGATCCATCTCCACTTTCTCCTGCATATTTGTTGTTGTTGGGGGATTGGTTCTTGTTTTGTTTGTTCCAGCCATAGTTTCTTGTTGGTGATTGTTTCCGGCCCGGCCATCCGATCTTCAGTATAGAGCCAGCGAAGACAGTTGTTGGTTGATAAAGGTGTGCAACAGGCTGTTGGAAATATTCTTTGTGACCCACCCGCCAAGTTTCTGATTCGTATAGAAGAGCTGACTGACTTTACGTTTGTATTGAAAATCCGACCGTTGTTGATGCTGGCTGAGTGACGAAGATTTCCAGATTAATTTCAGATTGATGAATGTATTTCTCGCGCGCCTTCCCGATTCTCGCTCGATTTGACATCCTCTTCCGTTCCGACTGCGTGTAGTTGAGACAATGCTCCCTAGATGAGTGAATGAAGTAACCTCTTTCAAATCACCCCATTGATGGTGATCAATGCATGCGCTGACATTGGACGGTTCTGATTGGTTCATTTTGGAGGATCTTCAAGGTCATATAATCAGTCAGATATTGATTATTTCACTTATGGTTTAAATTTCCGTGGATGTGTAAACGATACGTGCGCTCTGTATTTTGAATAATAGAAGTTATTGTAGCGGATAAATTTGAATTTTGTGAATACCTTGGTGTGGGGGAGTATTTTCAAGTGATCAGTTGGCGTATAGTGTCGTGTCTGGAGGCTCTCTATAGTCAAGATAGATGGCAATCAACAAATTACAAACTCTCCGTTATAACACGGACTGAGTTAGATATACCTGTATCTCTATGAATGATAACGTTTTCAGTAAAACTGGAACGCGATTCTGTCTTTTTTATAACGTCAACAAATGTCTACCCCTTTTTCATTCCCTTGCATTCCGAGTGGAATTAAAAGGGCTTCAAGCTTTGAAGTTGAAGTAGGTGTCATAGTGCCAGCCTCACGTCCATCATACCCTCTTTTTCGGGGTTACTGTCGGCTACTAAACTGGGTGAGGTTCAAGGGTGCGTTGTCCGGGATTCAAACCCCAGACCACTTGAATATTCTACGACCGTCAATACTATCGACGCATCACCTGCTCTTAAGCTGTAGTTATTAACTGTTATTTAGTGAAACGCCTCAGTATTTGAAGCCATGAGTAAGGATACTATAACGTTCTGTGACGTACATAAATCCAATTAACAAATTGAAAATGTGATAAAAGGTGAGCATTTGAGATTTTACTCATTCATCCTAGGAGTCGTTGGATATTTAACTGAGTTAATTAAAGTGACTATTGATAAGTCTGACGTATCAATAAATAAACAGCTTAGAAAATGTATGGTCATAAATTAATAGAAAGTCTATTCCCATTTTAATTTTCTGTTGAAATAAACTGGAGTTAGATGCTTGTTTAAAAATCTGAGAAAAGTCCATTCAGTACATCTTCCATCCGTTTTGAATGTTAACCAAACAAGCTGAATAGATTTTGATAACAATAAAGCATCTCTTTTCGACACCACAGTGATACAGACTCCAATCTTGGATAGTGTGTATAAGTAGAAGTAGTGTAACAACAGAAGACAAGGGCCGGCAACAGATCGTTTTATTATGAAAATCAACACGTATTTATATGTATTTCCTATACATTATTATAGCTTATGCAAGTAGACAAGCGCAGTCTTCTGATTGGTTGTTTATCAGAAGTTAAGCAGACAAACGCAGGCTTCTTATTGATTGTTTCGGGATTCCTCGAAAAATAGAGTTCTCTATCTGCGAATCATATTTTGCCACGTTAAGTCTGCTGTGATTGGTTGTTGAATCAGCCTTGTACATATTTTCTCACGGCCTGATCTCACCACAGTAGTGGGAAGCTTCCAGGCTGATTTTCCAGGAAATTATCAAATAAGTTAAACCGTGTTTGAAAGAGTTCAGAGTCGACAAATCAGTCACCAAACACATACTCCATCTACGTGTCAATCCTTAGATACTTACAATTTCTGCAATTTGCTCTCCGAGATACTCGTCTGACTTCATTCCAACGGTTAAGTATATGAAACAAGTGTCAGAAAGTAGTCCAGTTCATATATTTATTGCCTAGATGCTTTAAATTCATTGTCTTATCATACTTAAAGGAGTGGTTACAAGAGTACACAGCGTCAATATATTTTCATCAACTGGCTTCTATAAGGTCTTTACCAACGCACATGATTTTGCCTCTTTCAATGCAAAGAAGAATAAATTTAAATTCTGTAGTTTTTTTCTGTTCTGTGAATTGATTGATTTTTGTGGGGTTGAATTTCTAGCCCACTCTCCAATCTTCCTTATTTTTTCGGGCGTAAAGCCGACTATAACACTAGGCGGAGGTGATCGTGGGAGGAGGAGGAGGAGGAACTGGAATCTAATGGGCAGTTTTGGGGCCAGTTGAGAATGACTGTAGATAACAGAATGAGATGGAGATGTAATACTGAAGCTCCATGTTCCACCTGGAACCTAGGCGAATAATAATAATACTAATAATATGTATGAGAAAGTGGAGATGGATCGGACACTCGCTGAGGAGGCTGCTGGGTGACATCCCTCGCGCGTCAGGCCATCACTCGAGTGGAACCAGGCCGAAAGGGAAACGGCGAGTGGGACGCACAAGGGTGACATGGAGGAGATCGTGTGAAGAGGAGTTGGTTCAAATAGCATGGACTGACATGGATGGATGCAGGTGAAAAGTACAACAGAAGGAAGACAGAAGTGGCAAATGGAGACGTGCAGTTGAAGCCCTATGTTCCACTAGGAACCAAGGGAACAATAATAATAATAATAATAGCTATATTCCAAATAGTACTATTGATAGAAACATGTGATTTTTGAGTATTGGTTTTGTAGGGATTTTCATTGTTTGTTTGGAGGATTTCATCATGGGCTAACATCACTTAGAGAATCATTAGAAATCCAGTGCTGGAGTATTGGAGAGCTGTTTTGTCTGCTTAGTAGTTAGGGACTAAATGGGGTTCGAATCCTGGAATTTTCAGCATATATACAGTATCGCATCTAATTTTCTCATTACACAATATAGGAGCATTAATTAAAACAGGGCATTTACATTGATAATAGTGTTAGACAAGAATAATAATATGAAGTTAAAATTCAAGTGGAAATATTAGCAAGAATATAATAATGAAAGAAAGAATAAAAAGGGCTGCCTACTTAGTGTTGCTCAATAAGTTAGTATTGTCATGCCTTACACTTTTCTCATCGTATTAAATGTGTGTCGAATAAGGTACTGTAGAGTTCTTATACTTAGTTGTCGGAGCATAAAGTCTTCTAGAGTTGCTTCCAGTCCTAACTATCTGATAAAATGAAAGGAGAGAGAGAGTTGTGTATTGAGAGGATGCTGAGTGTCGGAAAAGATAATATTCGCTAATTCCTCGTATGACTTCAAATGTCTATCTACAACAGGATTAAAGAGTTGGTGTAGCGACATCCCCACTCGCCTACTAACAGATTCTAGTATCCTTTGCAGTCCAACAAAGTCTTTCTTAAGTAACCCAGAAAGGATTGTAACAGTAGAGGCTGAATGATACCAGATTGTCTTAACTTCCTTACCCAGAACGTTAAATGAAATATCTTTCTAGTCACTAAAATGATGTGTGAAGACCAGGAAAGGTGATTAGAAGAAATACACAATTCAAGGTATTTAACATTCAATAGTAGAATCGTGTGAATGAACCAGTTCACGGAAGTCGCTCTTGTGTCTGGAATTTAAATTAATAGTCTGAGAAATGTATCTTGAGGCTATTTGATAACGACCACTAATTAATTTCTAATAAGAAATTTGTTGATTTTGGAATATTCAATAGTTGGTTTGTTAGGATTAGATTTGTTTTTACTAGTTTGACCACAGATTGATATCAGTTAGAGAACCATTGAAAACCTCTAGGAAGAAGTTCTGGACGGCTGTTTCGTCCTTGTTTGGGAATCATCAGCAGTACGCACACACTGCCAGAGTTCTAACCCAGGACCTTCCGGTTACAAGGCAAGCTGGTTTGTGTACCATTCAGCCACTGGGATCCGATTCAATGGCTAGCCCATGAATTGTAACTTCTACCAATTCGTGATATATTCAACGCGACCACGAACCAATGTCATTGGTGTGAAATCCATGCCCACTCTTGACTGGTTGAACCTCACTGGTCACGACTTCTCATTAGAACTCCAGGAAACTCCATCCTGTAGCAAGTCACTCACTAGGGAGCATCAGATTAATTTTCAAGAGTGGTATACGAGCTTGCCTTGTAACCGGTCCTGGGTTCGAGCCTTAGTGGGTGCATTTTAGAATAATCTAATTGAGAAGTAATCAGCATAAAAACAGCCAATACATTGGCATACCTAACAAAATTGGCTTCCTCAGAATGGGATAAATCGTATAAGAGGAAAGTACTGCACCTAGAGGAACACCAGCTTGACTAGTTAAAGCATTGGAGTGCTTCCCATTATACACAGTGTACTGTCTCTTATCAGAAAAAGTAAGAATGGAACCATATATGAATCTAGCACCTTGCTTGTGTTGCAGCAATCTTGTTCTAACCAAAGAGGCCTAAGTACAGCACAGTCAAAGGCAGATGAAATGGGAGTCGTAAAATTGTCTTTTCAATTTTCAATATATTATGTTTCAATTTTTTTTCTTTATTCCTGTTGTTTCAGTATTACGCCTAGCACGTTTAGACAATGATGGGGATAAGTCGTGCGAATTTACTATAACAATCAATTCACCTTGTATTGGTATGAATTCAGATAAACAAGAAGTTAAATGGTCATTTGTTGAATTAAATAAATGTGGTCAGTCGAAATCAGGTTTAAAACGTGAGTGGAAAAACTCTTTGTGTTTATTCAGAAATGTGCATATATATATATATATGTCCAAACCAAGTTCACTTTTAACAGTTTGAAATAAAAATTTGGGCACTGGGTATATGATATTCATTATAATAAAGGTTTTTTATATTTTGATTTGATTTTTGATTTACAGCTTGATTCCACACTGTATTTTTGGTACAAGTATGGAATTTTCAGCATGGATATCGGTAGCCCAAATTTTGCAGGCCAACCATAGATATCGGGTGTGCGTCGGCAGGGAATCGAACCTCGGACCATGTGCATGGTCGGCGAGAGTCCTAACCACTGTGCCACCGACGCACTTTCTCAATGAATGATAAACAAAACGATATTGTTTTGTGTACTGAAATTTCGCTATTTAATGCTGGTGCTAATAGCTTCATCAAAGTATTATGAAACCAGAATTTTTCTAATCTCCGCTTATATATAACAAACTTAATCATTGTTCCTCTGCATGGGGTCATTTTGGCGTTGTCAAATTGGCCAAGTGGCAAAGATAACAAGACCAGGTGAAGATCGTTGGATTTGAGAAGTGTGTAAAATTATAAAAGCAGCGTGTGTTTACATAATGAAATCGCTTATCACATTCGTGTTGATTTTGTCATTTCATGGGGGAGGCGAGAATGTTGTAACCAGGTCAAATTCTGTTTTAGTCCATCATTCCTATTGACACAATTTGGATTCCACTTCATTATGGATAATATTTTATTTTGATAAATCACACAGTGTTGTAGAGTAATATTAACTGATGACCATGTTTCGAGCACAAACTATTGGTCATAATCATAATCAATTTGATTATACTCTATCACAGTGCCCAAGTTTTATACTTATATCAATTGGATTCCACTTGATATGAAGTGCTTCTGATGATATTAGACGTTCTTTTGATTTCTCAAAATTTTTCCGGATTATTTCAATGTTGTCAAAATTAATTTTGTGACCTGATTCTATAGCGTGTAGACCAATGGCTGGTTGATAGTTTTTCAAGCTTTTCTAGTTCACCAGTGGTCGAGTAGTTTTCTAGTTCTCAGTGGTCGAACAGATGCTCTACGGTGTTAGTTTCTTCTCATTTTGATTTCTCAAGATGTGTGTGTCTGATTTTTTCAAGAAAACTGTGATGTCGAGCTTATTGAGTTCTCTTCTGATATCGTCTGATGTCTCTGCTCTATATGGAATGATAACTGTTGAGGCCCATATCTTCGGAATACGTTTTCGACCATACTTAATGTCAGTGTTGATTTTGTTGATGAAGTTCCTTGGGTAGTTGTTTTGTTTGAGGAGAGTCTCAGCAATGTTTGATATTTCTTCTTCTTTTTCTTTGTCATCCGTTATCAAAGAGTGTGCTCGTCTGAGGAGACTTGAAACAACTGATACTTTTGCGCTGGTGGGGGGTGTGGTGATCCAAAGTCTAAATATTTATTGGATTGGGTTTTCTTCCTGAATATAGATATACTTTAATGTCCATTTTCCCTCCTCTTAACTAGACAGGCAGTCTAGAAATGGTAGTTCACCGAGGTCTGATTCTGCTTCCAAGGTAAACTGGATTCTGCGAGATAGAATGTTTATTTTCTCCAGGAATGAACTGTGCAAATCTCGTTTTAGAACTAATATATATATATATATATATATATATATCAATGAGATATAATAAAACTTTCTTTCTAATATATTTTCTATTATTATTCTCTCTCTTTTGTGTATATATAAAGGTAATGATAAAAGTTCACCAGTTTTAAGCGCAGATGACTTCGACTGTGCATCTCAGTTTGCCTTTCCAATTAACTGGGAAACAGATTGTCTAGAATTGACTATAGCACAACATTGGGGATTAGAAATGCCAGCTATTGTTGTCGGTGAATTATACTTTCGTGGTTTGGAACCAAGTTTAAGAAATATTGTTTTAGTGAGTTCCCTCTCTCTCTCTCTTTTTTAAAACAATATATATATATATATATATATATATATATGTATATATGTATAAGGAGTATATGGGGTAAGAAAGTATTCAGATGTATATTGCTAAATATTTGTCGAGTACCTGTCACACTTTCATATTTTTTTCATTTACCTTTGTAACGGCAGAAGATAAGAGCCAGGCAACAGATCATTTATTCAGAAAATCAACAGATATTTATAAATTTTTATGTACATTCTTGTCAGCGGAGAAACGACGTCTTCTGATTGGTTGTTTTCTTGCTGAAGGTTATTCTGCATTGCTTGTGACTGTTTCTTAGAAAGTTAAGCCATGTATCTGCAAATCGTATTTGCACACGTTATGTCTTCCGTGATTGGTTGTTGAGCTCCTCATGGTTAGGCTTTATTATTGTTTTACCTCGTGACCCCGATTCGGGACGTAAACATTGAAGTGAATTGGTGTCTACCAATTTTGGCTTGCAGACAGTTCTCACCATACCTTAAGTTTACTTATCTCTTTATTTTCTCCTCTGCACATAACCTGCGTTGGTGGACCAGTGATTAAATGTTCACCAATCATTCAGGAGATCAGGGTTCACCTCCCGGCCAACGCAATCGTAACTCACTCTCCACCCCCAATAGCTGGTAGTAAACTCGGAAAAGAAGGGTGGGGGTGGGGGGCTACCGCTACTCAGATTACAAGAATTGAAGTCATGTTTTCCACTCAGAACGCTATTATCGGTTAGGTTCGGTTATCGAGGCGAACAGTTTAATATAAATATTATGGCTCTCGTAGAATACCATATTACTCAATACATAATGAGTGTGGGATTTTTTTCAACAACATTTGAGCGAATTCATTGTCTATTATTAATATTATTCCCGTGGGCTCCGAGTGGAACATGCGGCTTCCGCCGCACAACTTGATTTCATCCTGTTTTCTGCAGTCGTCTTTAGTTGGGTCCACGAATATCCTTACACTTCCATCTCCTTCTTTACACGGCTTGTTGTCCCACATCTGGGTTTCACTCAGTGACCTAGCGGTTAATGTCAGTCGACTGTTAGCGTATGTCCGATCCGTCGCCATTGTGTGGTCAATCTAATCAACTCCACAAGAACAAGTGAACTTATGAACACACATTGAAGTGGCTCAGTGAGGCACTTTATCCTTCACAAATCCATTGATCATTTGTCGGCTGAATAAGCAAATCGCTGAGAAAAGTCTTGTTTTCGGTTGAGCTGTAGATCGATTTCTACAGCTGACTAATGATCAATAGATGTGTGAAGGATAAAATGCCTCTTTGAGCCACTTCAATGTGTGTTCATAAATTCACTTGTTCTTGTGGAGTTGGTTAAATTGACCGCACAAAGCGCCAACTTTCCTAACGCATCTCTGAACATTATTCGATATGGTTAGCAAAAGGACAATGCAAGATGGTTTCCAGCTCAGTTCTGAAGCACTTGGTGAAGTCAAGCCACGCATCCCCACCAGAGTCGTCTTTCAAGATTATCTACAAAGTAAGGCCAAGTGGTACAAAGAGCGTCAGGTTTCGGCATTTATTATTAACATTAGATTGTTACCTGGTCAACATACTATATTTATTATGGTCAAAAGCGTTTTTAACCACCCCATTTTCTCACTTTCCATTTGAAACATTTAAAGGGTGAATGAATTTTGATCGACGGTTGACTATGAATTGAAGGCAACTTCACACATATAGCTGGTACTGTTTGTCTAATTAAGTGTAATATTATAATGCTAATAATATTCTGTAACATCATTATGAATCTCTCTCACTCTCTATGTGTTTGTCTTTTAGAATACAAGTGATCGTTACTGTCGTATCGGTTTACATTCAAATTTCGCTAGTGAATCAATACAACCGGATATCTGGTTAACTCATTGGTGTTTATCTGTCAAGTAAGTAGTACTATTAGTAGTTATTATTATTATACTATTATTGTTCCCTTGGGTTCCTAGTGGAACATAAGGCTACAACTGCAAGTCTCCACTTTCCACTTCTGTCTTCTACTGTACTTTTCACTGCATCCATCCATGTCAGTCCATACTGTTTGAACCAACTCCTCTTCACACGATCTCCTCCATGTTACCCTTGCATTGACGACCCACTCACCGCTTCCCTTTCAGCCTGGTTCCACTCGAGCAATGGCCTGATGCGCGCGCGATGTCACCAACCGGCCTCCGCAGCCACGAGTGTCCAATCCATCTCCACTTTCTCCTGCATATTTGTTGGTTGGTGATTAGTTCTCGTTTTGTTTGTTCCCAGCCATAGTTTCTTGTTGGTGATTCTTTCCGGCCCGGACATCTGATCTTCAGTATAGAACGAATACAGGTTTTGATAAAGGTAACGCCTGCAACAGGCTGTTGGAAATATTCTTTGTGACTCGCCAGGTTTCTGATCCGTTCCGTATAGAAGAACTGACTGACTTGACGTTTGTATTTAAAATCCGACTGAATTTTATTGTTGATGCTGAGTGACGAAGATTTCCAGATTGATTTCAGATTGATGAATGTGTTTCTCGCCATCCCGACTCTCGCTCGATTTGACATCCGCTTCCGTTCCGACTGCGTGTAGTTGAGACAATGCTCCCTAGATGAGTGAATGAAGTAACCTCTTTCAAATCCCCTCCGTTGATGGTGATTGACGCTGGATGTTGCTGCTGGTGTTGTTGTTGTTGTTGGCTGGTTATTTTCATAACCTCCGTCTTGTCTATGTTCACTTGGAGTCCTGTCATCACTGCCTGCTTCTTCGACCAGTTTGTCGGTTTTCGCTACAGAAACATCAATGCACAAATAAATTAAAAATACTATTAGTAGTGGTAATATTTAATGTTAAGGCGTTTAATCTTTTACATTTTGAATTATGTTAATGTAATAATCTCAGCTGTTTAGAAGAAACTGTCACATATCTGTTTGAATTGGCAGGTAGTAGTTCTGGACCTAGGCTTTGTGCATTAGCCGATAGTCGTCAGTAGTGGATACTTATAGTTCTGAAGGAAATGATGTCCTTCGTGAGATTCGAGCCTGTGTCACAGACTTTAGCAGTGAACTAGTTGGGTAGGAGTTTAACCTACTGCCGCAACATAATAGTTTTTATTGGTTGTTCACTGGGTCTCAGATTGGAGAACTAATTGCAGACTGACTAGTTTAGCCTTGTTTTTAGCTTATAAACATTAAATGAATGCTTGCTAAAACCAAGTGGTAGCTGTCATTTGCTCCTTCCTGACTTATGGGGTAACAATAGTAATATTAATGACGATATGCAAGTCAAATGTGCGCAAGACAACACCAACAATAAGGAATCTAAATCATCAGTAGTAATTCCATACAAAGAATGAACCTCGAAAACCCTAGGCAGAATTCTTAACAAGGCAGGAATAAAAGTGGCTGGTATTCAAACCCACAAACTCAATTAGAAACAAGCTTTGTCGGTTAAAGGATCAATCCTGTGGAGCCTTTAAAACAAAGCTATTTAGTTTATCTAATACCCTGCTGGAATGATTGTCAGGTCAAATACATAGGTCACACTAGTAGAATAGGAGCATTTAGATTAGCTGAACATAAAAACCTAGCAGCAAAATCTAGATTGGTTGACCCAAATAAGATAAGAAATCTGGAGAATAGTTCAGCCATAGCATTACATGCAGTCACACAGAACCATACAATAGAATGATGGGATAGGATGACAGCTTTAAAATCTAATGTCACAGGGTGGAGGGAGAGATTGATAACGGAAGCTTTGTTTATCGAGTCTACTGCAAACACGTAACGTGTAATAGGAATGATTCAACACCTGTCCACCAGAATATCTGGAAACTTCTACTACCCGAACGACGACAAATAGGAGAGAACAAAGAAAACTATAAAACTCAAGTTTCGAAGTCTCGTGATTATAATTGATATGATTTTGAACAATAGTAGATTGTGTTCGAGACTTTGTCATGCAGTAAATAATACTGTTTCACTGTGTGATCTATATGTAATAAACAAACTAATGTGGAGACATTGAAAACCACCGAGGTGTATTAAACAATTGCTTTGTGACGTGTAATAGGAATGGTTCAACACCTGTCCAACCAGATATCTAGAAAATTCTGCTACCAATAAGACGACAAATAGGAGAGAACAAAGAAAACTATAAAACTCAAGTTTCGAAGTCTCGTGATTATAATTGATATGATTTTGAACAATAGTAGATTGTGTTCGAGACTTTGTCATGCAGTAAATAATACTGTTTCACTGTGTGATCTATATGTAATAAACAAACTAATGTGGAATGACTTATAGGGTGTTTCTCGAGTTCTGGACCTCTATAATAAAAATAATAACTTTTTTCCAGGTAGTTATTATTATTATTATTGTATCCTTTAGTTCCTAGATGAACATAGGGCTTCAGCTGCGCACCTCCATTGACTTCGGTTTTCTGACAACTTTTTCACCCCGCTCCAGGTCTGTCCTCATGCTTTCATCTCCTCCTCGCATGACCTCCTCCAAGTCCCCCTTGGACGACCAACTCGCCGCCTCCCTTTCGGGTTCCACTCGAGGGCTTGTCTAGTGATGTCACTTGATGGTTTCCTCAGAGTATGGCCAATCCATCTCCATTTCTTTCTGCCTATTTGTTTCACAATCGGTTCCTGATTGGTTCGCTCCCAGAGATCCCTGTTGCTGATCTTTTCTGGCCATCTGATCTTGAGTATTAAGCGAAGACAACTGTTAATGAAGGTCTGAAGTTTGTTTGAGATGCTCTTTATGACTCGCCAAGTCTCTGATCCGTATAATAGCACTGACTTTACATTGGAGTTGAAAATCCGGATCTTATTTCTGATTCTGAGTGCTGTTGACCTCCACACAGACTTAAGGGTAATGAAAGCTTGTCTTGCTTTTCCGATTCTGGCTTTGATATCCTCGTCAGTTCCGCCTGTAGTTGAGACGATGCTTCCCAGGTAGTTGAAGGAGGTTGTTTCTCTCAGGTTCTTCCCACTTATGCTGATTGTTGTCTGCTGTTGTTGCTGTTGATGTTGGCTAGGAATCTTCATCACCTCTGTTTTATCTATGTTCACTTGAAGTCCTATCTTTGATGCTTCTTCTGCCAACTTGTTACTTTTCACTTGCATATCTTCCAGTTTGTGGGAAATCAGACATATATCATCGGCGAAATCCAGACCCTCCAAATCTTTTGCGTAGTACTATTGATACAAATATGAAATTTTCACCATATATATAATATTGTATCTAATTTTCCCTTTACATAATACAGGGGTAATAATAATTTAATAGTGTCATGCCTTACACTTTTATCACCATATGAAATATTTGTCATTTAAGGTATTGTAGAGCTCTCATAGTTAGTTATCCGAGTTTAAAGTCTTTCATAATTGCTTGGTGAGATGCAAAGAGAGAGAGAGAGAGTTGTGTATAAAGAGGATATGCAGGGTTTGACAAGATAATATTCACTAATTTCTCTTATGAGTTCAAGTGTCTATCTATAACAGTATTAACGAGTAGGTTTAGCAACACCACACTCGTCCTACTGATCGCTTTTCAGCACCAAAGTCTTTCTTAAGTAGCCCAGGAAAGATTATGAATGAGCAATAAATAATAATAGATAGAATACATGTATTAACAAACTGTAACAGCTGAGACTGTGTGATACCAGATTGTCTTAACTTCCTTATGTAAAACGTTAAACGTATTGTCTTTCTAGTCACTAACATTATGTGTGAAGACCAAGTGATTAGAGGAACTGCACAGTTCAACGTATTTAACATTCGATTCAGTGTCATCTCTAGTACCGTCAATGATAGCAGAATCATCAATCACGGTATAGAAATTAGGGCCTAGAAATTTCTTAGTACACATATTATGATTTATTCATTTGGTTACAAGAAAATACACAGGTCTTAGCAACTTCTATCAGTTAGCCAGATAATCTCATAAATTTTTGGTTTTTATAACTAAGCCACTTTTTTCATTTTTCTGCATTTATAGTGGAATACAAGGCTTTAAGCTTGAGGTTTAGAGTTTTAGTGGAATGAGTGTTGTTTGTTTTTTACAGGCTAGGCTTGATAGCTTCACGTCCAACCTTCTCTCTTTACTGGATTTAAGAGTCCGTCAGCCTGGAGTTGAACCTGGACTACGTGTGTAGTTGGCTGTAGTCTTGACTATCATTGATTGCTGTTAGCTTTAACAAAATTGTGTTACTCAAACTTGAAGCATGTATGTGTAGTGATGTGTGGGCCTCTGTTCAAGTCAGTTTTGGTAATGTTATCAGCAATCCTATTAAATAGGATGCTCTAGTCCGAATAAATTATGATGTAAGCAGTTTTAAAAGGTTTTTCCGGTTTTCTTATTTCACTGGGTAACTAGTATACGAAACATAATATTATACTTCTTTTGAATTACTGAATTGTCATCAAGGCTATTGTCCAGCACAGTTTAATCGACAGCATTTTCTTAGCACTCAAAACCATACTGAACTCTATGGTAATATACTATGCTATACTATCCGACAGTCAGTTTGTATCCACAGGTGGTCAACTAAAACCTACCCAATATCTGTACTTATTTACACAGGTTTTGATATTGTTCCTGTTCACAGATGCTATACTTAGACTAATAACTAGACGGCCGCCTAACCGATGTGTTGTTAAGTTTCTACCTTCATGTTCGACGAAACTCGTCTTGGTGAAATCAATGAGAAGCCTAGTTTGTCTCATTTGTACGGTAAAATTTGAAAAATATATGAACATGAGTCGGTGGCACAGTGGTTAGGACTCCCGCCGACCATGCACATGGTCCGGGGTTCGAGCCCACACCGGTGCACACCTGATATCTATGGTCGGCCTGCAAAATTTGGGCTACCGATATCCATGCTGAAAATTCCATACTTGTACCAAAAATACAGTGTGGAATCAAGCTGTAAATCAATCAATCAATCAATCAATCAATCAATCGATACTTTGAAGGTTTTTTTTTATCTCATTTCACTGACCCTTTCTCCACGAAATTTGACCTCATATTTTACACAGTAAAAGGAGAAAGATTTTTATCCGCAAATAGAGAGACATCAGAGTTGATGATAAAATAACCAACCAATCAACTAACAACAACAAGCACCAATCGCTCGCTATCAACGGAATATATTTGTAAGAGGTCACTTATCTAGGAAGAAACATTTCAACTACAGCCAGTCAGCACGGATAAGGATGCTTCAAAACCAAAATCTAAAAGGTAATAAAGACCTTCATCACTCTGAAATCAGTTTGGAAATCCACTGTCCAATTTACAGCACAATCAACACACTTCGAATTATTTTAACAACGATATTAAGTCAGTCACTACTTCTATATAGGTCAGAAACTTGGCTCTTTATGAACGACCTTTTCTAAAGGGCTGCTTTAGACTTTTATCAATAGTTGCCTTCACTGGCTACCGTATTGAAGATCACATGACCTGGCAGAAAGAATGAGCACCAAAAACCTCTGACTGGGAACGAACCAGCAAAGAAAGAACCTATTGCTTTGCAAGTATGACGAAGAAAATGCAGGTGGATCGTACGCGACAGTGAGAAGACAGTTGGTTGACTTCACATGACAGGCTGTCCCGAATGGGAAATAACAAGTGACACCACCCGAGGGTGACATGGAGGAGATCGTGCGAGGAAATGGAAGGCTATGGGCAATCGTGAGGCTAGCTTAAGAGAACTGCAAAGAATAGGATGAAGTGGAAATATTCCGTTTTAGCTCTATGCTCCACTATGTCTGTCTGTCTGTTTTCGATATTGAACTTTGCACCTATGTGCGACATTTCAAGTCGTCACACTCCATGTAGCACACAAAGCAAGAGAAGAAAGTACAAGAAGAGCATAATAGAGACATAACAGTAAGCAGAGGTGTGAGACAAAGGAATAAAAATATCGAAGAACGATACAGTTTCATTGGAAATCAAAGTCACAAGGAGTGGGTGCATCTGCGCCACTGAGAACGATTTTAAGTCATATCACCAATTGTTTCCAACCATTGGTTTTTACCGTCCCGAGGACCCCAACCGGTCAGGAAGTCTACATCTTCCTACGTGACTAGCTGGCTTAACTAAGTGTAGTGGATTTCATTGACTGGTGCCGTGTTCTGGTTTGACCTCCGCTAGCTCTTTTTCAGCCTGACTCTATGTCACCTAACATTGCCCGTCGCTGGAGGAAGGCGATGACTAGGCATACGTAACACATGTCCTAACCATCTCAGTCGATGTAACTTCACAGACTCGTCGATTGATTTACCCTCCTACCTGCCTAGCACTCAACCGATGCCTAACCTCATTATTGCTCACCTTATTATACCACTACACTCGGGAGTTAGAGCGCGAGCATCTATGATCAAAGACAGCTAATCTTTTCATGTCTTCCACTCTCAATGGCCAGGTCTCACTGCCATAAAGGAGGACGGAGCGGACTGATGAGCAGTACACCCGCCCTTTGGTCGACAGCCAGCCGAATATCACGTCTAAGCCAGAGACGGGGTAGACTGGCTTATACGAAACTAGCCCTCTGTATCCGTACCCAGCTGAGGTTTCGTCAGAGATCAACCTGTTGGCACTGGCTGATGCAACTTCACAAATAAGTGAAGCGGTCAACGTGCGGTCAACAATAATAATAATGATATGCACCGTAGCTGAAAATTTGCCAAATTGATTAATACGCCTCTTATCTTTGTCTCTTGGTCGGGGTAAACTTAATAAATGAATCCAGTATTGGAAGTTTACACCAATTACCTACTATTTACACTTTTCATATATATATATATATATATATATATATATATATATATATGTGAAATATTTTATAAAATATTGATCTAATTTAATGATTGAATTGTCAACACTGTCATGCTGTTGTTTTCATTATTTTTATCAACATTGGTATTATTGTTATTGTCATTGCTATAATAATGATAATAATAATAATAGTAATAATTTTTATTATTACTATTGTCGCTATTTATTATTGAGTCACAAGTCATCGTGATACAGCATAGTTTTATGTCTGTCTATTTAGCTTCATGTTTCTATTCGATTAATAAAGCCTGTGGATAATTTAGTTGGTTAAGAATGATGATATTGTTCTGAGCAAAATAAAAAGAAAAGAAAGCACAATTCAATGAAGAAAATGTTTTTTCTAGTTGAAATTTAGTTCAACTTTAATCACTTGGTTGATATCAGTTAGAGAAGTAATAAAAACCAAGGAGTACTAGATGGAACGATTTCGTCCTAGTCTTGGACTATTTAGCAGTAGGCAGCCCTATGACACCGCCGCCCGAGGTCGGACCCAGGACCTTCAGTTTGTTAGGCGAACTTGTTGACCATTCACTCATTAGGTGGGAATCCAATAGCCTATGAATTTCCAACTTCTCTCAGTTTACCAGTCAATGTCATCGGATGGGGCGGTCCCCACACCCGATCTGATAGGCGCCATTGGTTGTGAACTGACAGAAGTTAGAAGTGGCTAACCTCTGGATTCTTTCACAGAGTCCTAGAATAGGACGAAACACTTATCCGGTCGTATATTTGCTTTTCAATGATTCCCTTGATCAAATTTAAAACTAATTAAATCCCTAACAAATTGGCACTTGAAAAAGCTTTTTTATCGACGAAGTCATTTTCAATGGCTGTCCACTTGTACAATAGTCTCTTTTTAAGTAATATATGGGGCGCATATGTGTGTGTGTGACACAATTGACACAGTTATTCAGAAGTGATTTATAAACATAGGAACATGTTTTGTAAACATCAACAACACAACCAAAGTGTCATTAGATCAGAAACAAGATAGTCGAGTGTACACATTTGACAAGTGTGGAGACAGTGGGCTAAGAGACATGTAAGACTGATAAAATAATGAATTAATAACTATAAAGAGAAGCCAGAAAATTAGGAAAGCGTTTCAGATCATGGTAGAATAGTAGACTGAATAAATCTTTTCTGTACAGTGAGAGAGATTGTCTGGGTCCATGTTAACAAATAGCTAGTTCCTCTGTCACCGCTTGTATCATTCGATTTCATCTTGTAGCTATGCTTAAGAGATAACTTTGGTGGGGCTGTGTGGCTTAAGTTCATCATATGCCAGAGAATTGAACCAGTAATTGCATCGTCATCTTGACAACTACGCCCCACAATATGTTTGGAAGGTGTGCTTTTTGTCTGGTCAATATAACTAGCTCTACAAGAGCAAGTGAATTTATAAAGACACATTAAAGTGACCATTTTTCGTTCACACATCTATTGATCATTCCTCGACTGTAGTAATTGATCCATAGCTGAATCGGACAGAATGCTTTTCTCGATGATTTGGATTGACGGTACTTCAGAATCTCGGCCGTGGTATCACTTTTAAATTCAACATTTTTCCGGCGTTTTGTAGTCACTTTCAGTATATCACCTTACTCTCATATTTTGCGTCGAGGAATCTCGTAAGGTATTCATTTTGAATGAGAATTGGTCGAAGGTACTGACCGCTTCAATTATTTGTTAAATTGCGTAAGAACTATTGGACTGAATGCTGACGAAATTTGAGGATAGATACAGATAGTTCATTTGGCGTATGAGTGATATCCTGGTATCCATCAAAGGACATGTGTACTTCTCAGCAGTTCTCTTTATCCTTCTTTACGGTTAGGGTTAATGCCCTGATCGCTTCTGACCATAGATCTCTGCTTTATGTCTTTCGTGTTAGGTGGAGCTTGAGTTGCCAAGCTGTTGGTAACATGGCCGAAAATCTTTCTTGGTGGCTCAGACGCATTCACACTTTGTGATTCCCCAGCTCCATTAAATCTACGTTAGTCTCCAAGTGATTATTCTTTCTCCTGTAGATTTCCGACAATATAGTTTCTGTGCATTAACTCTTCCCCCTTCCCCCGATATTTATATATGAAGTATGACAACTTGAATTACTGTACAGTTGGGCAAGGTATTACATTGAAAGTTCAACTCAGTTCTTACTGGACCTACGTGGTTCACACCCTCACGCATATAACTGAGCTACTGGATAATATTTCGGTTTTTGAAAACTATGTCCGCTGATTTCATGCATCACTAGGATCATCACACTGACGCATCACTCATTGATGATTTAATCTGTTTACAATTCATCAGAGTTACAAGAACATGTTAAACAATTTGGTTTTAATAATATCAATGTTGATATTTTTTGGGGGGGCTAATTAGCATTTTTACTTATTATTTTTTTCCGAAGTTTGGAATTGAAATGTTAATGTGTTTCTGTGTCCCTGTTTTCAAATTAATTTTCAAGGAACAAAATTTTTTGTTTTTAGGCCATATGATTCAAAAATTTTCTATCTAGGTCATGGAAAAAATGAACTTCTTGTTAATGGTCATAGTTCATATGCTCTGCGTTTAATGTATCGATTTAGTTGTGTAAGTTGTTTCTGTTGTTGTTGTTCTTCTTCTTCCTCCTTCCTGTTTTTCATTTTATTTTATATTTGAATAATAGTAAATATTAGAGAGAAAAGAACAAGAAGCTCCGGAAAAATATCTTCTGGTCGAATTTTTTTTATCTTCAAAAACTGTACAATCGTATTTTTATACATGAGTGTTCGATGTGCCGTCTGAAAATAAACCAATCACAATTTAGCCCACTAAAATGGTCGATTTCCAGACTTGAAATAAACCAACCAGAATTGGCCAACTTGAAATAACGCCCAGTGTTTTATTGATCATAATTACAGACTAATAAACATAACTTTGGTGATATTTTGAATCATACATTATTGCGTGGAATATATTTGGTGGCTCAAGTCATTGTGCTCTCGTTCAAGTAATGCGTGCTGGTACCATACTGAAAACAATTCACAAATAATTGACAACTTGACTAATTCTGTTAGCAACGATAATCATGAGATTAATTTAAGTGGCTGCAACATTTAAGATACTAAGGTCAAGTTTATTGGATTTTTCAGTTGACTTTTATCTGTTTGGCTCTGAGCTCAAGTTCTGCAAGAAGAAATTCAGTTGTTCAAGTATTGGTTTTTAGGGATTTGATTGATTGGTTACAGGATTTCATCATGAGCTGATATCGGTTAGAGAACCATTAGAAAACCAGCTGGGAGTACTGGGCAGCTGTTTCGTCAGCCTGGGTTGGGGCTCTTCAGCGGTGCGTTCCCACCAAGGTTCCCACCCAGGACCCTCTGGTTACTAGGCTAGCTAGCTCGTAGACCATCAGGTCACTGGGACCCGATCCAATGGTCAACCCATGAATTCTAACTTCTGCCAATTCACGACATAGCGCGACCACTAGCCAATGTCTTCAACGAGTATTTGTCCTCGCACCCGACCTGCTGCAACCTACTGGTCACGACTTTTCACCAGAACCCCAAGTAACTACCTACCTGAATAGGGCCAGTCGCCAGTGTGCATCTCATCGATATTCAAGCATTGGTTCAAGTACTGACAGAGAGTCCCAAACTAGGACGAAACAGCTGTCCAGTACCTCCAGGTTTTCCAATGGTTCTCTAACGAATGTCAGCTCATGATGAAATTCAGTTATCTCAGTATTAGATGTAGCCCATTGAAAAATGATCCTGGGTAACTGTGACAGTGATGATATCACATAGCTAATTTGATTATATAAATGCAACATTTTCCTAGTCTGTTTGCAATTTGCGAGCACAGGTCGTTGGACTTAAAGATGAAAGATAAATGAAGGTTGCTGACCCCAGTTTATTTGTTCAGGGACTTCGCATTCGTGTCACGAAAAGCATTTCCAACAAGCATCTCGAGACTTTCGTCAACAGCACCCTTCTCTGACTTGATACTGAAGACCAGATGAGCGGTTAGAATGGATAAGGATCAAGGAACTCTCTGTTAGTCCACGATTCAACCGAAAATCGATTACTTAGCGTAAATGCAGAACGTAATAGAGATGAGTCTGATACAAACGCCAAGGATATCTTCAAGTGACATTATACGCCAGGCCCCTCAAGTCGAACCTGAATGGGAAGAGACGAGTTAAGCTTTGATCCGACTGTGACGTGCAAGAGATCATATGTGGGGGACATGAAAGCTCATCGACAATCTTTTAGCCAGTTATAAAAGACCGCAAAGAACAGAGTGAAATGGAGATGCTCTGTGTTGTACTAGGAACCCAAAGGATGAATAGTAATAATTATTATATCGACGGAGCAGTGAATTTCAATCCACTGACTAAATAATATAATTGCATCATTCTGCATATACTTGTGGAACTAATGCATCTATGATCCAACGAAAAATTCAATTTACACCTCTATATAACCACCACTATCTATCAGAGTAGCCTAGTGAATAAATAACGTCCTGGCATTAAACAACATACACGTAGAGTTCAAGTTACTTTTGACCGCTTTCTATCAGTTTTAATAATAATAATAATGTACTATGATTGAACACTAGGTAGTAACTAGTGTCTTGCGTGTAGTCCTTGCTGTTTGTGTAGCTTACATCCTATCAGTCAAATTTACAATGTGGCCACCATGCCACTAGGGGTGTCTCGTTATCATGGTGCACCCTGAATTAATTTTTGTTATTAGATGGTTGGAAGCAATTGACAAGAATCCCGGTCTGCTTGTTGGCACTTACTAGTCAGCAAAGTGTGCAATATGGTTCTACAGGAGTTTAGTCGTGACCCCAAATAGCTCAGTGGTAACATATCTATGGCTAACTGAATTATTCAGTGACACGGATTCGAATCTTAGAAGAGATATTAGCTCCTACAAGATTGTAGATACGCCTTGCTCACTAGTGAGCGTCAACAGGCACGAGACCTAGTTCAGACTGGGCTTCCTCACGATTACCTTCAGTCATCTAATGACATCGATAATGCACTGTGTGCTTGGCTGGTTCAGTGATAGACTGCTCGCCAACTACGTCTGTCATGGGGTCCGGCGTTTAATCCCCAGCCAACGCACTCCTTAACCTCTGTTAGCTGGTGTTAAGCCCAGTAAAGAAGGGAGGTGGGATGTGATGTTAGCAATCCCATTCCATAAAAATAACACAACCGTTACTTAAACTTCAAAGCTGAAGGTTGAAACGTTGTTCTACACTCGTCACTAAAGCTATTTCAAACTACCCATTTCTCCTGATGTTAATTTCTGTTCGAGAAAAAAGAATACTCTAGAGCGGTTTTTGTTTTCAGTATTACGTGACAATTTTACACTGCCGGCTATGTTTTTATCCATGGTAGAACCTAAGGCTTTCTCATTAGTTCTGGGGGAGGATGCATGCAATAAATTGGCTTCATCACTTTAAATCTATCTGTGTCAGTATAACTTGATCAAATTGGTAAATTAACTGCAATCTCCACCAGTTAAATACATGTTTTGTTGGGTATTAGGCGGTTGGAGGCAATCGGCCACAGGAAGCCTACTTGACCTAGGCTCCGTGCTAGTTGGCACTCGTCAGCGGGGCGTGTCTGCAACCTTGAGGGACCTCATGTCATTTCTGAGATTTGAACCTGCGTCACCTGCTCAGTGGTGGTGACGTCTCTGACTGCGGCACTCACTGTGTGACACAGGTTCGAATCTCAGAAGGGACATGAGTTCCTTCAAGGTAGTTGCAGATACGCCTTGCTAACTGGTGAGTACCAACTAACAGGTGAGGCTTCCTGTGGCTGATTGCCTTCAACCATCATCTAACATCAACAATTCAAAGTACGCCATGATGGCGAGCTTCCTATAATGGTGGCCACATTACAAACGTGATTGACAGAATTCAGTCCGCACTAAACAGAGGACTAGATACATCACACTAATTACTAGTGTCAAATGAAAATTACCTACATGTTCATTGAAAAACAAACCCAACTACCGATATAACCAATGCTATATAGGTTGTTTTTTTTAAAAAAACAATTTTGTCATCGTTCTTTGTACTGTTTCATTGTTGTATTTTATTTTTTCTCTTCAGCCGTTTAAAACAGCTACAACAGTCATCTGTTTACCATGGTTACAAGATATGCTATATAGTAGTGATTATTTAATCCATATATTTCATATCTATGATTCACGTGGACGATTTATGGGTGCTGGTGAATACGACGGAGTAAGTTCAATATTATTATTTATTATTCTCTTCAGTTCCGAGTGGAAATTAGGGCTTCAACAACACATCTTCGCTTTGTTCTATTTTCTGCCATCCTCTTCATTTGGATCGACGATTGCCGACAATCTCCCATCTCCTCCTCCCCACACGATCTCCTCCATGTCACCATCGCACTGATGATCCACTTTTTGCTTCCCATCAGGATTCGACCCGAGCAAGGGCTTGCATTGTGCTCAATATCATTTGATGGCCTCCTCAACGTATGCCTGTTAAATCCATCTTCATTTTCTCCTACATGTTTGTTGAACAATCGGTTCTTGGTTGGTTTGTTCCTAGCCACAGTTTCTTGTTACTTATTCTTTCTGGTCGGCCATTTGATCTTCAATATGAAGGCAGCGAAGGGTGCAGCTGTTGATGAATGTGTGCACTGGCTTGTTGGGCATCCTTTTCGTGACGCGCAGTGCAAGTTTCTGGTCCATAGAGAAGAATTGACTGACAAACTTCACATTTGTGTTAAGTAGAATCCTAATCTTGTTCTTTATGCTGGCTGGCTGAGGGAAACAGAAGATTTCCAAACTGGTTCCAGGTTGATGAAGGCGTATCTTGCCTTTCCAATTCTGGCTGACTGGCTTTGACGTCTTCATTCGTTTCAAGTGCCTGTAGTTGAAACGATGCTTCCTAGCCAGATAAGTGAAGGAAGTAACATCTGTTAAATCTCTCCCATTGACGGTGATATGTGCTGGTTGTTGTTATTGTTGTTGGTTGGTTGGTCATCTTCATCACTTCTGTCTTCTCTATGTTCACTTGGAGTCCATTAAGTTCAGTGGCCAGGTTAATTCCTGTTGTGTGATATTATGTCTCTCATATCATAGTCATTTTTTTTTCATATGATATTGAGAGGTGTGATGCATGTACCCACAACAAGTTATCTCTACTGTGTAGGCTACGTGAACTTAGCAAGCTGACTTGGGGATTAGTTCACGCTAAATAATCGAGAGTAATTTTCATGTGTTGGTTTGCTGAGGCTTGATTAGTTTGAAGTAAGAGGATGGATTGATATCAGTTAGATAACCATTAAAAAACAGGGATTACTGGATAGCTGTTTCGTCCAAGTTTAGGTCTTTTCGACAACACGCACCAGTGACTCCATCGAAGATTGAGCTCGTTGAGATAATTCAGCCAACAAGACGGAATCCAAACCCTGGTGGATTCTAACTTCGGCCACCTCGAAATGATGGGTCTCACTTTGGTCACGAATTCATGTAAGAACTTAAGACAATTTTGGCCAGTAGTCAGTTATTAGTGAGTATCAGATTAATTTTAAAGTGTTGATTTGCAGGAATATGTTTGGTTTCAAGGTAGATATTGACAACATTTAGAGAACAATTAGTAGTAGATGTTTTGCTGTCGTTGGAGAGTCTTCACTTGTGCACTCCCATGACCAGGAGTTGGATTCAATGACCTTTCCTCGCAACCTGAATATTCAATCACTGATGATGCAGATGAGGTGTGCGCCAGTGAAGAGTTTAAAAAAAATAGAATTGACCAGCCAGGTTTTTTCAATATTTCTCGAATTGATATGATCTAATTGCGTGTGTTCGATAATTAATTTCTCCCAATCGTAACATCTTGGTTCTGTTAACTCAACAAGTTTTTAGGTAGTTTAGACTTCAATTTTTAAAAAAAAGATTCCTTGGAATAATGCCATTTCTTTACTTCATCATTGTTGAATGTTTCTTTCCCCGGATAACTCCAACAAAAACATTTGTTCATGCTCTCATCGATAAAAAAAATATCAATTTGATCAACGAGTAGCCGGTTCTTTAAAGAAATGAAAACAATTGGCATCGGTGGCTCACCGGTCAAATGCCAGCCAACTTCCCACATAGTTCGGCATCGATTCCCGGCCGGCACACTCTAAAACCTCGCTTAGATGACAGTAAGCTTGAAAACAATACTGACGCTTGTTGGAAATTTACAACCTGAAGTCGTATATTCCACTTGAAACTTTGTAGAATGGAGAAAGCAACAAAAAAAACCGAAAAGGATAAAATGAATTATGAAATATTCTGAAGAATTGCTTAATTTAAATATGGATTTCATTGATGTGTTGTTGTCGGCTAAAGAAGTCCTGGAAGGACGAAACACTGGTGTGGTTTTACTTTTGGGCTGTTGAGATGAGAGCACCTACAGTCGTATCAAAAAACAGAATCTTGAAAAAAATAAATCAGCAACTTGAGTTAAATAGATTCAGGTCTAAAGACAACTTCTCAACAATACCATCGAGAAGTAATTTGGTAAGAACTTGAAAACAGATATATGAAACCGTTTAGTCCAATAGTAGTGTGTCTTCTACAATCTAAGCTAATCGAAATGTTTTTAAGTAGAGTCATGAATTTAGGTGCCGTTGCTATGCCGTCCTATTCAACGTCCTTTGTTTTCAGCTTGCTCTCTGAGTCATGTTGCTATTCTTCCTCCTCTTCTTTATTTCAGCATCGTGAACAACGTCCAAAATTCACATTTAATTTATCTAAAGGAGATTTTAAGGTTATAGCACAGGTAGGCAAATTTTTTTTATTACTGTGAATTTATCGTTGTTAATTGTCATGCCTTGAATTCACTGACAAAGTCATCCTGTGTTATTCATATTAAGTATATATCAATTCCCTTCTTGCTGTCCCTTTAACTTGTTTTTTTTATTCCTTCACGTTCTCAGTGGGACATAGGGCGCCTTCAAGCTAGAGGCTTGAAGTTTCTGTAGCAGTGATGATTATTTACACGGGATGGGATTGCTAGCCTCATGTATAAGCTTTCCTGTTTACCAGCTACCGAGGTAAAGGATTGCGTCGGTGGTCGGGGATTGAACCCCGGATCATGTGCTTGGTTGTGACGAGCGTGCTATGACGTGCTGTGCCACTGACTCACCCTTTAACTTGTGCCCCACGATTATTGTCATTCTTTTGGGTTTCGATTGGAACATCAGTGGCACATCACCATTCTACTCTGTTCTCTGCAGGCTACTTTAGCTAACTCTAAGATTGCCCTCAGTGGATGCCCGGTCTATTTTCACTTCCTTCTGTATACCTGTTGGGCGACAGGTTCTTAGTGAGTTCATTGAGAGAGTCCCTTCTGGCTTATCCTTTTTGACCGTCAATCTAATCTCAAGTATTCAGCCAGCGAAGGCAGGTGTTTTATGAAAGTCTGCAAAAACGCCTTTCGGAAAGGCTTTTTTAATGCACATGCCAAGTCTGTGAAGCATATAGTAGTAGTAGTAGTAGGTTTTCACACGGACTTCATGCGGATGAAGATCTGTCGTGCTTTTATGATCCCATATTTGGTCCCTTTGATATATGCTTATCCGTATCGGCTGTATTTAAAACGAAGCTGCTTAAGCAACCTCCGTTAGTTTGCTTCCATTGCTGGTCAGTGTTGGTTGGTTAAGTATCTTCATCAGTCCTGTCTTATTCTTCATGTTCTTGTGGAGTACTACTCTCTTTGCCTCCTTCTCTTCTTCTTCTACTGCCTCTGTCAACCTTTTAGTTTTCACCTGTAGATCGTTAAAAAATGTATTAGAAAACATTGTAAAGATAACACTACACTGGATAATTGTCCCTTATATGTTGTAAGAATGTCTCTCAGTTACTTCAAGGATAATCACCTATAGAAATCATACCATGAGCGATAAGTGTGTAGGGGACTATCTAGCGATCTCAATAACTTAACAAATATGCGAATAGAAATCAAAGTCAATGAGATGATAGGGTAACAATGTATTATCAAAAATACAGTAATGAGTTATATTAATCAAAAAGGTTACTTGGATGTACTGTTAAAGTCCACTGCTACAAATTATTAATATAGTTCACAGAAGCATTCACTGTTGGAATCGTGTCTACTGGTTGATGCTGTGTCCCGGCTGTAGAGTTGTCTTCGGATAAGGATAATAGGTTTTCCTGCGATAAATCCAAAGTATACAATACGGTATGAGTGGAGCAAGTAGACAGTAATGACCAATGAGAAGGTGAAGCTACCAACAGTGCTCTGTATTTCGAATTGTACTGGGAAATGATATATATTTAAACATGAATCGTTTTAAACAAGACTCATGTACAATGTCTCTAATTTCAATATCAACAACAAAAAGTGTACCATCATATTGTTACGTATTCCACAGGTGTATTCATCCAGGTCACTCTAGGTTAAGGTACTTTGCGGTCCACTGATATTCCTGATACTGTTCTTTTGCCTACCCTACTGTAATCCTAACTTTAACCGTAAAAACCTTAACGCTACCTAATAGAATAGATTTACATAAAAAAGTACCTGGGGAATAAACAGTATTGCACATCGCAATGACCCAACAAACTACACTGGCTGGAACTATTGTTCCTGCAGGTCCTATCTTGCCAGGAAGGTTGTTAGGATAGCGATAGTGGCAGGTATTCCCTGCTCTAGTTTTCTTAATGCTTTTGCAATTTGATGACTTTTTTCAAGTTTAAGTCAGTTTATTCTACCGGCAATATTCTTCCATTGACGAGGTTTGATGGGGGTAGTATGCTTGCCAAGCATACGCTGAAGGTTTGGGTTGCAGACTCTGGATCGATGTACTCACACATTCCTTATTTAAAACGTTCATTTCCCGATACAAATTTAGAACAAGCAGTAAAGGTTAATAAAGCGGGATTTAATGCTGGATTCTTCAAATTTCGGTAGAACTCGTCAGCCACTGAATACTCTACATACACGGATATATACTTTTGAAATTACATTGGGAGATACAAGACTGATAAGTAAACAAACTACATTGAATTGGTCAGGCAGAAAAACACTTGCGAATGTTTTCCAGGTCATGTTCAAATAGATAAGGGGAGAGAGAGTATGAGAGATCAAAATTAAGGTAAATTGCATTACACTTCAATCACATCACTTAGATAAACAATTATACATTAGAGAATATAACAAGAATTGCAAACAGAGTAATATTAATAGTAATAGTTATAATAACGATAGTAATAATAGTGTTGAAAGGAGTTAAGATAATCCTACTGGTAAAGGATAGTTTTAAGTTGATCAAGAATAATAATAGCAATAAGAGGTAGAATAATAAATAAAACGTATTACCATGGTAGATTCAGAGTCACAACCATCTCTTTTTGTACACAGAGACCTGGTTTATAAACTCGAATTGCACAAGCTTCCTGTGCAATTGCAATCATCTTCGCAGTTGTCTTTCTGCATGACTAATTCAATATAGTTTATTTATTTATCAGTCTTATATCTCCCAATGTAATTTCAAAAGTATATATATATATATATATATATATATATATATATATATATATATATATATATATATATATATATATATATATATCCGTGTATGTAGAGTATTCAGTGGCTGACGAGTTCCACCGAAATTTGATGAATTCATCAAATCCTGCTTTATTAATCTTTATTGGTTGTTTTAAATTCCCTATTTAACTATCACACGTAGTCAGCCCGATAAAGAGAGAAAGTTGAGAATGAGACTAGAAACTCCACTCATGTAAAATACCATGGGTCTACTAAAGCTTCAAAGTTCAATCTTGAAGTACTTGGTTCCACTTGGAATCAAAAGAAATGGGAAGAAGTTCTTCCACAGCAGTAATTCATCATTTTAACCAAGTATAAGTTCATATTGATAAGTTACTGAGTATGTAAGCTCTATCATGTGTTATGAGTCAGTATGTGGTCAGTAGTCTATGAGACTCATCATCATGGTAAGCTTTTTTAATTAATGTTAAATGATTAGAGGTCCAGAAAGCACTGTACCTAGGTTTCGTTCTTCTTGCTAGGATCCACTAACTCTAATGAACTGTTAATCCATTTGAGATTGGAACAAGTGTCATTGACGTCTGCGGTTGAAGACGTTACCACCTAGCTTTTCCTGCAGATTGCTAGAGACTATCTAATTTCGTGCGTGTGTTAATCTTTTCTTGGCAGGAGTAATTAATTGTTGTGGATAATAGTGACTCCATTATTTAGTAAAACCGTTAACCGTCTCCTTTTCAATTCAGGCTTAGAGTATTTTTGTATTTGTTTCGCTAATGATATCAACAGAGTGTTCACTTACCTGTCATAGGGTTGACTGTACATTGTCCAGCACTCAAAGCAGGAAACAAACAAAAGGATAACAGATTTTCTGGCCATAGGTGTCTTCATAGAATCATCCACGTGAAGTGGGACCAAAGAGTAGGTAGTATTAAAATTAGATGTCATCTGCTCACTAGTAATAATAATAATAATAATTTTAATAACTGATCACATTGAAATGCGTCATCAGAAATAGATATCTGATACAAGTTTGTGTACTGGTCTACATGTGGTGAGAGCTGGCTGTTAGTCGAAATTGGTGAACAGTAATTTACGTCAATGTTTATGTCCCCAATATTGGTCTTGAGGAAAATGAGAAGAAAGGCTTTGCGTAGGCGGATACAGTTAACAATATATATGACCTGACATTCGAAAAAGAGTCACAAAGAGATGCAAGGTTAACTTTCAGTGAGAAACAACTAATCAGAAGACAGTGTTTTTCTGCTAACAATAATCTATAATATGTACATAAAATCTATAAATATGTGTTGATTTCCTTAATAAACGATCTGTTGCCTGGCCCTTGTCTTCTGTTGTTGCATACATAACAAACCTAAACGTAAGTACATTCCATTTCTACCACTCCCTTTAGGCGAAAACAAAAGTGTTGGAATTTGGCCTGATAACCTATTTACTTGGAAATCTGTCTATTGCTACGTTTTTTTATTTAATGTTTGGCGTCTGAGAAGAATTCCTATTATCATGTTTACTTATGTTATGTTCGTTTCTAATGGTGTCAGAAGCTATAACTCCCTGTTGAAATACTCCTCTTTCTTTTGTCTAATTAAATTTATTAGCATTACTATTCGAAGTTTCATCACAGATTGAAATCAGTTAGAGAATCATTGAAAGTGAGAATCAACTGAACAGCTGTTTCTTCCTAGTTTGAGACCCTTCAGCACTACGCACCTACGATCCCACCATCAATCGATCCCTAGGACCTCCAGCTAACGAGGTGAGCTCGTTAACCGCACAGGCACTTTGACCGAAATCCAGTGACCTCCGAATTCTAACTTCTGTCAGTTCATGATATTAGCGCTACCTTCAACCAATGCCAGTAGCTGGGATACTCAACGAGATTGCCCTGCAATCTGGAGGTCCTGGGTTCGAATTCTGGTTGTGGATGCATACTGTTGAAGAGTCTCGAACTAGGACGAGACAACTGTCATCCCACTAGTTCTCTAGCTGTTATCACTCCGTGATCAAACCTACAAATTAACTCAGTATTATAATTATTGTTGTTACTTAGATTTGTCATGAAAGTGGTCCCTTACTGAAACGTGGTTCACCGACAAAATTGCCCACTGTTTCTTCTACAACAAGTAATGAATTATGCGATACACTGGAGGAATCTGAAACTGGTGATTCAAATTCAGTCAACTCTTCTTGGTCACCTTTACAAGCATTGCAGAATACACCGCTGTTAGTACGTTTCCGATTAACTACTAGTGGAATGGAGACGACAACAACAACACCAACTGGTGGTACTACCGGTGCTGGTCGTAAACTTGGTAGTTCTTCTTCTTCAACTGGACAAAGTATTGTACGATTTGAATTTAGTGCATTGCCATCATCGCTTAATTTGAATGGAATAAAAGCTTGCTCAGCTATGGATCCATTGATGTATGATGCTAAGCAAACGTTGATGGTTGGTACTGGTGATGATGATGATAATAGTGATAATAACAGTAATAATAATAGTAATAATGCCGATGGTGATAGGCGGAGGAGCAGTAGTGTTGGTGGTGATGGTGTTTCAGGTGAATCATTTTCAAATGAAAATGCAACTGATGAAGAAAGCAAATCAAGTCGTTTCGAACTTATCCGACGGTTACCATGCCTTCCGAGTCGTGTAAATGCATGTGAAACAATCAGTATCTTCTTAGGTCTTACAGATGAACGGTAAGTTTTTTTGTTTTTCTACATGGATTGCATAATTAGTTGGTTGACATTGTGGTATGACAGGTAATGGCAGGTCTAATAATGCACTACAAAACTTAGCTTGCTAGTTTTCTAGCCGGTCCCAAGCTCGAATAAAGAGGGTGGGTTGGGCGTTTGGCTAGCGGCCCCATACCCCAAAAGCTATCAAACTGCTAGCGAAACTTCTGCGTACAAAAAATATATTAAAAACACGAAACACACAAGTAAATCTTTATCCAAAAATGGATACCCAATAAGATTCATCGACGAAAATATCAAACCAGTAATTTGGAGAAAGGAAACTTTAATTGCGCCTAAAAAGAAACTCTACATGAACTTCGATTTCAAGGGGGATTTAACAAGCAATATTCTCAAGAGAAGGATCACATCATCTCTGAGAAGAACATTCTTTGCAGCAACACTAAGAATGGTGTTCTCCAGTCGCCATTGATCTGCAGAAGCCTCAAGGACAAGATCCCGCATCTGACCACTTTTATGTGCATATATCAGTTCACCTGCTGGTGCGGAACCAACCAGGTACATTGGTCGTTCGACGCGCACCCTGTCCAATAGGATTCAAGAACACTTTTCAGCATGGTTGCGAAAAGGCAGTAGTGGTGCAATAAGGAGTGCGACAATTGAACACTTGGTTAACACTGATCATTCCATTTCAACAAACGCCTCCTTCAAAGTAATCTACAGAGTTAAGAATAACCTACCCAAGGCGATACGGTTTCGTCTTCTTTGTAGCGCTAAAGCTCTGACCATTCACGTAGAAAAACCGGAGCTGTGCACACAAAAGAGAATTAATAAACCACTTCTACTGTCAATGTAACAACTCTGTTGATTTTGATGACTTAATTTTGTTTCATGAATAATTCCCATTCGAACATTAGTAGACAAAAGACAAGTATTCAAGTGATGGTTTGTAGGGATTTGATTGGTTTCAGGATTTCATCATAAGCTGACATCAGTTAGAGAACCATTGGAAAACCTGGGAGTACTGGACAGCTGTTTCGTCCTAGTTTGTGACTCTCCAGCAGTACGCACCCACCGGGATTCGAACCCAGGACCTTCCGGTTACAAGGCGAGCTCGTATACCATTAAGCCACTGGGACCCGATCCAATGGTCCTTGAATTTTAACTTCTGCCAATTCACGACATAGCGCAACCGCTAGCCAATGTCTTCGGCGAGTATTTGTCCTCACAGCTCATGATGAAATCCTGAAACCAATCAAATCCCTACAAACCATCACTTGAATACCAATGAGATGCTCACTGGCGACTGGCCCTATTCAGGTAGGTAGTTACCTAGGTTCCAGTGGGAAGTCGTGACCAGTAGGGTGCAGCTGGTCGGGTGTGAGGACAAATACTCGCCGAAGACATTGGCTAGCGGTCGCGCTATGTCGTGAATTGGCAGAAGTTAGAATTCAAGGACCATTGGATCGGGTCCCACTGGCTTAATGGTATACGAGCTCGCCTTGTAACCGGAAGGTCCTGGGTTCGAATCCCGGTGGGTGCGTACTGCTGGAGAGTCACAAACTAGGACGAAACAGCTGTCCAGTACTCCCAGGTTTTCCAATGGTTCTCTAACTGATGTCAGCTCATGATGAAATCCCAAAAGACAAGTAGTTCAGCGAAGAGTCTCTTTTTGGCGAATTCATTTTCATAGCTGTACAATCGCAAATATATATGGTTATTTTGTGTGTGTGTGTATACATTAAATTTGTCAAACGAAAATACAATTAGTAAGTTCAGGTGAATTGGATGTTCATATAAGAGGATAGTAACAAAAGTGATGAGTTGTCATAAATGATTGTTAAATAAGAGTTACGTAATGGCATGAATAGTTTGACGAATGAGTTGTGCTCAGGGTGTACATGGAAACAAAATAATATACAGAATTACACAAGGGTTTTAAGATAATAAGCATACAAACAGAAGTAAGGTCAAATCAAACAAACAAACAAAAGTGAAATCAACGGAGTTGTTACCATGCGAGTAGAGGTGGTTGGATAATTTTCTTTTGTATGCATAGTTCTGGTTCCTCCAACTGAATGGCTAGGGCTTCTGCGATGCAAAGAAGACAGAATCGTACTGTCTTTGGAAGGTTGTTCTTCACTTTGTAGATTACTTTGAAGGAGGCGTTCGTTGAGATGGAATGACCAGTGTTGACGAGATGTTCGATTATTGCACTCCTTATATGGCCATTATTTCTTTTCTGTAGCCACGCTGGATAGTGTTCTTTGACCCTTTTTGACAGGATGCGCGTTGAACGACCGATGTACCTGGCTCCACAGCAACAGGTGAACTGATATATACACATAGAAGTGGTCATGTGCAGAATCTTGTCCTTTGGGTTTCTGCAGATCAGCGGGCTACTGGAGAACACTATTCTTAATGTTGCCGCAGGGAAAGTTCTTCCTAAAGAGGTGGAAATTCTCCTCCTGAGGACGTCACTAAGTAGGTATCCTTTGAAGTCTAGGTTCACATAAAGTATCTTTTTAGGCACGGATGGTGTCTCTTGCTTTTGGTTTTTCTGTTTGATGTTTTTGTCTATAAATCTTGGTGGGTAGCCATTTTGTATGAAGACTTCCCTCAGGAAGTTTATTTCTTCTTCCATGGTGTCGGAGTTGCAGATGCGTCTGACGCGAGTGACAAGGGATTTAATTAGGTTTATTTTCCGACTGATTGGTACCCAGCTGTAGAAACTTGTCAATTGTCCTTTCCAAGTGGGTTTCCTATGGATTGACCTTCTTAAAGTTCCGTCATCTCTCCTTGTAAGCTCAACGTCAAGAAAAGGGATTTTAGATTCATTTTCAGTTTCCAGAGTGAACTTTGTGGCTGGATGGCATTTGTTGAATATTTGCAGTAGTTAATTGAGATCGTGACCGTCATCACAGATGATAAAGATGTCGTCAACATATCTAACGTACAACTGGAAATTGTCAATGGTTGATTTGAGTGGGACGTTTGTTTGTTTGCCTGTTTCTATGATTCCTTATAATTCTTCTATTCATTTAGAACTCTTACGTAATATTGTATTCTCTTCTTTGTTCCTATGTGTATCCTGAGTAAAGCTCAATCATCAAACTATTTATATTATTACATAACTTCTTTTTAACAGCTTTGTGACAACTCATCACCTTTGTTACTACCCTCATATCACTAACACCTAATTTTCTTGACTTGTTTTGTATTACGTAACTTCAATTACTAATCTTCACCTGTTTAGTTAAAATAACTATAACCGATTGTACTTTTATTTGACAAACTTAACGTACACATACACACACACAAAATAACACCTATATGTTTGCGATTGTGCCGCTAAGAAAATGAATTCGTCGCCGTAAAGAGACTCTTCGCTGAATTACGTGTTTTGTTTTCAAAAATTCAAATAACAATCTTATTCTCGTTTGGAGTTGGAGAGACGAAATGACACAGCGGGCTGGTGAAAGTCAGCCTTTGGGAAGCCAGTCAGCCAGCCGATGTAGCATCTCTCAGTGAAAGCAAGAATAAAAGTGGGGACGTGGTATGTACGTACAATATACGAAGCTGGCTAGAAAGGCTGCCCAGTTAGCCAAAGAAATGAGAAGATATGGTATGGTAGTTCCAGGAACAACAACCAGCACTAATTACCACCAAGGGAAGAGATTTGTCAGCGGTTACTTCCTTCACTTATCCGTCTAGGAAGCAGAGTTTTGACCACAAACGGGCGGAACGGATGAAGACGTCCAAACCAGGCAGTATTGGAAAGGGGGAGAGACGCCTTCATCAACCTGAGACCAGTTTGGAACTCTTCTGCTTCACTGAGCCAGTATAAAGTAGAAGATTCGGATTCTATTTAAAACAAATGTGAGGTTTGTCAGTCACTTCTTCTATATGGGTCAGAAACGTGCATTGCGTATCACGTAGAGGATTTCCAAGAGGCCAGTGCAGACCTTTGTCAACAGCCACCTTCGCTGCATATTGGAAACCAAATGACCATAAAGAATTAGTAACAAGAAACTGTGGCCGGGAACAAACCAACCAAGAGCTGATGGCTCAACAAATATGGAGAAGAAAATGAAGATGCATCGAAGATACGTTGAGGCGGCCGTCGAATAACATCACGTTCAGTGCAGGCCATCGCTCGAGTGGAATCCCAATAAAAAGTGACGATTTGGTTTTTTGATGGTGGTATGGAAAAGATCGTGTGAGGAGGAGGAGGAGGAGGAGGAAATGAGAGATTATGGGGCATCGTGGTGCGAGCTGAAGAGGACGGCAGAAAATAGAAGAAATTGAAGATGTGTTGTTGAAGCCCTAAATTTCACTTGGAACCCAAGAGAATAATAATAATGCACTATGAATATGGGGGTTTGAACAGCATATTATCATTTCAGACCCTATTCTCTGCAGTCCTTTTAAGCTGAATCAGTGAATGCGCACAGGTTAGTTTCACCCCTATTCCTTGTCCTTCATCGGATGTTCAACTTTTCTCTTCTCATTCGGCTTTCACTTTATTTTCTGGTGCATGATGTCAACCAACTGTCTTTTCCACTGTGCATCCGCACCGCAAATTTTTATATGAACCTAGTATGTGGTAGGAAACTACCCTAATCGATAATGTGTTAATGTCAACCACCAATTCATCAACAATAATAATACCATCTACACACGAAAAGGACTAGAGCTTTCATTGTCTTGATACAGACAGTAAATCCCTTAAAAAGTTCAAGCAGTGTTAACAATCAATGAGAGTTCAGTCTTTACAGGAAGTGAGAATATCAAAATAAGCGTTACTGCACATTATATATATAGTTATTTTAATAAGGATTGGTTGAAACTGCATCCCATAACAAGTCAATTATGTGAGGATCAAATCTCCACGCCAGACATCATCATTATCATCGAAAAGAGCATAAAGAGTAGCAGTCTAATCTCTACCTGAACTTCATCGACTTTGAAAGTAGCCTTCAACAACGTTGACAGTGAAGTGATTTAGAAACTGTCTCAACACTACGGAGTGTAGTGTCCCAAATCTGTATGAATCTCATTCATTAGCTATTTATCAACCCCACGTGTTAGGTGATTGACAACGGGAAACTCAGCAAGGCGTTTGAAGTGAATAAAGGAGTAGAACAGGACTGTTTACTTATCAGTGATTATAATCCTGATTATGGTGGATTGGATCATACAGCAGACTGTGTGCGTATAGGATGAGAAAACTGCTGAGGAGTCCGAAACTAGAACAAAACGGCTGTCCAGTACTCCCAGCTTGTTTTCCAGTGGTTCTCCAACTGATGTCAGCTCATGATGAAGTCCTCTATACAATCAAACAATATCCCCACAAAAGCAATACTTGAAAATTAATCCGATGCTCACTAGTGACTGTCCCTATTCAGGCAGTTAACCTGGGGTTCTAGTGGGAAGCCGTGACCAGTAGGGTACAGCAGGTTGAAGATGAGGCAGTAACTCATCGAAGAAGACATTGCGAAGTGGTTGCGCTATGTCGCGAATTGGCAGAAGTTAGAATTCAAGGACCATTTGATGGGGTCTCGGTGGCTCAATTGTCTACGAGCTCACCTTGTAACCGGAAGGTCCTGGATTAGAACCCCGGTGGGTGCGTGCTGATGAAGAGACCTCAACTAGGACGAAACAGTGGCTGTCAAGTACTGCTAGATTTTCCAATGGTTCTCTAACTGATGTCAGCTTATGATGAAATCCTCCTTCCAAAATTGGAATACACTGAACTGACAAGAAGACTCTAGACGATTTGGAATTTGTGGACGAATTGTGTTTAAAGTCACACAAATTCAGTCTACCGGCAGTAAAACCAACAAGCTGTTTTGAGGAGAAGCAACAAAAATAGGACTTCAGGTGAATATAGAGAACAGGATTCTTGGTTTTCAACACATATGGTAAGTTAGTTGTTTTATATGGTTCAGAAATCTGGTTTGTCAACCAGAACATTTCGAACAGACTTCAGACTTTCATCAACAGCCATCTTCCTTCGATACTGGAGATGGGTTGGACACACTCTGGAAAGATCGTCGGGTGCTATCGCGCACCAATCGAATGGAATTTAAATGAGAAGCAATGAGTCGGGTGTGGATCCGAAGGTGACACGGAGAAGACTGTTTGCTGAGGAGATGAGATCTTATAAACAACTGTGGAGCCAGCCAAAATGGACTGCAGAGAATAAAATGAAGGAGATATGTGCTATTGAATTATTGTGGAATTATTGTACCGTTATTTGGTGTTCATCGTGCCTTCTAAATTTTATTATTCCGTATTGCTTATTTGTTTGTTTATTCACTTCCGTGGAAAGTAGTCACAGTTTAATTGATATTTCCTCCTCTTTTTTAGATATCCATCTTATGCAGTACCAGGTTCATATTTCTCTGGAACAATTGGATTTTATAAATCTAACCTATTGCATAATAAGGTCAGTGTAGTATACATTTCTACGTTTATTTTAAAAACTTTTCTCCTCTGACTTATGTCTCAGCGTACGAGAGTAGGTTCCAAGTGTGGCGTAGGGCTTCAGCAACACACCTCCACTCCACTCCATCCTGTACTCTTTGCAATGCTCTTTGGCTTGCTTTATGACTGCCTATAAGCATACATCTCTTCCTGACACGATCTCTTTCATGTTACCGTTTGACGTCATTTCCTATTCAGTTTTCACTCGAGAGCGCTTGCATTGCTTTGCTATGTCACTCGACAGTCTCCTCAGCGTCTATCTAATCCATCCTTATTTTCTTCAATATATTTGTTAGGTAATAGCTTCTTGGTTGGTTTGCTGTCTGAGAGAGTCCCTTTTCGCTAATTCCCTACAGCCGGTCATCTGATCTTCAGTATGTGGACAGAGAAGTCGTCTGTTGATTAATATCTGAAACCTATTCGAAAGGCTTTTGATGACACGTCAGACAATTATCTGAACGATGCAGAATCACAGATTTGACATTAGTGTTGAAAATCTGAATTCTGTAGTTTATGCTGGGTTCAGCAGATTTTCGCACTGATTTGAAATCAATAAATGTCTCTCTCGCTTTTCCGATCCTGTGTGAGTTTTACATCCTTCTTCGTCCCACTGCCTTTAATTGAATCGATGCTGCCTTGATAAGTGCAAGCGGTGATCCCCCTCAAACACTATTCATTTAGCTTTCAGTCATATTTAGAAAGGTATATTTGAACTGTATTCAAAAGATTGTAAGGTTCCCAATAAGTTATTATCTATTGTTGCAGGGATATGAAATTATCTCAAGTTGGGCCACTAACTAACATTAGGTAAAGGACCATTCAATGCCCCCCCCCTATTCCAATATAATGCATGCACCATTGGACTCCGTCCCCTTCTGATTTGAATGGTCATTGAAATCACTTTGTTATCTGGATTAGATCCTTGATAGAGTCATGAGGATTGCCAGAAAAGATCAGCAACAGGCAGAGACCTCTGAGAGCAAACCAATCAGGAACCGATTTAGCAGGTAGAAATATAGGTGCATTGACCATACTCTGAGAAAATCATCAAGTGACATCACACGACAGGCTATCGCTCGAGTGAAACTCGAATGACAAGCGGCGAGGTGGTCGTCAGTGTTGAGGGTGACATGGGGGAGGAGGTCATGCGAAGAGGAGATTAAAGCATGTGGGCAGACATGAAGACGTGCGGCTGAAGCCTTATAGTCCGAGGTTTGATCCCCTGCCGACGCACACCTGATATCTATGGTCGGCCTGCAAAATTTGGGCTACCGATATCCATGCTTAAAATTCCATACTTGTACCAAAAATACAGTGTGGAATCAAGCTGTAATCAAAAATAATAAATAAATAATAATAATAGGGTCATGAGTGTTTACTGATGAGGAACATCATACTAGGACGAAATAACTTTAGTAGTATCATAGTAACCCCTAGTTTTCAATAATTCTCTGTCCGATTTCATCGCATGATCTGACTTGAAATAATTTGAATTAGAATCGTATTTATGGATATCCGATTACAAAAATAACTGGGATATCTTTTGATTTTATCTTTCACACTTCCCTTTCTAACTAAGAAGGTGTATGGTAGAATCATAATGAATATGCTACACGGATGGCTGCTTGATAGACATATTTTTGAATATATATGAACTATTTCAAGTTTCACAATTGATCTTGAAATGTTTGGAGAACTTGAATTATAAACAGTATCTCTCTATGTGGAATAAGTCTTGGTTTCTTGGTTTCAGTCACCGAATCCTACTTCAACTTTCATTTATCATTACTGAAAGCTAAGAAGCACTGGAGGCATTCTTCGTTCTAGTTTGGGACTGTCCAAAAGCTTGCACGTACACCTCCACGAGGGATTGAACTCATAGACCTTCAGGTTACTACTAGTCAAGTACTTCTTTTTGGTCAGACACTATTGGAAGGCCCCTGATTTCGCGTTACAACATCACAGTCATTTATTGTCATTGGTGAGCATCCGCGGTTCACAGTCGACATGGTAGACACCAATGGTGATTACGTCTCATTTTCTTCTTTTTCATTAAATCTATATTATTTCTTATTTTAAGTTGGGACTAGCATTGCTTATGTTTTTCTTCACCAGTGTTTTTTTGTTGTTGTACGTAGGTGACGTATCCATTCCGTCTTATTTTGGATAACTCAAATCTCTTGACTACAACAACAACAGCAGCTGCTACGACGACGACCACGTCTCTTGCATCGTCTTCTATAGTTACACCCAGTAGCCCACTGACGACAACACTTGCTCCAACATCATCGGAACAACCTAAAAAGTTGCCTATAAGTTATATGGGTATTGGTGTTGAAGATATAGAATGGATTCAGTGTATAGGCGATTTATTCCTGTTTAGGAATAAAAGTAAAAAATTAATTGAAAATAACGAATTAGCCAATTCTATCCGTAAGACATTCAACAATCATGACGATCTTCAAGTACAAAGACAACAAGAAAAGCAAGCGAAAGAAAAAGAAGAAGAGAAATTTCAGCATAAATATCATCATCAGCAGCAGCAGAATCATAAAGACGACAATGGGGATCATCAACCTGTAACAAAATGTTTACTAAATTTATGTGAACAAGCCATGATAATGGAGACAGTGCAAACAATTCCAAATAATCAATATCCTGATGATATGTTATCATCCAATTGGAGTGTTCATTCTGTATCGTTTGATGATACAAAATGTGAAGGTAATTAATTGATCAACTTTCTGTCTATTAGAATTTAATTTGTCGATGGTGACTAGCAGTGGAATTCGGGATAACGCGCATTTCGTCCTACTTGGGTGGGACTCGTCAGTTGGATGTACCTACATTTCCCAGTCAATGAGTGATGATGTTCTCACCACCTAGACTTGAACCCAGTGCCCTTAGTTTCAAACACCAAAGCGTTATCCATTAGACCATTTGGGTTACGAGAACCACCTCTTGTGCAACGAGTCATATTAGTTTAATCGAATTTTAGATTTTCCCGTCGATTGATTGGACCGAAGTGCTCGGTCTCAGGTTGACATGTCAGCTTCTTGTCTGTTATTATTATTATTATGAGCGTCGGTAGCTTATACTGGTAAAATACCCGACTGATAGGTGCTACTTTGACACATGGTAGTAAGGCTTCGATATCACAAGGACTAAACCAATGTTTCTGAAGATCATTCGATGCCAGAAAGGTTGTTAGGATACCAATTAGTCTGAAAGTTGTTACCGGCGTTGTATAAAGTGTTTAAACTATGCTGGGGGTTTGTGGACAAAGTCGTACTGCTAGGGAATAAGGATGTAACAGTAGTAAGGTGTTTCCCTCAGATGACCAGCATACCAGCTAGGCTGTCTCTTCACTCTGGAGAAGGTTAGAGTTAGAAAACGTCGACCTCAACAATTTTGGCCTACCCTGCGGTGGTCCTTAACCAGCGTTAAGTTCTTAATCCGGGCATAACTCTCGAAACCAATTCAAACAGGTCGCAAGTGACAGGTCTCAAGCAGTTTTCTCCTGGGCTCTGTGGTCATACAATAGTAACTTAATTCATATTTCCCGTGACCTTTGAAGAAATCAGCCTCCATAGTGTGGGCGACTAGGAAGTAGCAACCGCCCAAACACTTCCAAAAGCACACGAAGCTCCCTCGTTCAGAACTCACCTTCATCTGAGTTACCTTCATTATCTGGTTTTCCTGTTGCTGTTAATATTGTTTTACTGGTTGGTCCCACAACTTCTTTCCACTTCATGACTAATATTAGCTACGAGAATGGAAAAGTCGCTGCTAATAGTCTCATAAAACCACACTGCCAGCTTCATATTGGATCATGTAACCTCAGGACCCTTCACAAATCGAATGACTAGCATCACACTAGCCAGTACTCTGAAGTCTCGAACCATGGATGTATGTTGTGTTTCAGGGACCAAGTGTAGTTATTCACTTAACCCCACCTGGCCAACAAGGTGAATCTGCAAAATTTACCTTACAAGTGTCAGGAGATTCTTCGCCTAATTCGCGAGGGCTAGCTTTGAATACTAAGGAATAAAAAATTCCTGGATCTCACTGGATAGTCGAATGTGCGCTGTCCATCCAAATGGATCCGTCAAGAGAAGGAAGGACTGAGTTACCCGTCAACGTCTTTCTATAATCACTGCTTACACCCTAACCGACTGCAGTCTGGACGAAATAAAGGATGAGCTTTACCAAAAACTCTCTAGTTCACTGTGAGAAGCAAAACGTTCAAATGCAGTTGTTTTTGCAGGCGACTTCAATGTCCAGGTAGGGGATTTGTGTCGGTCTGAGAAGTATGTTGGTGGTACCTACGGAGTTCCCTGCCGATGAACCCACAAGGGTTATCGTCTTCTACAGTACTAACTTCAAACGCAAAGAGAAACACTGCCTAACCTGGCGACCTCCATTATCAAATCAATGGTGGACTCGAATAGATCGCATAGTGATAAGCTATTGTTGGCGACGATCGGTAGAAGACTGTCGCTCTTTCTGAAGCGTAGACTCTGACCACAACCTGGTCTGTGCTCATTTATGCTTACGATTGGACGGACATAAAAAAGCAGTTAGCAATGAAGCCGTTACACCCATAACTTCATCAGGACATCGAGTCCTTATTTAAGAAAGAAGTAGCTAAACGCGTATCTGAGATCAGCAGCAAAACTCGCATTGAGGATACCTGGCACAATACTCAGATATAGATACACCTATAAAAGCTGTTAGTAATCTAAAACCAGTAAATAGTAATGGCCGGTAGATTTCTGCTACGGATACATTCAAGCAGACCGATTTCCGCGGGGCTTGCGAGTGTGATGAGGGGCGAAAGCTGTTCACACGCAAACTGACGAAAATTCTTCGCAACGACTGTCTGTCTGTCTGGATTCAACATAGGACTTGGCACCGAAGTGCACCAGTTCGAGTTCCCACGTTCCAAATAGCACACAGAGGTAGACAAGAAGATGAGTGAAGAGAATCAATACAGTCTGACAAGTATAAGAGTGAAACAGAATGGGTAATGGTAGAAAGGAATATGAAAGATTACAGAGACTGAATACATCTGAGCTGGCCATTGACAACGATTTTGAGCCATGTCACCTATTGTCTCCAGCCATTGATTGATTCTTAGAGTCAGTCCTGAGGGCCCCAACCCGGACGGAAGTCTGCATCTCCCTACCTGACTGACTCAGTTTAACTGTCAAGGATTTCATGGATTGATGAGGCCATGTTTTTGTTTGGCCACCACATACTCTTTTCCAACCTGCACCACCTATATCAGCTAGCAATGCCCGTCGGGGTAGGTGATGGCTAGGCATGCGCAGCACGTGACCTAGCCATCTCAGTCTATGTAACTTTATAGCTTCGTCGATTGATTTTCCCTCTTTTCCCAACAATCTACGCCTAACGTCAACATTACTTATCTTGTGAAACCACCTAACGTGAGACAGAGATCGCAGACATCTATGATCGAAAGCAGTCAACCTTTTCATGTCTTCAACGCGTATTGGCCATGTTTCAGAGCCATAGAGAAGGACGGAGCGAACTGCTGAGCAGTACACACGTCCCTTGGTTGATAACCGGATGTCACGCCTACGCCAGAGATGGTGTAAGTCAGCGAAAGCAGCTCGAGCTTTTCGCAACGACTGTGAACAGTGGTGGGCGAAAAAAGCAAAAGAGATGAATATGGCATCATCGACAGGTAACATCAGACAACTATTTATGCTTGTCAGTGAAATAAGCGGCAAAAGGCAAATGATAAGTGAGACAACCTCTCAGGGTAGGCAATTGGAACGTGGGAAAGAACATTTTGAAGAGTAGTTTAACTGGCCTACGGCCATGCTCAACTTACCCAGCATGCAACACCTCCCTGAATGGGTTATAGACACTGGTCCTTCGTCTTCAACTAGGGTTACAAAGGCTGTCTGTAATCTGAAACGATAAAGGCAGCATGACCTGACAAAATTACTCCAGAGGTGTTTCAGGACGGTGGTGACAAATTACTGTCTAGTGTAACTAAGGTATTAGGTAATATCTGAGAATCAGCGGTGGTCACTTTCCACCTCTGTAAGTCACTGATTATCCCACTATACAACAAAGAAGTCAAGTCTTTCTGTGATAATCGTAGGGGGATTGACTCAACCGATAGGGTATATAGAGTTCTAGGCTCAATAATCATGCGTAGATTAAGTGGTGCTCTGGAGGAACTAACACGTGGAAACCACGCAGTCTGTAGAACCAGTAGAGGTTATATTTTTTTTCCTTTTTTTAAATTTTTTTTTAAAAACCCCAAATTTGAAGGGAAAAAAAAAACCCCCCCAAAAAATGGCCCGAATTTTCCCCCCCTATCTTTGGGGAAAAAAAGAATTTTTTTCGGGAAAAAAAATTTAATATCAAATTTATTCTTTTAAAAAAAATTTAAAAATTACAACCCACAAACAAATTTTAAAATTTAAATTTTTTAAACAAAAAAAAAATTTTAAAAAAAGAAATTTTTTTTTCAAAGAACTAATAATTTTTTTTTTTTTTTTTTTTATTTTTTTTTTTTTTTTTTTTTTGGGCAATTTGCGGGGGGGCCCGGCGGGCCCCCCCGTCATTAAAAATCTTTTTAGGATTCCTTTTTTGGCCTAAAAATAAAATCTAGCCCCCCCCCCTTGGAAATTTGGCCAAATCTAAAAAGGAAAAAAAAAAAAAAAAAAAAAAAAAAAAAAAAAAAGAAAAAAAAAAAAAATTTTTTTTTATCTTTTTTTAAAGTAAAAAAAAAATAAACTTTTAAAAATTGAGACAATTTTTTTAAAAAAAAAAAAAAAAAAAAAAAAAAAAAATTTTCACAAAAAAAAAAAAAAAAAAAAAAAAAAAAAGGGGGGGAAAAAAATTTTTAAAAAAAAAAAAGGGAAAAAATTACTTTTACCCCTGGTTTTTTTGTTTTTTTCCTTTTTTTTTTATAAAAAAAAAAATTTTTTTTTCCCAAAAAAAAAAAAAAAAAAAAATTATTCCAAAGTGAAAAAAATTAAGTTGTAATTAAGGTCATCATATAAAAAAAAAAAAACAAACAAATTTATATATAAAAAGGGAATATTTTAAAGGAGGTTAAAAGAAAGGCAAAAAGAAAAAAGAAAGAAACCACATATATATATATATATATATATATATATATATATATATATATATATATGGATACATACATCACTAGCTAACTCTTTTCCAACCTGATTTTATTTCAGCTAACATTGCCCATTGTCGAGGGAGGCGATGGCTAGGCATACGTAACACATGGCCTAACCACCTCAATTAGTGTAACTTCACAGCCTCGTTTATTGATTCCCCCTTCTTACCTAGCATTCGACCGAAGCCTAACCTCAATATTGTTTACCTTGTTACACCACTTAACATGGAGGGTAGAACAGAGACTTCTATAATCAAAGCCAGCCAGGCTTTTCATGTCATCCACTTTCAATGGCCATGTCTCACTCACAGCCATAAAGGAGGAGGATGGAGTGAACTGCTAAGCAGTACATGCGTCATTTGGTCGACAGCCAGATGGATATCACGTCTACTAAGCCAGAGATGGCCTAAGTTTGCATATGCCATTTCAAACAGATGAGGGAGAAGCGGTATGTGAGCATAAAATTAGGAATGTAGTGGGTCACGCCTCAGTTACATCACTATGATCAAAACATTAGTTATCAGTGATAGGAATTGAAAATGTCAGGGATTGCAAGCTGAATGATAATAATAATTTATTTTGCGATTCCTGACACTTTGGAGTTTTGCGTCTGATAACTCATTCTTTTCACTAACATTCGTTGCTTGTTTCAAAACGTAAAATTGCTGGTATTGTAAAATAGATGTGTGTTCGTGCCTCTATTTTAAGTTTAAAACTTTGTATTTGTGCCTTTATCATTTAGAAGTGAGTGATTTCAATGAATCAGCGTCTACTATGACGGATGTACAGAAGGTAACTACCACCACATTTCGTTTATTATTATTATTATTTGTACTATTATTTTTTCCCTAGGTTTTGAGTGCTAAATAGGGCTTCAGTAGAACATCTTCATTTTGTCGTGTTTTCTGTCACCACTTTTTTTTTCTACCTAGCTCCACAATTCCCCCATAAAGTTCTCATCGCCTCCACCTCACACCATGTCACTGTCGGACCTTTGCACAAAGCGTCGTTGGTTCCCATTCGCGTTCCACATGATGTGTGATATCATTCAACGGTTTTCTCAGCCTGTATCCGATCCATCTCCATCCATAAAAAAACTTGGAGGATCTGGACTTCGCCGATGATATTTGTTGGATTTCCCACAAACTGGAAGATATGCGAATGAAAAGCAACAAGTTGGCGATAGCAGAAGCATCCAGAGAAGATATGATTTCAGGTGAACATAAAGAAAACAGAAGTAGGTGATGATGGCCAACAGCAACAACGACAATCAGCATAAATGGGAGAAATTGAAAGAAGCAACCTCCTTCACCACCTACCTACTGACCTGGAAAGCATCGTTTCAACTACAGGTGGACGGAACTGATAACTATATCAAAGTGAGGATCGGGAAAGCAAGTCAAGCTTTCATTTCTGTCAAGTCTTTGTGGAGATCAACAGCTTTCAGCATGAAAATGAAAATAAGATCCGGATTTTCAACTCCAATGTGAAATCTGTGCTGCTATAAGGATTAGGGACGGCACCGCGTCACGAAGGGCACTTCCAACGAACTACAGACCTTCATCAACAGCTGTCTTCGCTCAATACTAATCAAGATCAGCAGGCCTGTTAGAAAAGATCAGCAACAGGCATGGATCTCTGGCAATGAGCGAACCAACCCAGTGCGAAGCAATTGTGCAACAAATATGCAGGAAAAAATGCAGGTGGATTGACCGTACTCTGAGGAAACAAACTATCATCAAGTGATATCCATCACACGACAGGCTATCGCTTGAGTGGAAACGGAATAGGAAGTGATTAGTTGGTAATCAGTGCGAGGGTGACATGGAGGAGGTGATGCGAAGACGAGAGGATGAATGCACGTGAGTAGACGTGGAGCCGTGTGATGCAAGTGTCGATGGAGGAGGGAACGCAATGGTAACGTCCGGCTGAAGCCGTTTGTTATTCTCTAGGAAATTAAGAAAACAACATTATTAATAATATGTTCTTGGTTGGTTCGTTCTCATAGTTGCTTGTCACCCTTCAACCGTTGCACAATGCTTTGTCTCTCATTTAGGTTGCACTCATGGGTTGCATTATATGTGATGTCACTCATTGGTCTTCTTAGAGATCAATTTCTACTTCCTTCTATTTATTTATTGTGTGATAAACAGTTTCTGAGTTGGTTCGGTTCTTGACAGAGTTTCTTGTTGCCTGTCCTATCTGGTCGCCTATCGGATATTATTGTCGAGAGTTTCAGGACAAATGTTGGAAATGCATTTGCTAACTGACCCAGTCTCTGAAGTATATAGATAAAAGCTCTGACTGTCTAGACACAAGCGATGAGAATATCAATCTTGTACTTGGACGTATTTCTAGTGTGTCTGTCTAGGAGTAAACACAGTTCCGTATCACTTTGTTGTTTCATTATATCGTAAGCCAAGTCGATAGACTTTATCTGAGTATTAAGTTACTGTTTTGAAGTTTGATTCGCTTTCTGTAGTCTTTGGACAGTTGGATTTCGGTGTTCTAAGTATTAAAGCCAAAAAAATACGTCTACATATTTTCCCAACCTTTAAGTATGAGCCTGGTATTCGCATGCGAACCCTTTCTTCTTTACCACGATTTCTGTTTGGCTAAGTGACGTTTAAGGAGTGCGTTGGCCGTGTATCGAACCCTAGACTATGTGAGGCGTGGTTGGCAAGGATTCTACCACTGAACCATGCATCCTCTGTATGATAGTGAGTACTTATATTTCACAATTTGTCCAAGAACAATATTTCGATTTTTTCTATAGATTTTCAAACGAAATGAATGTTAGTTGCTGTTTTTTAGTGGTGGTGTTGTATCCCCTGAGCTGAATTCTTCAATCGCGAAGCTTTAATGTTTTAAACAATGGGCGCTGGCTTTGAGTCTCATTTGGAAGATGATTATCACTCTGATTGGAGATGTAGGCATATTTAGCTAACTTGTCCTAAATAGACATAAACTGTCGTCAACTAAACTATATATCATGTTAAGTTTAAATCGTCATCGAAGTGTTCGCACTAGACGTCGTTGTTAAGTTCATTGAGACTCAACGTTTGAATCCAATTAAAAATCAATCAAAACGTGATTTAAAATAAACATTTGTCATTATCTAAGTTAGTGCTAGTTAGTGGAATGTTTTCTTGTCCTTATATAAGTGATAGTTAGTGGTTATGCTTATTTTTGTAATCCTTGGGAAGTACATCCGCAGTCCAGCGGTGTGACACTCACCAACCACACCTCACGTGGTCTGAGGTTCTATCACCGGTCGCCGATGCACTCCTATGTCTCGTTTATATATATATGACGCAACCGCTAACCAGTGATATGAACTATTCAGTTTAAGCAGCAAATCGACAGTAAACTGATGCAAGAAAACAATTTAAGGCTCTAAAATTCACACACACACACAACTTAATATAATACCGTACCAGCGACTAACTTTACACAGGAAGTTATCTGGAGTTCTGCTGAAATGCTATGACACGTGGGGTCCAAAATTGAAAAGTTACTCGCCTAAGTCATATATATATATATATATATATATCAGGAATTGGCAAAAGCTGGAGTTCATGTGCCGCTGGATGGGGTCCCAATGGCTGAATAGTTTACGAGCGTGTCTTGAAACTGGAAAGTCCGGGTTTGGAATAACGACTGTGGGTGCCTACCACCGATAAGTCCCAGACTGGGCCGAACCAGCTTGCTAGCACTCCTTGATTTTCAATGGTTCTTTAACTGGTATTAATCTTTGGTTAAACCTAAGTTTGAATTGTTCTTCCCGCCTTGACTAGTTTATCTTCGTTTCCGTAGGCTCAGGGGAATCGAAAGTAATCGGTGATTCGTATTAGTATATCTATATCAAATCTATAAATCAACAGTACTTCTACTAATTACTATAATAAATTGCTTTATTTCAAAACGCTACTTGTGTGATTCAGTTTGGAATTGTCAGCATTTATTACAATATAACCGCATCTAATCTACTCGACAACAGCAGAAACAAAAATAAAAAATAATATTATCACAGGGTATACGTAACCAGAATCGATAATTGCAGTGACAGCTAAATCGAAAATGTACAAAACGTGTAAACTGATGATGATGATGATGATGACGGCGATAATAATAATAATAATAATAATGTTAATAGCTAAAATTATGAGATAAATGGAAAAGTGTCACCATAAATTACAGATAGGAGAGAATAAAAGCGTCAATTACTTTGCTAATTACATAGTATGGCTATAAATGTCACGCTTAACACAATCTCTATCACATGGAACGTGAGTTGGCAAAATAGTGTATTGTTGAGTTTTTGTACTCGTTTGTGTAAGCATATAATGATCTATATTAACTTCTAGTTCTACCTGGTGATGAGACGCATCAAGGGGAGGCTTGTGAATCAAGAGGGTGTTGAGAGTCAGACAATATAAATTTATACCATTTGTCGTATGAGTTCAGGTGTGTCTGTCGACTACAGCAGTAGCGAGCTGACTAAGTGGCACACTACTTGCCACTGGCATAACATTGTGTGAGTTCAGGTTACTGAAAATGAATATATATGCAAGAAATGGTGCGGAATTATGCTCCTGTCCATCCCAAGCAAAACACTGGAGAGAATCAAACAAACCCTAGATGAAAAACTTCGATCCGAACAGGCTGGATTCAGGAGAAACAAGTCATGTATTAACCAAATCGCCACACTACGGATCATCACTGAACAAAGCTTGAAATGGCAGTCAGTCACCTCTCTATCTCACTCAACTTCATCGACTTTGAAAAGGCCTTCGACAGCGTCGATCGAGAGGTGATTTGGCAACTACTTCGCTACTACGGGGTCCCATCGACAATTATACATCTCATCCAACAGTTGTACGGGAATGCTACATGCGAAGTAATCCACAACGGGAAACTTACGGAATCCTTCGAAGTGAGGACGGGAGTGAGACAAGGCTGCCTACTATCACCAATGATTTTCCTGATTGCAGTAGATTGGATAATGCGACAGACAGAGGGCAATGAGGAAACAGGCGTAAGATGGACCCACCTACTTAGGGGATCTGGACTTCACCGATGATATCTGTCTGATTTCCCACAAGCTGGAAGATATGCAAGTGAAAAGAGATAATTTCGTATAAGAAGTATCAAATATGGGATTTCAGATGAACATAGAGAAGACGGAGGGGATGAAGATTCCTGACCAACAACATCACCACCAACAACAGCAGACAACAATCAGACAGCATAAATAGGAGGAACCTGAAAGAAACAACCTCCTTTACCTACCTGGGAAGCATCGTTTCAACTACAGGCGGACGAAACTGATGAGGATATCAAAGCAAGGATTGGGAAAGCAAGTCAAGCTTTTATTACTCTCAAGTCTGTGTGGAGGTCAACAGCACTCAGAATCAAAAATAACATCCGGATTTTCAACTCCAATGTGAATTCAGTGCTACTCACTATACAGATCAGAGACTTGGCGCATCATAAAGGGTATCTCAAACAAACTACAGACCTTCATCAACAGCTGTCTTCGCTCAATACTAATCAAGATCAGCAGGCCTGTCAGAAAAGATCAGCAACAGGCATGGATCTCTGGAATGAGGAACTAACTGGGAACCGATTGTGAAACAAATAAGCAGGAAGAAATGGATTTAGGTGGATTGGCCATACTCTGAGAAAACTAACCATCAAGTGACATCACTAGACAGGTACTCGAGTGGAATCCGGACGGGAAGCGGCGAGTTGTTCGTCAGTGTGAGGGTGACTTGGAGGAGGTCATGTGAAGAGGAGATGTAAGCATGTGGGCAGACTTGGAGCCAGAGAACCGAACGCGATGGAGACTCGCAACTAGAGACCTATGTTCCTCTAGGAATTAAAGGAAATAATACATATATATTTACATATATCTGAACCAACTGTAATCTCACTGTCATCCCTCTTCCTTTTTTCTCTCTCTACTGTTTAGGATAAGAAAATACCATCATCACCTGTTAACAAATGGAGTGAATCAATTGCACCAGCTAAAAATGATGTGGACGATGCACCGATCTCAACACCGACACCACCACCACGGCCAACAACTACTTCTACTAATAACTGTTCTAATCCCTATATCCTAAATGGTGTTGATCTTTCCACACAACCAGAGACGACAACCTATGCTGTAACAACAACCACTGCCTTAACGTCAACACTTACCACAACAACAATAATAAAACATCCTCCAACCGTGAATGATAATCAAAACAAGGCGATGAATAATACTCCAGATGACTTTTATACAATTCTGTGTAAACTTCACGCAGATTTGTCTACAATGGATAAACCTATGACGACTTATACTACTAATATTAACGATATTAGTAGTATTGGTCGTAGTTGCAGTAGTGGTAGTGGTGTAGGAAGAATTGGTGATATCAGTAATTCATCTGAAATCAGTCAATCTATCAATCATTTGTATATGATTGTAAAAGAACGTCATCACTTATGGTGTAGTGCTGATCACCTAATCAATGGACGATTATTGGATGAAAAGATCTCCTTGAAAGTGTTGAAGACATTCTGTTGTGATGATGATGTTGATACTTTTAAACACAAGTCAGAGTCATTGTCTTCTATGACAACACATCAGAATATATTTCAGTATTTAATAAATATCCCCATCCCATCGACCTCTGTTGTCAATCTCACTTCTACTACTGCTGCTGTGAATAGTAACACAAAGTCATCTGTTCCTAGTGATACGCCGAATAAACTGTCACCGGCGAATTCAGACCTCCTTATGCCTATTTCTCCGACAGCACAATCATCCAAAGGAAAGATATCATCAGTAGATTGTTCACCGACAAATACCAACAGAACTAAATCGGTTGAGTGTATAATCACTGGAAAACTTGATAATACACCAGTGGATTCTGTAAGGTAGGTCAATGGTATTATTATTACTGTCTTGGTCTGTGTACATCTTTCATCATTCTCTCTCCGTCTCTCCCTTTCTGTCTCCTAAGTGAGCTTTCGATATTCTTAGTTATATGAAGTTAATCGTCTTTGTTCTTTGAGTGAGACTGATTTTCTCCCGAATTGTTCTTGTCATTGATACTAAGATTAGATTGGTGAATGGGTTAGTTAAGGGTGGTCGGACGAAAACCTGGCACCATTTCATGAAGTGTTTGACTGCAAGTTTAAGTCAGTCACATGGGGGTGGGTGGGTGTGGACTGCCTGGTTGGAGTCTTTGGGATGATAAAAACCAATGTCTGATGACTACTTAGTGGTATTATTATTATTCCCTTGGGTTTCTAGTGGAAATTATGGCTTCAAAAGCATATCTCCACTTTGTCCTATCTTCTGTTGTTCTCTTCAGCTTGGACCATGCTTTCCTATAATCTCTCATCTCCTCCTCCCCACACGATCTCCTCCATATCATCCTCGTACTGGTGACCCACTCGTTGCTTCCATTGGGATTTCACCCGAACGATGACCTGTATTGTGCACAATATCATTGAACGGCCTCCTCAACGTATGTCGGTTACATCCATCTACATTTTCTCCTGCATATTTGTTGAGCAATCGGTTCTCGCCTGTTGGTTTGTTCCCAGCCAGAGTTTCTTGTCACTAATTCTTTCTGATCGGCTATTTGATCTTCAATATGGAGCCAGTGAAGGGTGAAGCTGTTGACGAAGGTCTGCACTGGCTTGTTGTAAATCCTTTTCGTGAAACGCTGGCCAAGTTTCTAACCCGTAAAGAGGAAGTGACTGACAAACACATTTGTGTTGAAAATCCTAATCTTTTTCTTTATGTTGACTGGCTAATTGCAAATCTGCAAGCTGGTTTCAGGTTGATGAAGGCGTATCGTGGCTTTCCGTTTCTGACTTTGATATCTTTATCTGTCCTGATTGTCTGTGGTTGAGACGACGCTTCCTAGCAGGAAATGCGAAGGAGGTAACCTCTGTCAAACGTCTCCCGTTGATAGTGACTGGTGCTGGTTGTTGTTGTTGGTGGAACTTCTCATTTCTTTGGCTCACTGGGCAGCCTTCCCAACCGACTTGTTACATTGTGCGAATATTCCACATCCCCATTCTTATTCTTGCTTTCACCGGGAGAAGAAATATTCAGTGATAACTCTTCGTAGGCTGTCACCTGACTGGCTGCATGAGTTCTAGTAGAATGCCTTGATCAGTGTGATGTGTTATTTCCTCGGCATTCCCTTCATGGTTAAACATTGCCACAGTGCCTTGTGATCGATATATTCGAATTCCACTTTCAGGTCAAGAAATATAACGATTATTGGACGTCGGTACGTATGCCTATGTACCAGAATCCGTAAAGGGGTGAATATATGATCAATATACCCTCTTCCTATTCCACAACCTGTCTGGTTCCCTCGTGTTAGTTTCTTCCGAGCACCACTAAATCTACGCATTATTATTGAGCCTATAATTTTGGATACTGTATTATTCAGGCTGATCCTCCTGTGATTATCACAGGAAAACTTGTCTCCCTTCTTTAATATTGGGACAATCAATGACTTACACCAGTCTGACAGGACTGTCTATGATTCCCAAACACTACCTTAGTTAATACCTTAGTTAACGCAGACAGTAAACTGTCTCCACCATAAGGTTATCGGAATTTTGAATATTCTTTGTTCTTTAATCAATCTCTCTTTGTTTCGAAAAAAATCTATTGTGTCAAATAAAGATATCATTGTGGTGAGAGCAGGCTAATATCCAATTGGTAGAAATTAATTTGCGTCAATGTCTAGGTCACTAATATTGGCCGTGAGAAAATATGAACAAGGCTGATTCAACAACCAATCACAGCAGACTTAACGTGGGCAAATAAGATTCGGAGATATATGGCTCAACATTCCGAGAAACCAGTCACCTTGAGCAAGAAACAACCAATCAGTAGACTGTTTGTCTGCTTGAATAAGCTATAATAATGTACATGAAATATATATATTTAAATACGTGCTGATTTCCATAATAAAACAACCTGTTGCCTGGCCCTTGTCTTCTGTTGTTACATCATTATTAATAATAATTATTTACTCAATTTTCCTTTACAGTACCAAGACACAAAGTCAAAAACCGATAACATTCTCACAGCATGAATTCAAATTACGCCTAATCGATATTCTTTCACGTTATGGTCGATTAATTGCCGAACGTTTAATTTGTTTCAATTTCCTATATAATAATGTTATTGATTTTAAACAAAAACCTTCCAACTGGTCATTATGTCATTCACTGCAGTCACAAATGAAAATTACTCATCAGTTAATGAATAATTATGATGCTGATTCTACAATGGATTACATATCTATGTAACATTTCCTGAATTATTTAAACATCTTGATGATATTTATCAACGTTTGATTAAATTGACTAGTCAGACGCCGACATCAAATGATACAATTGGTGTCAATGTGAAGTTAGGCAATCAAGCACTACCTAGCTGGCTTTTATTATCTATTGATGGAAAGCTGAGTAAAAATACAAATACAAAATTAGGCAATATGCATTATGGTTCTGTTGGTGGACGTTTAATTGCCTTCTTTATCCTTTATATGATTGTGAAAAAACAATATCCTGAAGCTGTGGGCTATTTTACTCGTCTTCTCTATCAGGTGAGATGATTATTGTTGTTGTTACCATTATTTTTTGATGTTATCACACTAGTTTTTTGCGTCATTCCTTTGCTCTCTGAGGGGTTTCAAGCAGCAGTTTTGAAATTGCAGTAGAGGTGGTTGTTGTGATCCAAAATGGGACTGTTTGTGGTTTGAACGCAGGAATTCGATCTCTGAATTCTAGTTTATAGTTGAAAAATTTCCCCGAGACTGTTATTCTTCTTAAACTCTATTGTTCTCTGAGCTGGTTAGTTTACTTGGGAAGCTTTCGTCGTCCCCCTTCAGCGCAATATTTAGCATAAAGTGAAATTATTTAAATTCATTCATGAGTTATATAATTGCGTCTCCCGGTGACTGACCATCTATACATATGTATTGATCATTTTCTATTGACTTGGATTGTAAACTTTCTGGTCACCTACCTGATTTACTTTTTATTAGTTGGTATATTTGGTCTATATTAACGTGTTTGTTGATTACATATCCGTTTGAGTACCAGGCTTCTAGGAATTCCCTGACTGCACTTCTGGTGTTTCCTCTGTCTAAGATTTCGACATTATCCCAGTCATCAAATTGATGTCCATAACTGTCTATATGCATTGATATGAAATAGGAATATATATCGTGTCTTTTCACGGCTGACCTGTGTTCTTGGATTCCTATTCGAAGGGGACGCCCACTTTGGCCGATGTAATGCCTGTTACAGTTCATATAGGCAATTTATTTTGTAAATGGTATTGATTTCATATCCTTTTCCTGTTGGATCTTTTGGTTTGCATAATATCGAATTAAGCAATTTGACTGGCTTGTGTGCTCTATCTGTATCAAACGGTTTCAGTACTCCAGCTGTTATTTCAGAGATATTTCTCATTTATGGAAGGATGAATTTTCTTGTTGTTTTTGATAATGTTTTTTGTTGGTGTTGTTATTGGATTTTAAACACTCTTTGATGAAATTTTGTGGATAACCATTCTTTTTGAAGACCGTGTGTAGGTATTTTTCTTCCATTCTTTTCAACTCTGGAGTTCTACAGTGTGTTTGAATTCTTTTAAACAATGTCTGCACACAGTCTCTTTTATGAGTAATAGTTGAGTGTTTGATCTGTGTGCGTTGATTTTTTAAATATACTTTTGTTTCTAAATTTCCTGTGTTGGTTCTCCTGATTAAGACATCTAAAAATGGGATTTTGTCATTTAATTCTTCTTCTCTTGTGAATTTGATGTCTTCAAATATATTGTTTGTTAATTTATGGGTATATTCCAAATAATTTCCCTTAATTATTACTAATGTATCATCAACGTAACGTACCTGTCGAGATTTTCGGTTTAATTATAGGTAGAGCTATTAATTCTAACCTTTGCATGACGACTTCAGCTATTAATCCTGATTATGGGCGATGATCCCATTGGTGTTCCTTTTATCTGTTCATATATTTGAGTATTGAATTGGTAGTATGTTGTAAGGCATAATTGTATGAGTTCTATCCAAGTTAAACATCACTGCATTTTTATGTGTTTTCATCAGTATAGAGTAATTGTTGCATAGTTTCTGTTGCTAGTTTTAGACTAATTGAAGTATATAATGCTGTGTGAAATCATAGGACACCATTATTTCACTGTCTTCCACTTAAATGTTTTTGATTTTCTCTAAAAATTAGAATGACGAATTGAAAGAATAGTCGCATGATTCTGTTAACAATATTCTATTTCAACAATATTCTGTTCAACAATAATGTCAAAATCTTAAAGCTACTTCAATAGTACCGTTGGGAAGCTATACAGTTGAGAGAACGTCCTAAGTACAAAACAGGCACTGTAGAACAAGATTCATTGGCCAAAATACGACAATAAGAAGTACCTTAGAATCAAGGAGGATTTTCCTATTACTGTAGAATCAGAAATCTGTCCACAGGAATCACATACCCAAGATTCCCCCCCCCCCCCGCAGACAGTTCAAGGTCAAAATCACCTTCTTTCACTCAAATAAGACAACATATTATCAATATGTTGTACGACCACAAACAGAAGCATTAAAATTAGAGATTAAACAAGTATAAAGACAAATAATAACGACCAAGTTTACATATGTTACGCAGATGTCAGAAGAATGATGTATAGTCAAGGGGAAAAAACAGATAATCATTACAAAGTTAGTTGAAACATCGATTCCTAGATGTATTACTTACAAGAAGACAAAACTGCACAATCTAAGGATCAATATATCGCACACCAACATAGAGGGGACAGTTTATCAACTTCCAAAGTTTCGCCCCACTGATCCGAAAACGAAACCTAGTATTTACATTATGTTCAAGGATTAGAAAAATCTGTTCAGAAGACACGATAAAGAAAGAATTAAGTTCGTTGCGTGAAACCCTACTAGAGAATGTGTATCCACCAAGAATTATCGAAAAAAGAACATGAAGGAAAAGCCTCCGTTGCCAAAAATCACAACTGTCCCTATGAAAACTCTCTTCACATGAACTTGGAATTCAAAGGTGACATCGCAGCAGAAATTCCTAGACATTTCAAGCAGCCACCTTACATATCACATTCTCCAGCAGACAATTTGTTTAAACTAACGTTAAGGATAAGATACCACTTTCGGCCACCTCAATGTATATTTATCGATTTACTTATTCCTGTGGAGCGAAGTATATATATCGGCCGTACGCAAGGTTAAGTCCACAGATGTATTCTGGAACACTGTTCAGCTTGGTTAGCCAGAAGAGAAAATAATACTGACGGCTCTATCCTCGAACACCTTGTCATCTGCGGATATAGAGTACCCCCGCATGAGTGCTTCACAGTGTTACACAGAGTCCTTCAATATCGTACAAAGGGACTTTGAATACGCCATCTATACATAGCTGAATTATTAGCTACTCGGGATCGAAAAGTACCACTAGAGTAGCCTAGAGTAGCGTTCTCACTATAACTTTGCTTCCTTTTATTATGTAAGTTTATTATTATTATTCCCATCACCCTTATTTTATAAACACTCTACTAGTGTTTATTAATAACATTGTGTTTTCATACAGATTTTATCTCCTTTCCACTAGTTCTTGTCCACTCTACACGATCATATTGATCAGTCATTTTTTCACACCTTTTACATCATACCAACTTCTGCTACACTTAATAACTTCCAGTTAGTCACTCCTTTTAGGTTACACCTTACATCACGTAAGACGTATTCGAAGAAAATTTTTTTACCAGTATCTGATTGGTTATCTTATGATCTCTTTGTTAAATATAATTACGATTGTAAAGCAGCTTATGAAAATGAATGATCAACAAGGCAATTTTCTCCGCTGTTTACCTCTTTTTCTTGTGACATCCAAATGAGTATAAATATTTTATTCAAGTGTTGGTTTGTAGGGATTTGATTGGTTACAGGTTTTTTCATCATGAGCTGACGTTAGTTAGAGAACCATTGGAAAGCCACCTGGGAGTACTGGACAGCTGTTTCGTCCTAGCTTGGGACTCTTCAGCAGCCCTGACCCTATTCAGGCAGGTAGTTACCTGAGGTTCTAATGAGAAGTCGTGACAAGTAGGGTTCAGCAAGTCTGGTATGAGGACAAATACTCGCCGAAGGCATTGGCTAGCGGTCGCGCTATGTCGTGAATTGGCAGAAGTTAGAATTCATGGGCCGGCCATTGGATTGGGTCCCAGTAGCTTAATGGTCTACGAGCTCACTGGCCTTGTTACCAGAAGGTCCTGAGTTCGAATCTTGGCGGTGGATACGTACTGATGAAGAGTCCCAAACTAGGCTGACGAAACAGCTTTCCAGCACTCCCAGGGTTTCCAATGGTTCTCTAGCCGATGTCAGCTCATGATGAAATCCTGTAACCAATCAGTCAAATTCCTACAAACCAATGCTTGAAAATATTTATAATTTTTTTTCGATGAGTTAAAGTCACACGTCATAATGAATACGTTACAACCCACTTCCTGACGGTGAAATCGTTGAGTTTACTGGTATTGCCCTATTGAACTTTTGCCCGATGAATTACAATTTTAATGTTTTGGTAATCAGACAAGGTCATCATTATGCCAGAGGCAAAAGAATTACTTCACTGCTCAGAAGATCATTACGGGTTGCATGAATTCACATCTGCTTTTCTCTCTCTCTCTCTTCACTCCACCTTTTCCGTTTTGTTTAGATTGATGAACCACCTATTGGAGCATTAAGAGGTGTTATAAACTGTGGAATTCCAGTGACGCCTACATCTTCATTTGGTATTCGACGTCCATGTCATGCCACCTTGGAGAATTCTATGAAAACCGCAAAATCAGCTCATCCATGGTTACTTTGGGTATGTGTGTGTTGTTACCTTTTTTTTCTCCTACCCTTTCGAAGGTTGATTGAATGATTTTCTTCATAAATTGATAGTTCCCTTTTGGTGTTGTATAAGCATAAATATCCATCGCATATCTTTTTGTCGATTTCTAAGAGGACGTTTCATCTAACCTACTCTACACTTGAGAAGTTGAGACAATCAAGAGTCACACAACCTCTACTTTTACTTTAATTGAATTTTTGATTTTTCCGTCGATTTAATGGGACCGAAGTGCTCGGTCTCAGGTTCTAGCCTCGGTGGGAACATCATCACTCATTGACTGAGAAATGCAGGTACATCCAGTTGACGAGTCCAAAATAGGAAGAAATGCGCGTTATCCTGGATTCCACTGCTAGTCAACATCCACCAAGTAAAGCAAAATCAAGTTGGTAACAATCAACACGACATCTTTCATGCTGGTAGAAGTGGTTCTATAATTTTCTTTTTTGTGCATAGATCTGGTCTCTGAAATTCAAAGAAGACAAACGCATATTGCCTTTGTAACAACAGAAGACAAGGACCAGGCAACATATCGTTAATTGAGGAAATCAACACGTATTTATATATATTTCACGTACATTATTATAGCTTATTCAAGCAGACAAACGCAGTCTTCTGATTGGTTGTTTCTCACAGAAAGTTAACCTTGCATGCCTTTGTGACTGTTTCTTGAAGGCAGGTCATGTATATGTTAACTGTATCTGCCTACGCCAAGTCTGCTCTGGTTGGTTGTTGAATCAGTCTTGTTCATATTTTCTCATGACCAATATTTACGACACAAACATTGACGTAAATTAATGTCTACCAATTGGCTGTCAGTCTGCTCTCACCACACCTTTGACTGGTTGTTCTTCTGTTTGTAGATTACTTTGAGGGAGGAGGTATTTGTTGAGATGGAATGACTAGTGTTGTCTACTAGATGTTCGATTGTTATTATTTCAAGTAACATCACAAAATGACATCAGTTAGAGATGCATTCAGACCTTTGGAATACTAGACAGCCATCTTGTCCTAGTGCTGGACTTCTCAGCAGTACGCATCGAGCATCCATTGGAGGATCTAATCCCCAAGTTCTTCAGATTACAAAACGAGTCTGTTGGCAAATCAGCCACTGGGACGGAGTTCTATGAAATCTAATGTCTGCCAACTGGTGATTACATACCTTCAACTCTAGACAGTGTCGTCAGCTAGCATTTATCCTCGTATTTGACTGACTTGGTAGACCCTGTTGGTCCATAAAATATCTCCATGGGACCTTAAAGTTCTGAGTTCGAAACCCAATGGATATTACTGAATAGTTCCAAAGTAGAACAAAACAGAGCTATCCAGTACACTCATCTATGGTTTACAATTGTACTTTATTATTATTATATCCTTTAATTCCTAGAAGAACATAGGGCTTCAGCCGCACATCTCCATTGCGTTCGGTTCTCTGCTAGAGTTTTCCCTTGGCTCCAAGTCTGCTCACATGCTTTCATCTCCTCTTCATATGATCTCCTTCAGGTCACCCTCACACTGACGACCAACTCGCCGCTTCCCTTTCGGGTTCCACTCGAGCGATGGCATGTCTAGTGATGTCACTTGATGGTTTCCTCAGAGTATGGACAATCCATCTCCATTTCTTCCTGCTTATTTGTTTCAAAATCGGTTCCTGGTTGGTTCGCTCATTGCCAGAGATCTTTGTTGCTGATCTTCTCTGGCCATCTGATTTTGAGTAGTACTGAGCGAAGACAACTGTTGATGAAGGTCTGAAGTTTGTTTGAGTTGCTCTTTATGATGCGGCAAGTCTCTGATCCGTATAGTGAGTAGCACTGACTTCACATTGGAGTTGAAAATCCGGATCTTATTTTTGATTCTGAGTGCTGTTGACCTCCACACAGGATGAAGAGTAGTGAAAGCTTGGCCAGGAATCTTCATCACCTGCCTCTGTTTCCTCTATGTTCACTTGAAGTCCTATCTTTGATGCTTCTACTATCTTCAACTTGTTGCTTTTCACTTGAATATCTTCCAGTTCGTGTGAAATCAAACATATATCATCGGCGAAGTCCAGATCCTCCAAGTATTTTGTGTGGCTTTATACCATACCTGTTTCCTCATTTCTCACTGTCTGTCGCATTATCCAATCGACTGCAACCAGGAAGATCATTGGTGATAGTAGGCAGCCTTGTCTCACTCCCGTCCTCACTTCGAAGGCTTCCGTAAGTTTCTCGTTGTGGATTACTTCGCATGCAGCATTGTCGTATAACTGTTGGATGAGATGTATAATTGTCGATGGGACCCCGTAGTAGCGAAGTAGTTTCCAAATCACCTCCTGATCGACGCTGTCGAAGGCCTTTTCAAAGTCGACGAAGTTGATCGAGGTGGAGAGGTGACTCTGCCATTTCAAGCTTTGTTCAGTGATGATCCGTAGTGTGGCGATTTGATCAATACATGACTTGTTTCTCCTGAATCCAGCCTGTTCCGGTCTAAGTTTGTCATCTAGGGCTTGTTTGATTCTCTCCAGAATGATGCGGCTTAGTATTTTGCTTTCGATGGACAGTAGGATAATTCCGCACCAGTTTTTGCATTGACTTTAGTCTCTTTTCTTTGGTAGTTTGAATAAGTATCCTTTCTTCCAATCCTCGGGTACTTTGCCCTCTTTCCTCACCTTCTCCGGTAATGGCGTCATCAAGTCCGCTATTGTCTCTGGGTTCATTTTCAATGCTTCTTCTAAGATTACATCTGGTCCTACTGCTTTTCCAGCTTTTAGCATCTTGATTGCCTTCAAAACTTATTATTTCGTCGGGAGGTCGATGTTCACTGGTAGTTCTACTTCCATTGTTGGTCGCGTTGTAGGCGGCGGTCGATTTAGAAGTCTTTTGAATTGTTCAGCCCAGTGTTTTCTTTGCTCTACTTTAATGAAAGTCAATTTGTCGTCTAACTCGAGTGAAGTATTTATTTTTAAATCGAAGTAATCAATAAATTTATCGATTGATTGGAGGATTAGATTATCGATTCTAATTCTTTTACACTGATCTGTTTAATCTTTGTTTTCAAGACTTTTTAGGTGGGATTTGATTTTTTCTTAAGTTTGGCTGGAGCTTGATACGAGTTAGAGAACTATTGAAAATCATGGAGTATTGGCCAGCTGTTTAATTCTAATTCGGGAGCCATTGACACCACGCATCTGTCGGGTTTCGAAACTAGGACCTTCTGGTTACAAGGGAAGCTTGTAGACCATCGAGCCACTGAGACCAGACTTAATGACTAGTTCATGAGTTCTAACTTGTGCCAATTCGCGATTTTTTATTTGGTGCCACTGGCACCAACCAATGTTATAGCTGGTGAGTATTGCTTATCCTCAATCCCTACTAGGTGGACCTTGCTGACTTCTGCTCTATGAACTCGCCTTGTAATCGGAACGTCCTGTGTCTGAACTGTGGAGGTGGGTGCGTACTGCCGATAATTCTCAAACTAGTTCTCTATCTGACATCAATCCGTAATCTTTGTTCGCCTCATTTTGTTTTGTTTTAATTTTTTTTGTGTAAATTTTTTTAGCTCTTAAGACAAATTGGTTGGAATGATATAGCTGCCTATTTGGAACAACAAAAGCCAATATTATTCCCAGGAGGAGATTACACACTGTTAGGAGGAGATCATGTCTAATGATATAATATCTTTGTATATATATACGCATGGAGACATAAGCACATACTTTAGTTTTCTCAGCCGTGTACTTCCACTCCTACTGTGTCTCCCTCCACTTTGATTACTATTCAGTTTAAATATGTAGCTTTTTTCGGATAATTCTACTTTTATGCATATATATATGTATACGTGCATAAACTCGATACATATATAGGCGATAAGTAAATTTTAACTTCTTCAAATCATTTATTTATTCAAAATTACTTATTTTACTTCTGTCTGTGTTATTTTCTTCACGACTTCTCATCATTCGTCTTTGCCTTCATCAGCTGTATAATTATAGTTAGCGGGCTTCATTCATTTACTTCAAACCACCCCGCCCCCATAGCCACTTATAAGAAGAAGACACTACTGGATGAGGGAGGATAAAAGCCACTGTGATGTATTTTCGCGCACCTTGCGTCATGTATAGCAAACGCCAGCTGTATAAAAAACAAGTCAAAAGTTGATAAAACACCGTCAATAACAAACAGCTAAATGCCACATTTGATATGAGATGATTACAGCATTCCTGTAAGCACGCCTAATACAAAATCACATAAGACCAACTACTGACTTAGGAAACTCACATCATAAATGACTGCCTTCGTCCTGCCCCCTTTCAATTGAGCTGAGACGAAGGCGTGTCAAGTTTGTACTCGCGTAACTTACATATATGTATATAAACCCACTTGAGAGAACACTACATTAATAGATTACTTGAAGAAAATTACAAAGACGAAGTGTTTTATCATCTTTATACTATCGTTAGTATTATTATTATTATCATTATAATTACTATTATTATTATAGATGATTATTCTACTGTCTTCCGTTTACGTCTTCCCTCTTTTTGCTTTTATCTTTTCTCTGACTCAATAGTCTAATGTATTGTATTCTATTGTGTAAGATATTTGAATAACCTTCTTTGCCAACCCTTCACCCTTTCCCCTCGCCTATGTTCCTGTTAGTCTTTCTTCCCCTACTTATTTGTGCAGTCTTACCTGTTATCGTCGGTGTGGTGTTGTTGCCTCTGGTTGGTTTGTCATTTTTTGAAAGAGATTTACGCTTGTTAACTTACTACTTAATATACTGCTGTAATAAAACAAATTTGATTGTTGCAGATAGTTAGTTATTCAGAAGAAAAAGACAAGAAAAAAAAGAAACGCTTTTGTTTTTCATTCATTCATTCATATATATTTACTGAATAGCTCTTCATTTCTGATATTTCTTTAGAGTTGATTGGTGACAGAGTTAAAGAATAGCATTTTGAGACATGCGAATGACTGTTTGACCTTAATGGTATGTATGACCAATCAGAATAAGGAGTGTGGTAGGTAACATCGCTGACTGACTGTATCACACTCATTGGGGTGTGAGTGAAGTGGGTTCGAATCCCAGAAGGGATGGACATGAGTTGTTCCTTCAAGTGCCAACTAGCCACGAAATCTAGGTCAGACGAGGCTTCCTGCCACTTGTCTGCAACCATCTAAGCCAGAATAAGGAGTGTGCTTTACATAGTAATAATAATAATAGCTTTATTCCAAGAAGTAGTTTTGGTAGAAATATGGAATTTTTGGCATGTAGTACGTCGGTGGCACAGCGGTAGAATGTTCACCAACTACGCTTCATGCGGTCCAGGGTTAGATTCCCGGCTGACGCACTCCTTTACCTTGCTAGGCCAGTAATAAGACTGATAACGAGGGAAGGTTGAGCATGAGGTGGCTAGCAACTTCATCCTGTAAAAATAAACACTACTGCTACCAAAATTTCAAATCTCTAGCTTGAAGCCCTGTGTTCCACTGAGGACGTAAAAGAATTAGAAAAATACAATATTGATAATAATAATTTGCAAGTATTGGTTTTATTGCATGGAGGATTTAATCATGAGCTGACATCAGTTAGCGAACCACTGGAAAACCTGGGAGTACTGGACAGCTGTTCCGTCCTAGTTTGGGACTCTTCAGCAGTACGCACCCGCCGGGATTCGAACCCAGGACCTTCTGGTTACAAGGCGAGCTCGTAGACCATTGAGCCACTGGGACCCGATCCAATGGTCCTTGAATTCTAACTTCTGCCAATTCGCGATTTGCTTTATTCCAGAAACGGTACTAGTGATACAGTGTGCAATTTTCAGCACATATCTACAATACTACATCTAATTTCATCGCACATTTAAGAGGAGTATTGCAAAAAAAGATAAATATTTTAAAAAAACAACCACAACAACAAAAACTAAAAAGAAACACAAAAATAACAAAAAAATGCAAATAAAAACACCAAGTAGAAAGGAAGATAGACACCAATAATGAATAATATTTCAGTATTTGTTAGTGGGAGCTATGATATGTGTATGCGTGGTGAACAGTAACAGCTTTAATCATACAAGAAGTTATGAAATGTAAATAAGAATGTTTATAGCCAAGATGATCAGTTAATTTGATTGAACTACACTAAGCAAGCATCAAATAAACATTTCAGGTTGTTTTTTTATTGTCACCTCTATTGCGGTGTTTGTAGTGGTAGTGTGAGTAATCATGCATAATACAAAATTTTTAAGATGGTGGGATAGTGGCGTTCACAAACAAGATTGTCAGTTAAATAGTGCCGAACAAAGAACAACCACAAAAATTAATATTACATGATGGTTAATGACAGGACTATTTGGTAACACTCATAGTAATAATATAGTCGGGACCAGTAGATACATAAAAGAAGGAATAGAGTAAAGTATAAAAAAGTAAGCCAGTGTTAATAATTTAGGTAGCCAAGTATGTTTAAGAAGGTTGTTCACTATAGAATACAAATAAGACAGAAATAGAAGAGCCTAAAATTATGTTATTAACAACAAAGCAAGTCACAGGTTTCACGCTTAACATTGTCGTTGTCACTTAGAACACGGGCTGGCCAAATATGGTATCGTTGAGTTCCTATACTTCGTTGTACGAGCATATATTATTTTATACTGATCTCTGGTTCTACCTGATGAGATAGAAGGAGAGAGTTGGGAATAGAGGGGGTGTTGGCAGTCAGAGAGTATGGTTTAGACCATTTTTCACATGTATTCAGATGCCTTCCTACCAATGCAGTGACGAGCTGGCTGAGTTTTATACCACTAGTCCTACTAACTACCTTCAACATCCTTCTCAGGATGGTATAGTCCTTTTTCAGTAACCCAGGAAAGACTAATGGCGAGCAGTAAAGTAGAATAGGTAGGATACGAGAGTTGACAAATTTTGAAAGCAGATGTTGGGTGATTCCAGTTAGTCTGAGTTTCTTAATGTAGTAGGTTAGACGAAACACTTTCTTAGAAATCGTTTGGATATGAGATGACCAAGTAAGGTCGGAAGATAGAACTAGTCCGAGGTATTTTGCATTAGACTTTGTTTCAATTATAGTCCCCTCAATGCTACAGGCTTCATGAGTGCTTACTAGTGTTTGTAGATCTCGTTTATGCCTAAAGAAGAAGTCAATAGTTTGGCATTTTGAGGAATTCAGCATGAGGCTATTTAGTTTAGATCACTGACTGATATCCGACAGGAAGCTATTTAGTTTGAAACAGTCTGACTGAGACTTAACGGGAAGCGAAACAGTCAGTTCATCTGCATATTTGACGAAGTTGATTTCGTCTGAAAGAGGTAAGTCATGTACGAAGAAGGAAAAGAGAAATGGCGAGAGAACTGCACCCTGAGGAACATCAGCTTCAGTAAGCAAAGGAGAGAAAGCTACACCATTATATACCGTGTACTGCATCCTATTAGAGAAGTAAGAGTGCAGTCAGTTGATAGCCCAGGACTCATTTTGTGTAAGGCTAAGCTTGTTTAACAAAAGGCCTCTAGGTACAGAGTCGAAAGCAGATGTGTAATCAAGGAACGTACAACGGACATACTTGGCCCCTTTGTCTAAGGAGGATACAATGTTGTGATGAAACACAGCAGCAGCGTCTAAAGTACTTCTACCCAGTTTGTAAGCAAACTGCTTTGGATCGTTTGAGAAGCTTAGGAAGGGAACAAGTTTTAGCAACAATAATTTCTCCATTAGTTTGAAAAAAGGAGAAGTAATAGCAATAGGTCTAAACTTAACACTATATTCAGAACCAGACTAGGGTACAGGGATGATTTTAATATCTTTCCACAGAGAAGGTACACTATTATTAGAAAAATAAGTATTGAGAATGTTTGTAAGTGGGTTACTTAAAACCGTGTGCCATGCCAATAGTGGTAGAAACTTTAGATCGCCTACAAGGCGCGAATGTGTTTTCGGTTTTCGATCTTCGCTCAGGGTACTGGCAGATACCGATATATTTCGCTCTCACATACTTGTGTGATATTAATTCTCCTTGTGTTTGGAAAATACAAGTATCATCACAAACCTAGTGATCTTCTGATTTCCGTCTTTCTTGCGTCAGGACTATTAAATTCTCGATTAGTACATAATAATAATTTGGTGACGAGTACATAACACTAATTGATGTAATCAAAATAAAAATTCAGTTACCAAGGGAGTGAGGGGTTAATCACACTCTCTTTCCGTATGCATAAGTTTGGTTTAAATCGTTTGATTGCGGCCGCTTCGGTAAATTGTAGTAAATTTGCTGTTCTTTGTCTATTTAATATTTTGAAGGACTTAGAAATCTCTACGAGATGTCCGGTATCAACAATGTGTCTGGTAATTGAACCCTGGGAATATCTGCTTCCTTTCAGGCACAGGTTTCTTGACATATGTTCAGAAAACCGGATAGAAACCCTTCTTTCTGTCCTTTCAACTTACTTGCCCCCACAAGTGCACGTGAATTCATAAACGCAGTTGGAGGTGACATCAGCAGGGTATTTATCCAGTTTTGAGTGGATTAAAGAAGGAGTGGTGCTGTATACTGTTATGAGTTTTGCTGCCGCGAAGCTTCCTTTTATTGCACCTTTCAGTCTTTTGTCAATCTTTTGTGACACTGCATCTCCTTTGAATGGGAAACAAATAAACAC